AACAGTTTGAAGAAGGCATTCGCGATTTGTAGCATGAGTATGTGCGGGTGCCCATGGTCGTGCACAACGAGGATTCCCTCTACCGTCCGCCGCATGCCGAAATCTTCATAATTGTTCTGCAGACGCTGTAAACGCGCCGAGACCGACGGATCCTCCTCCGGTTGGGCATCCTTGGTACTTCGTGATGGTCAGCTGGGACGCGAACGTGACGACATCTGACGCGAGATGTATACCTGAACGTGAAGTTAGAGAGCGGATATCTAAATGGTGTTATGTGAGCAGACCGCGAGAAGGAAGGACAGAGCAACGTGCAAGGCTATAGTGTTGGACATTTTGTCGGGAGGGATGCAGTCGAGATCAGAAGGCAGCCGCGTGACCTAGCCGTGACAACCGCGTAAAGACCATGACGTCTACAATTGGAGATCCGTTTGGGCAAGAGGATTTTTGCCTCCGTCTCTTTCGAACCGCGACCATTTATATCTCAACTGGGCAAGACCTGTCGCTTTCTTACGCCATAGCTCGCTGCCTAACCGGTCGATCGGTCCGCTAGTTCCCCAGCCCTGATCCAGGCAAAGATGACAACCCCTGACTCCCGTGGTACGGGAGACATGGTCCCAAGCGAAGCCATGTCCGAAACTGATCACGCACGGTCCTCGCAAAGCCCTGTCACAGCTGTAGGATTCCAGCGCGTGCCTCAGAAGGAGTCCTCATTACGTAGAGCTGGGTCAGTTGCGCGCAGTCGCGCAATAGTTATAGCATCGCTCGCCCATATTCATATGAAACGACAGGCTTTTACAACCGCGATCATTCCATCCAGCCCCCGCCATTCCCTCGCCTGACGCGTACTCGTCCGGGTCCTCTGGTATCTTTGGAACACCCATGTCTGTGGCGCACTTCACCCCGCATTCGCAGGACTCCATTCGCCAAAACACGATGGAGTTGAGCGGCATGGACATGTATTCGCCCCCAGCAGGTAGGCCTGGACGGGATCTCCTGCCTGCCTCATCCCCTCAATCGGGCACGCTCTCCGTCCTTCCTGTGCTGCGGAGCGGTTCAGTCACCCCAACCAATCAAACGACCCGACCGTCAGCCCTGTCTTTACTGCGTCCGACCCATGACACGTCCACCTCGCCGACGCCCAATGACGAAGTAGAGTTTGCGCGGAACGATCCGGTCCCCATTGCAACTCCACGGACATCGCTCTCACCGTCACCACCACGGCCGGAACCGAATCTTGAACCTACAGAGCAGACGCCGCTACTTGCGTCGCCGCCGAAAGTGCGGAATCTGAAGACATGGCGGAGTCTAGTTGCAACGACGGCCAGACAGGCTGTCCACGCAGTCCCTGCGGTCATCTTGGGGTGCCTGCTCAACATCTTGGACGGGGTATCATACGGAATGATCATTTTCCCTACAACCCCACCCTTCGGAGATCTCGGTCCCATGGGGGTCTCGATGTTTTTCGTGTCGTGCGTGATTGCGCAAGTGATCTACACATTCGGTGCCAGTGGCTTTGCCGGTGCCAATGGCAGTATGATGATCGAAGTCGTGGTATGTTCATTATTTTTCCAGACCATCAGGGAAAGTGATTCATCTTCGTTAGCCGTTCTTCCACATCTTGGCAGCGACGATCGCAGGCGAAATTGGTCTGGAGAATCCGGAGGAAATTATCGCGACAACGCTTGTCGCCTATGCTTTGAGTTCAGTTCTTACCGGTGGGCTCGATCTTTATCTGCGGCACTTGGAATTTGAACGATCCTACAGGTCTATCATTCTTCCTTCTTGGTTACCTCAAATTGGGGGTACTCATCGGATTCTTCCCTCGTCATATTCTGGTGGGATGTATCGGCGGTGTTGGCGCTTTTCTGTTGGAAACTGGGTTCGATTCGTTTATTTTTTGTCCGTGCGAGGAATTCTCATGTTCAACTGTCAGGCTGACCGTGTCGCTGAGAATTCCTGAGGACGAATTTACTCTGACATGGGAGACTTTCAAATTGGTGTTCTTGGATAGACACGGCCTCGCTCTTTGGACCATCCCTCTGGCCTTGGCTATTTTGTTACGTTTCGTGACAGAAGGTCTGAAGTGGAGACATCAGCTCGTGTTCCCGCTTTGTATGTGTTTCGCCCAGTTCTAGAATCTCCAGCTCAGGTACGACGCAGATTTTATCGCTATTCCGATGCTGTTCTATGTGATTGTCGCGGCGGCTCAGCTCAACCTCGGTGAGCTCCGTGAATCTGGGTGGATCTTCGATATGGCGGAGAATGCCAAGGAGGAGCATTGGTACAAGTTCTATGACTACCTGGGTGCGTTGCTGGTGCTTATTCGCGTCTGCAGCTGATGTTAAGATGCCGGTAGACTTCAGCAAGGTGCAGTTTGGCCCTCTGTGGGCTACGATGCCGACTCAGTTTGCGTTGTGCGGTTTGCGTCTCCTGGATCATCACACTTCTGATGCCTTTCCAGGCTGTTTTTCAACATCTTGCATCCTCCTTTGAACGTTCCGGCCCTCTGTCAGTCTTCCCTTTGAGCTTTTCATGCGGATATCTGATCTTATCCCAGCGGTATCATTGAATGAAGATGTTGACACAGACAAGGAGCTGGTCGCTCATGGGTATTCCAACTTTTTTGCTGGTATCTTAGGCACGGTGTGCGTCGTTCCATTGAAGCTGTTACTTTCCACTTTAACACGTGCTCATAGCCCCAACTACCTGGTTTACGTGAACACCCTGTTGTGCGATATCTACGCGAGGTCTACTTGACCGTTGTGCTGACGGTATTATCGCTAGGTTTTATCGTGTGGGAGGCGGGACGCGTGTTGCCGGCTTCCTGCTGGCGGTAGCGACAACGGCTTTGCTGTTGATCGGAACCGGACCCATCGCTTACATTCGTGAGTCTCGCGATTTCCAGTCTTCCACAGATGCTTGAGGTGAATTAGCTGTGATGGTCGTTGGCGCGCTAATCTTCGTTCTCGGCATCGATTTATGCAAAGAGGCCTTGTGGGATACTCGGCATCGTGTTAGCAGGTCCGTTGTTCCAAGTCTTCCATCCCGTGCCCTTACTAAACCGACACAGATCTGAATACATCACGATCGTCAGCATCATGGTGTGCATGACTGTGTGGGACTTTGTGATTGGTGTTTTATTCGGCATTGTCGTCAGCTGTAAGTCCGTAATAAGCGAGCAGATACGATCTCACACCAACACAGGCTTCTTTTTCGTGGTGCAAAACTCTCAAAGAGCAAGTATCCGTGCTTTGCACACCGGAGAGACTGCCATCTCCACCGTCCGACGACCCAGTTCACAACGTGCTTATATCAGGGAGGTGTCTAAGCAGACAACCATCTTACGACTGCAGGGTCTGTGCCTCTGTGTCTTAGCTTTCAATACAGTCTGACCGAGAGTCAGGATTCCTGTTCTTCGGAACCATATCGCACGTTGAGGAAACAATCCGAGCCATCGTGCAGGGTCCCTCATGGCAGCAGAATCCTATCCGTTTCCTTGTTCTCGATCTCACCCTGGTCGGCGGCGTTGACATGTCTTCTGCCGAAGCTCTGGTCCGGGTGCAGCGCCTGCTGTCGGCGAAATACATCACCTTGGTGTTCTGCGGGTTTACAGCTGAGTCGTCGATTGGGAGGGCGTTAGAGAGTGCGGATGTGCTTGGTGCTGAAGGCGTTGAGTTGTTCTCGACCTTCAATGATGCCATGGAGTGTGAGTTCTTTGACGTCTGTTTCGAGACAAAAGTCGCTGAAAGAGTCCAGGGACCGAGAATGCTTATCTGCGTGCTTGGTTCAGATCCCAGAAAGCGGAGACTGCATATAGTGGGTGCTTTCAGTCGCAAACGGTGATTTTGATCTGACCTGCTGTTAGCTCTACCCGGCAGACGGGAAGTTCCACAAGTGTATCAGGATGTGCTTGTGGGATCCTTTGCTGGCTCGCCGCGCAGATCGCACATGAGTGAAGCGGGACACAGAACCTTTGCAAATGAGATCCGGCCCGCTCAAGACATAGCAGCCGAACCGTATAACACCCTCATGAAAGCGTTTTCATCATATGAAGACGTTTCCCTCGAACAGTTGCAGCCGTTACTTTCTTACTTCGAGCGCATGTCTGTTCCGGAGGGCCAAGTGCTTTGGAGACAAGACGACCCTGCCGATGGTATATATCTGATACAGGATGGGGTTCTTCGGGCTTCTTACAGGTTCTCGGACCATTCGGAGGTGATTGAGGAGTCGATGGTCCCAGGAACTTTGGCCGGCGAGATGTCGGCTCTGTCAAATCTGCCGCGAAACGCCTCAGTCGTGGTCGAGCGCCCTGCGATTCTCTGGAAATTGAGCCAGGAAAATCTGCAGAAACTGGAGGAGGAGCAACCCGCTCTTGCAACCAAGTTTACCCAGCTTGTGCTCAAGGGTGAGTCGTCTCATGTTGCACGAGGGATATCTTGCTGATCGGGAACCTTGCAGCGGCCAAAATTGATACTGATATACTGCTGGCTGCATTGGCCAGCAGACAATGATCTAAATATTCTTATTTCTCTCTCTTTTGTATACGAGATGACGAGCTTGATGAGGGATGATTGGATGGATGCATGGAATATATCCGAGCGTTGTTTGTCGTATGACATAGATCTGGTTCTCTTACCAACATTGGAATGGTTACGGAGGATGAATGAATGATGGCTCAGTTTGAGGATACCGAGCGACTCCGCATAGCACGAGCTCTTGTTTAACTCGATGATCGTGACTGGGGCAGGTACTATAGTTTTGACCCTCAGCTGGTCCAAGAACTGAGCCGATCGAGTAGGAGACAATTGAGTGGTCTTCTGAATCCATCGCAGCATGATAGGGCTTTTTTGATTTTCTGCCATGGGTCCCGAGAGCATTTTCTTTCGCCCGATGAGGGCCCTCCGACGTGAAACAACTTACAAGACAAGATTGTCCAGTCCAGCGTCGCGTGTCCCGAAAAGGCAACGCCGAAAACAAGACCATACTCATGTTGACCATTGTCTCGACATCCGCGGTTAGGATGAAAGGCTCTTCTCCTGCTCTTCACGACCTAACGACGCGCACTCGCCCCCCGACTCTGAGATGTCTGGCGGCGGCAATGCGAACGAGTACGACCTCCCCCTCCGCTCCTCCATAGATTCAGAGGCCAGCGAGACGGATCTTCTCATTCACTACCCCGACTCTCCTTCGACTCCAACAACGACTACGACTCCGGATAACGAAATTCATGCCACCCGATGGCTCTTCTTCTCTTTCCTTTCGCCCGCTCAACGACTGGCGCTCCTTCTGCCCGCAATCGCACTTTCTATCCTCGCAGGCGGTGTGGCGCCGCTCATGACGGTAGTAGTCGGGCGGGCGTTCGATGCCTTCTCAAAGTTCTCCGCCACTAGTGGCTCTTCCCAGTCCAACACGATCGCCGACGCATTCGATACTCACGCGAATGCCACCACTCCCGTCGCGACACCTCCCGATGTGCTAGTGCACCACATGTCGCTGGTCGCGCTGCAACTTCTTGCTCTCGGTTTCGGCTCGTTTGCGATGAGTAGTCTGACCAGCTTTCTGTGGATCACGACCGGGGAGCATACAGTGCTTGCTGTGCGGAAGCGCGTCTACGCGTCTATAGCCAGCAAGAGCATGGTGTGGTTTGACACGCGGTGCTCAGAGGAGAACGGGCAGAGTAAAGGGGCAGATTCTGATGGACCTGTTGGTGCCGGTGGGCTCATGGCTCAGTTCTCAAAGTGCGTCGCCGACTTTCTTTCTTGAAGGATCGTGCTGACCTGCATGCCAGAGAGACTGATGAAGTGCGCGAATCGTCCCTTGCCATTGGCCGGATGATCGAATACGCCACCACTTGTTCTATCTGCCTCATCCTTGCTTTGCTGCGCTCAGTATCGCTGACGCTCGTGGTTCTGTCTGCCGTCCCAGCGTTGGTGATCATTCAGGCCGTCTCACAGCGGTTCTCCGCCCCGCTCCTGGCGATAGAACGCCAGCAGACAGCTGTCGCTGCGACGTTAGTCGACCGCGCTATTTCCCCGACTGGGATTCACACGGTCAAAGCATTCGACGCGGCAGCACACGAACAGAAGGCATTGGCCTCTGTAATGCTCCGGATTGAAAAAGCCGTGCTGAAGCTGGTCGCGCTCTGGGGGTTGACCTCCGGCCTTGCGCAGTTTGTCATGATGGCGATGTTTGTGCAGGGATTCTGGTTTGGCGCCCGGGCGGTGCGAGCCGGAAGACTGGGTGCGGGGGATGTCATGGTCGTCTTCTGGGCCTGCCTGATGGCGACGACGAATCTTCAACTTTGCATTCCGCAGCTGATCGTTCTCTCCAAAGGACGTTTCGCGTTCCAGTCGTTGCTCAAACTGCTCGATCCTTCTCAGTCAACTGCCGCACACTGTTTTGTGGGTGATGTGATGTGTGTGGCGGATATCACAATGCGGGATATCTCATTTTCGTATCCATCCCGTCCGAGTATCCCCGTGCTCCGCGGTGCAACGATGGTGTTCCCTGCGCACAAGACTACGTTTGTCGTCGGACCCTCCGGTTCTGGAAAATCGACCATATCGCATCTGCTTGCGGGGCTGTATGTACCAAATGAAGGCCTCATCTCTGTTGACGACGTGTCCGTTGATCTGCGCGCATTGGACATCGCGGCTGTCGGTCAGGGCGCAGCCTGTGCTCTTTTTGACATGAGCGTACACGACAATGTTGCGCTTGGGCGGGAGACGGGGCTTTCTACCCGCTCAGAGGTGGAGGATGTCTGCCGGCAGGTTCTGATGCACGACTTTATCAGTGACTTGCCACGTGGATATGATACCGTTCTGGGCAGTCATGGGGCCTCTCTGAGTGGGGGGCAGAAGCAACGGCTGGCCATCGCTCGTGCTATGCTGCGGGATCCGGATGTACTTGTTTTGGGTCGGTGATTCTGCTTGGTGTATGTCATTCAGGCTGATCTTTTTCCAGATGAAGCGACCTCCGCTCTGGACCCCAAGTCACGCGTGCTTGTCTTTGACGCTGTGCGCCAATGGAGGCACGGCAGGACGACTATCGTCATTACACATGATTTGGCGCAGATCGAAAAAGACGATTACGTGTACGTGCTGAAGGACGGATGTGTGGTTGAGAGCGGATTGAGACGTGAGCTCGAGCATTGGGTCTGCAGCGTATTCGGAACTCTTGGCCACGACGCCGACTTCTCGAAACATGAAGACGACACTGACACACTGGTTGACCTGGACACATCTGTCGCCGTCGAGCCAGCCCTCCCCTTGTACCTCACTCCGGCCCCTCGGCGTTGACGAGAGCGACCCGTGTTGCTGAGCTTTCGATGAACGTCGCTGCTTTTGGCTGGCGACGGACTCCGAGTCCGTATAAACCACTATCTGCGCCCTCGACTGTGGTTGCGCGTACGCGTAATGTGCACACGCCTGCTAGCAAGTACGAGTCCTATCTGCCCATCGACACAACGACTCCCACCTACGATGCCCCGAATCAGTCGCTCTCGGGTCTCTTGCTCGAGCTTTACCCAACTGTTCCCAACAAGCCAGTCTTGTTTGCCGGGTTATTTGCATGCTTGGTCAGCGGGGCGATGACACCCATCTTCTCGTTTCTCCTCGCCCGGCTATTGTTTGCTGTCGCAACTGGATCCAGCGAGACCATGTCTCTAGACACTTACGGGCTTCTGGTCCTCTGCGCAGCCTTGTGCGACGGCTTGTTCCTCGGGCTCAAGTACTTTCTGATGCAGATCACTGCTGCGCGGTGGATCAGCTACATCCGGAATCTCGCGTTTGGTCGTGTTCTGAAGCAGGACATGCGCTGGTTTGACAGGCAGGACTCAGCGTCTATTGGCCGGGTGCTGATCAAAGATGCTGACGACGCTCGCGATCTGCTTTCGTCGGTCCTGGGCCAGGTGTTGGTCGTCAGTGCCATGTTCGGAATCGGGATGACCTGGGCTGCGGTCGCAGGCTGGCAGCTTGCCTTGGCCGGCTTTGTGGTGGTGCCTGTTTTCGGAGTTGCGATGGCCAGCATGGCCAGCATGGTGGCACGTGCCCAGCTGCGAAATAAGCGTGCAGGCGAAGAGGTCGCAAAACGGTACTACGAGGTATGGAATGTTTGATCTGCGGTGTCTGTCCAGCGCTCATCGGCTGTAGATGATTTCCAGCATCCGCGGTATTCGTGCCATGCGTCTGGAATCCGTTTTCCGTGCCGAGTTTGAGAAGGCTGCTAATCGGGTGCTCTCTGTGTCCCGGTGGGGCGCGTTCTTCGAGGGATGCACGACTGGTCTTGCTTTCGGCTTAGTCTACCTTGCCGAAGCGGTGCTATTCTACTTTGGAGCCATTCTGGTGGCCAACGGGACGTATTCGTATCTTCAAATGACGCAAGTCCTCAATCTCGTCGTGTTCACGGTCTCTATCGGATCCCAGCTCATGGCATTCACCCAACGCATCTCGAAATCGGTTCAGGCTGCTCGTGACCTGACTGATCTGCTGCACCTGGCCTCTCGGACGGAGGAGTCGCAAGGCTTTCTTCGACCCGAACTCGACGGCACTCTCACCTTCCAGGATGTTGCATTTTCTTACCCGGCTCGCTCAGAAGTACCAGTGCTCCAGAACGTCAACATGGAGATTAAAGCTGGTGAATGTGTTGCGATCGTTGGCCCTTCTGGGTCTGGCAAGTCTACGATCGCTGCATTACTCCAACGCTTGTACGAGCCGTCTTTTGGTGCGGTGTCGGTTGGGAAGACCCCCCTCCGGTCATTCAGCATCGATCATCTCCGTCGGCAGATTTCAGTCGTGAGCCAGCAGCCGACGCTTTTCGATGCGTCAATCGCAGAGAATATCCGATACGGCAACGAGGATCTCCCGGATGAGGAGGTCATCCGAGCTGCGCAAGCGGCGAACATTCACGATTTCATCATGGGTCTACCGCAGGGATACGATACCGCTCTCGGCGAAAACGCGACACTCATATCGGGTGGACAAGCTCAGAGGTTGCAAATCGCGCGTGCCCTGGCCCGCCCGTCCAAGATTCTGATCCTGGACGAGTGCACCTCCGCACTGGACGACGCCACTCAGGCGGCTATTATGGACACGATCCAGGCTGCCAAAACCGGCCGCACCACGGTCATGATCACACACAAGGTCCCGGTTATGCGCATGTGCGACCGCGTTCTCGTCGTTCAGAAGGGGAGGATCGTGGAGGACGGCGCCTTCGATGACTTGATCGCTCGGAGAGGTGTCTTCGATGCCTTACTCAAGGGCCTTTGAGTCGATGATCTTGATGATAGTGATGATATGAACATTTGTAGCGCTACCTCCTTGTACTTACTCTCTGCCTCGCTTTCCGCTCTCCTAGTTTGTCGTATTGTTATCTTATCTGATCGAAATACGCTATCATGAGATAGCACTTTCGCCGCTCCTGGAGTCGTGTAAATCTCCGCTTATGTACCGATCGTCATTTTTTTAATCCTCTGGCCATGGCATAGTTGAAGCCATGGGGGAGAAGAACTCGGGTGCTCGGGGCATGAACGTCGATCGATTTCATCATTGGTAGATCATTGAGAGATTTCGCACGGTTGAACTCGAGTCCGTTCATTGAGAGTAATTGTACAATCACAGAGATATCTGAATCACTTCTCACAGGTCTTTACCACGGCTGTTCAGCAAGAACTTCTGTCACTTTGACGACCAGCCGATCCCTGCTTTCCAGCTCAGCAGCGAAATAAGCCTTTGCACCCCCAACACCCTTCTCCCTGACGACTGCTGCAATTCGATCATACTCAGCGGGCGCGTCCCGCTTCCTGATCGTACAAGCAAAGTCTCGCTTTTTCGTATACACCAGCAAATCTCCCGAGCTCTTCTTCGACGCTTCCAAATCGCCCTGGAAGTTCCAAGGCACTTGGACTTTGATGGTAATTGATTTGGATTCTTTATCGACCTTTTTGGGAGCATGGGCACCACGCATCTTGTTCTTGGACCAGGCTTCAGCTTCCGAGGGATAACCCATAGCGCGCCGCGTGAGGTCTGCGGTAGGAATTGTGTTATTGTAGGCATGATAGTGAGGCATCAGGACGACGGTGTTCGAGTGAGAGAAAGGGTTACAGGTGCGTTTGTGGGTCGGCCATGCGCTTCCTGTCGAAAGACTTTGGTCAAGATCACCGGGAAAAAGAAACGGACAGTGAACACACTCTGGCAGTCGACGGAACAGTACCTCGCAACTCTGCACTGTGCGCAATTTTTGAGCGACGCGCTTTCCTTCCCGCAGGAGTCGCAAGATTTTTTTTCCCTTGGAGCTTCCTCACCATTCCGCTTTCTGATCCACTTGGTTACCGCCGCCGTCACTCGTGGACCACAGCCCAAGAAATGACGACGAGGAGTGATCCCGTCGGCCTCGGGGATATCCAGGGACGCGTTGAACTCCATTAAAATATCGATAGTTTGGATCATATTGAGCATCATAGGACCCATCAGCGGAACCTACATATCCGTGGGTGTCAATTCGATTGTCTGAGACACTAGCAACAGAACTTGCCTCTCCATATCGGTTCTGATGATCGACATTCGCCCCGTTCTCCAGCAGGCACCGCAGCAGTTCATCTCTCGGCTCGGGGGACGAGGCTAGATGATGCACAGCCGTATAGCCAACGATGTCTTCTCCGTCTGGGGGGAGACCCTTCGAGAGCAGGTACTTGAGTGTTTCAAGGTGTTTCCCGCTTTGTGGTGGACCATCACGAAAGCGTTGAGAGCCCAGGGCAACCAGCGAAGCATAACTGGTCTGGTAGGCAGTCTCGTATCCCGCCAAGTCGGGAGCGGTACCATTTTCCACGGCCTGAACGACGCCATGACTTTGAGATCGAGGAAGAATCTTCAAGAACATACCTCTTTCACTAGTTCGAGCGTGCCAGTGAAGACATGGAACCCGAATCGAGAGAATTTGAATGGATCCATGTCGATGCTTCCTGAACGTAAATAGTTCATAATCCGTGAAAACTGGCGGTATTAGCAGGGCTTGCGCACCAGCTCGATACAAGTCCCGGAGTTCCTGGCCACCTTCCATAGATTTGAGTTTTCCGGGGCGAGAAATCAGTTCTCTCATTCGTGGAGTGACCGTCATACCCCCGTCAGGAGAATACATGATCTTCAGTGCTCGGTCTGTATCAAGTTGCGGTAGACTTGTAGAGTCTCGTTGGCGTTACCAAAGTCTTTCCAACTTGACAAGCGGGTAACTCCTGTCACTTCAAGCATCGATGATGCAATGATTCACGTGCGAGCTGCCTGACGCGTCCTCGGCTTTATTCAGCACTTTGTAGTGCATCTTCATCCCAAAGCCTTTCTACATCATGCCGGACTCTCCTATAGACGATGTACTCTCTTTGATGGTGACTCACAGAGGAACTCAGCATCGACTATCGCTTTCTCCCGAAAGCGCCGTAGCAGACATGTCTGCTGCACTGGAGGACTTGACCTTGGTCCCTCCGAATCTTCAGAAGCTGCTTTACAAGGGCAGTCCTAAGGGTGGAATCCAACCTGATATGACACTCCGACAAGCAAATTTCAAGGACGGTATCAAGATCCAGTTGGTTGGGCCAACACTATCAGAGTTGGACGAAATGCAAGCCAATGAGGCACAGGCCCGCAAACGGGAACGAATTCTAAGAGAGAGGGCTTTGAAAGCTCCCGTCAAGGTTTCGATCCCTTCGAAGTCTCTGCTGGAAAGTCCTAACATTGTGCATCAGGTCCGATCTACCGCTTCATCAAGCACCTCTGAACACACGTATCGATTCCACAACATCGTTCCCCTACCTCATCTTCCCGAACCCGACTCTGCTCTGAATTACCTGCGTCGCTTGTCGAATGATAAGGCGATCCAACATGTCATGAAGCTGCATTCCTTCTCCGTGGGTGTCTTGACTGAACTAGACCCCCGTGAGCGACCGGATCTGCTCGGACTGAACAAGAATGCTGGAGAAGAGATCTTATTGCGGATCCGAACAGACGCTTACGATGGTTTTCGCGTCTACTCACAAGTACGGCAGACCCTGTGTCATGAGCTAGCGCATAATGTACATGGGGATCACGACGAGAAGGTGGTGTCTTCCTCGCCCTTCTGTAATGGTGGCATTGAAACTGAATCACGCTAGTTCAAACGACTGAATTCGCAACTGAATCGTGAAGTCGCTGCGTTTGAAAAGGCAGCGATCGCCGGTCGGCACTCGCTCCATTCTGGAGACATGTACGAACCAGATGAGCTAGAAACCATGGCTGCAATGACGTCCCATGTTCTCGGTGGTGCTGGCGCTGCAGTCGCCGGAGATTCAGCCGAGGAGAGGAGAAGCCGTCTGCTTGCTGCTACTATGCGCCGCTTGCAGAAGGAAGAGGAAGAGTTGGAGAATAGTTGTGGCACGGCTGGCCCTGCCCAGTTGTAGACGATGGAGCACATACTTGATTGAGCATTTGACTAGCAACATTGGCGGCAGTACTTGTAAGCGTTAAAAGACGGAAGCGCGTCCCGCGTAACGAGCGCAACGCCCGATCTCGCCGGGTATCAGCAGGTACAGCCTGCAATGCGTGATGCGCAGCACTTGGCACGCATCTCCGGCGCATTGGCCTCGGCATTTGCTTTCCGAACCCCGCCTGAGTCATACTAGACAGCCTGCAAGTACAACGCCGAGAAGAATGACAGGCAATGATGTCTTCCGGATCTGTACACGGTCAAACGATCAACTGTGTTCCAGGACCATTGGCACAGACAATGTAATTGTCAAGGGCCAAGCACTGGTAACCTGATCACGTGGTATACCGGTGGCGAGGGCCGTTGCTACACTTGGCTGTTGTCCTTCAAGTTCTTTCTTTATTCACAGCGATACCTTTCCCCCTCACTCTTCATGGCCATGCCCTACCCGGCCTACGCAGGCCGTCCGCCACCAGTCGACTCGCAGCAGTCATTATATCCCCCCAAAGGCCCATTCGATCGCTCCAATACCTCTTTCGCCTCCTCTTCCAACGCCCTCTCCAAGTCACCAGTTGATGCACGGAATATTTCACGAACGCCCAGTCCAACGCCTAGCGAGTACAAAGCGCTCGACTCGGGCCTCTTCAACCGAGAAGATCTGCTCAAATGGCGCTTTTGGATCAGGAAGGAGTGGATCAGTGCGTCGTGATGCGCCCTCGTGTCCTCGTTCCAGTCTTCATGACCGTCTCGCAGAATATTATATCATCGGCATACTTGTCGGTGCCATCACCGCCCTCATTACCATCTTTCACACTCAAATCGTCCACTACCTCATTCCAATGACGAATTTCCTACACCAGTGCGTCCTGTCGTCGCTCACTGATTGTGTACCCATTCCTGACGCCATGCTTGCAGACAAAAATACGGTATCCTTGTGCCGATTGGTGTTCTCTTTGTCATCTCCTTCCCTCCTGTGAGTTCCGTCCCTTGCTAAATAAAGTGCATCCTAATGCCTCTACAGCTCTTTGGCCACGAAATCATCGCCGTGTTGTGCGGTGTCGTATGGGGTCTCTGGGTTGGTTTCGGAATCGTTTGCGCTGGTACCTTCTTGGGCGAAGTGGGCAACTTCTACGCTTTCAAGTATCTATGCCGGGCGCGAGGAGAAAAGATGGAGCGGCAACAGATTCGATACGCCTGTCTCGCGGAGTGTGTTCGTCGAGGTGGATTCAGAATAGCGCTCATCGCGCGTTTCAGCGCCATTCCCGGTCACTGTGCGTGTCCTGGTTTCTGCTTCCTCAGCCCCTGATTGATTGTGATTCTCATGATTCTCAGTCACCACCGCCATCTTTGCTACATGTGGAATGAACATCTTCGTTTTCTCCATTGCTGCCGCACTGTCACTTCCGAAACAGTTCGTTACCGTCTACCTCGGTGTCGTCCTCGAACAGTCGACAACCGGTCAGAAGGATTTGAAGAATAAGCTCATCAGCTACGCTGTTGTCGGCGTCACAGTTCTGGTCACGATCCTGGCGATGTGGTACATCTATCGGGAGATGAACCTCGTCAAACCCCAGGTTATCTATGCGCGACGCAAAGCACGACAGGTGAAACAAGCGAAGGGCGACCTCTACGCTCAGCCGGATCTGAATGACAGTGATTCATCCGTTACGGGCTACAATCCACGGCAGAGCCTGTCCGACATTCCTCTCACCGCTTCACGTCAATTTGGCCCGAGCTCGCAGGCCCACCCCCGATACGACTACGAGCAAGCGCAGAAGCAACAACGCTACGCCGATTGGATGGCTCAGCACCAGCAACCACAGACCCATTGGGGAGGCCAGGAGGATGCACATCAGAGATGGGATGATCGGGGCAATGCTATTGGCTACACACCTGGTCCTGTGCCCCAGGTTTTGTATGCCCCTCAGCCGCAGGTGGCGTCCGCCGGGAGGACACCTATAGAGCCCGATGCTTACACGGAAAGCCAGGCGTATAGCTCTGGCATGGTCCGTGAGAGCATGGATGCAGTTGCGTGGGACACGCAGATGCGGGAGAGACCGAAACACCACGATATGTATCAGCCTCAACCTCAATTTCAGCAGCACCAACCGATCCGATCCCCTCATCTTCAACCCGGCGGTGGCTACCTGTCAGAATCCCCTGCCCCTTTGGAGCCAGAAACACCGAGAGCTCAATATGCCGCCTACCCGCAGCACAACTTGGGTGCTCCGCTTGGCTCGGCGCCTTTGCCGACCCCACCTTACCCACAATCTCCCTTTGCCGATCCGCATCACGTCGCGCACGAGGTTGAGCCGACGGGTATGTCATACCACACTGCATATGGCGGCGAGGCAGACTCAATAGCGCTGGCGCGATAGTCTGACCCTCGTCCCGTTCACATTCATTGGACTGTATTTGCTTGATTAAATTCTGTCAAGCGTTTCTATACTGACTCTGTATATGATTCTCTTGGATTAATGACTTGCACATATTGTCACCTGTAGCAGCAGATAAGATAATCAATTCATCAATGATACCATCGGAATATAATCTTGTCGAACAACCCTTTTGCGAGCCGCGACATGACTGCTCCGATCGAGGCACCATATGGAACTTGGAAGTCTCCGCTAAGCCCCCAGTACATCACAGACCCTGCAAGTCTCGAGGCGCCTGTCCATCTATTCATGACTCACCGCTCAATCAGGACCATCACGTCGACCTCGTCGACCTGCTAGTCGACCCGCTGACCTCTGTCATATACCACATCGAGAAACGACCACATGAAGGGGGTCGTCATACGCTCGTGAAAAGCGACACTCGCGAAGATCTGACCCCTGCCTGGGATGTGCGGACAACTGTGAATGGCTACGGTGGAGCTCCAGCGATCGTCCATGACTCGCGCATTTTCTTTTCAGACGCTCGGGATGGTCGGGTTTATATGATGTCAGCAGACGGGTCGTGTTCTGCCGTAACTCCTGGTCTGTTGCCATCTGTCTCGCGACACGCGACGCTTCTGACTTGCGACGGACTGGTCAGCCAACCCCAACCACAAATTCGCGGATTTCGATGTTCATCCGCTGATGCCCCATCTTCTGATCGGGATCATGGAGGATGCCACCGAGAGTAAGAGACCCGCGTTGGTGGTCAACAGTCTCGTCGTGCTCGATACGGCCGAACGGGTCGTCTATCCGTTCATGTCTGATGCATCGTTCTATCGATCTCCCAAGTTCTCCCCTGACGGAAAAAGACTCGTCTGGATCGAATGGGATCTCCCCGACATGCCTTGGAATGGATCCGAGATCTGGGTCGCCGATTTTGCACGCAGTGAAACACCTCAGCCCTTCGGATTGGTCAATCCTCGGCATGTCGCGGGCGAACACGGCAGAGTCGCTGTTGCTTACCCGTCATGGGTATCCGAAGATGTTGTTCTCTTCACTTCCGATATCTCTGGATTCGAAAATCCGTGGGTCTACGACTGTAACTCGAATGAGGCGCGGCAGGTTTTCAAAACACCCATCAGCGAAGGCTTTGCGCTAAGGGATCCGCCAAAGCGGAATGGGGAGTCAGCCTATGCCGTTCTTGGAGCTCCGCATGCAATATTTACTGCAGTGCGGGACGGCAGGAGTGTGTTATACCTCGTCGATCTTCAGAATGGTCAAGCGCAGCTCATTACCAGCACTTACGTGGAAATCTCTCAGCTACGGACTGTCTCGCTCGACCCAGCGGTCATCACGTTTATCGGAATTCCGATAGACGCTCCGTCGACTGTTGTACGATGTACTCTAGGAAATGAAGCGCAGGCCGAATTTACCGACCTGATGGCCAATTCCCACGGTTCAGATATTCCCCCGGCCTTCGCCTCTCGTCCCCATCCCATGTCAATCGGCGATGGCACATCAAAAATCCACGCGATATTCTACCCGCCTACGAACCCAGATTTTATCGCACCCATGAACGAAAAACCGCCTGCAATCGTCAGCGCGCACGGTGGTCCAGTGGGGATGGCTCCCCAGTCATTCAATTTGACGCGGGAGTTCTTTACCTCGCGCGGGTGGGCATGGATAGATGTGAACTACGGTGGATCATCTGGGTATGGGAGAGAATACCTGGAACGACTGCACCGTAGCTGGGGCATCGTGGATGCTGACGACTGCATCACGGCTGTCAAAGCCATCTCTTCACCGCCCTACCAGCTGATCGACCCGCAACGCGTTGTAGTCAGAGGGGCTTCTGCTGGGGGCTTTGCGGTTCTTACCCTGCTCTCTGTCCGCGCAGCAGAAAATGTTTTCGCTGGTGGCACTTCCTTGTACGGAGTTGTGGATTTGCCCCATCTGCTTGAAGGCACGCACAAGTTCGAGAGTGGATACCTTGCGTGGCTGGTGAGCGATGATGAAGCCGTGCTGCAAGAAAGATCGCCCATCTCCCACGTGGATAAGATTACGGCGCCCATATTAGTGAGTTGTGTTACTTGTTCCATGATCTCAGGTCTTTGAGTTCTTGCCACAGATTTTACAAGGGGATATGGATACAGCAGTTCCGAAAGACCAAGCGGAGGCGAGTGGTGATGGGCATTGAACGGTCTTCCGCGCGATGCTGAATTCATCCCCCTTTAGATTCTCGTCGCCAGCCTCAAGAATCGCGGCTGCGACTTCGAGTTCAAGATTTACGAGGGTGAAGGGCATGGTTGGAAAAAGAAAGAGACCATTGAAGATGCTCTATGCAGGGAGTTGCAGTTCTATAATAGAATTATCGGCATTCAGGCGTAGATTCAACCATTGGTGGCTAATTCTGCTCCATCACTGGCCAAACAGCGACACATTTCCTCGCCGCATCCAACTCTTCTCGCTTCCTTCTCTCCTTTCCGACATGAGGTCCAACAGTGCAGCGTTAATCAGAAAAATTCTAAGTCAAGAGTATTTGGATTGCTCTTTCGAAGTCTGTCTGACGTCATGTCCGTCTCTCCATTCACCTTCACGGTCAAGTATGCTAATCGACTACAGGCAAACCATTCTCATGCGACTCTTTCGGTTCTCGCCGTCTCCATCAGAAGCGATCAGTGCTAGTTTCACGTCCCATTCGACGCCAAATGAAGTCCGAACCTTTGGACGACGACTATCTCTTTGCTGGCAACATGATCTCGCATCCGTCTGTCTCACTAGTCCAACTATCCACCCCGCCCAACCTCGCTTTCCACCGCAACTCTGAGAACTCAATAATATCTCAAGTCGAAGCAGTCATTATGAGCCACAAGCTAAAGCCCTGGATCCAAGAAACCGGTGTTTGCGTCCGATTGCCCAAGATTCCGGACTGTGATATACTCGAAACAATCAAATTAGGCGAATGCCTCGTCAACGCTCTGGTCACCTCCAAACTGCTCAAGTCAAACAAAGATCTTCCTATTGCTGCTTACATCTCTGTGCGTTGCTATTGTGTGGTGGAGAGAAGTGCGCATGCTTAGAGCCGTTGCACGCAGATCCTCAAACCAAGAATCCTTGCGCCGTCATCCTTGGCTCGCGTCATGCGCTGTTCAGACATTCCCATTCCGCATCTTTCAGACGTCGACGCGTCGTGCTTGTTTGGCTACATCATGGGAGCCGTTCACGCTTATTCCGGGCCAGATCGGTTCAAAGAATGCTTCGATGCTATCTTCGACGACGTGCTGGAACTGACGGAGACAGCGTTCATGCTATCTTATTCGTGCGTGACCGATAAATCATGCGCGGCATCCCTGACAAGTGCGACAAGGGATGGTCTGATTAGTGAACTTTCGCCGCCGTGTTTGTTCTGATCCCGCGATATGTTCTTTAATCCGTTGTTTGTATGTACCATATATGCAAGACATCTAGTCAAGCGACACTAGTGCGATGGGGCGATGCCTCCTGGGAATCGAGAATCAGCAAGACTGGAGCAGTGAGAACAAGCAAACAAGAAGTCAGGTTGCAAATTATATGCCTTCATTCTGCCGACGGTTACATGGGCCAATAAACTCAGTGCGGCGTGATCACGTCAGGAAAATGCTTATGTTCATCTTGTATCTGCAACAGGAGATGCTCTCACCTGAACAAGTGGCCGAAGAGCCTGCCCGAGTTTCTCCAATGTGCTGTAGGACCACGTGTCCACAGTCTTGTTTCTTCCTGTGGGCCGACGGAACAAATGACCTTCACTAGGAATGGGAATGTGGCCGTCGTAGCCCGGGATGACGCATTTGACGGGCTCGAGAAATTTGAGGAAGCGTAGACAGACGCTATCGGCGTCCGATGTGCTCAGCTCAAAGCGAGCCAACGCGGCACCTGGCATGCGACATCCTTAGGCATCGAAATCAACGAGTGCGACATTCAACACACCAGAGTAAGGCATCATGAAGTTGCATCCAGGGACCGACCTCCGATTGTCGGCAAACAGGAAGCTGGCTTTCCACGGGCAGTAGAGTCTCGCTTCAGAGCAGTAGATGTACAGATTCAAACTCTTTGCGAAATTGATGGGGAAGGGTTCGTCCAGCTTGTGAACGGCAAACTTGTGGTCGAATCTCTTCTTGGACGAGATCGCGCGCTGGCACACTTCGACGTCGTTCTGAGTGATCAAGCCCTCTTGCAGCAGTTGATCGCGCATGACACCTCCCTTGGCGTTGATGATGGTCCACAGAGAGACTTGCCATGGAAGACCGTGCAGCATCAGGTCTTGTCCATTGGCAAAGTCGGAAAGCCCTCGGGGAGCGAGCCGGAATCGTAAACCGCCCGCCATGGGTGGATATCCAGGCTTTGGAGCAGAATAGTAGAAAAATCCGCGAGTGTCGGGTGGAAACGGCTGGAACGTTTTGTGCTTGTAGTACCGGATCCAGACGTACGTCGTTTTGGGGATGAAGGAGATGCTGGGATGACGCATATGCGAAATGGTGACAAAGTCCGAGCTTTTGAGGTACCGAGGGTCCAGGCAGGTGATCATGCGGAACTCGTTCTTCAGCTCGTCTTCATTTAACCATGTATGCTTGTTGCCGTTTTCGAGCTCCTCTTCTGTGCTCTGGATGACATCCTCTTCGAAAACGCGCGTGCGGACTTTGGCTTCAAAGTCGCGTCTTGCTCTAGCTGCACGTATGCCCGTGATTTGATACGGATACGTTTTCTCGCTCAGAAAGCGTCGGGAATGCCACTGCCATAGTGTTCTAGGCCGAGTCAGGGAGAACGAAAGCATGGCATGTTCGGGTAGAAACTGAAGTAATGTTGTGGCTGTGCTTTCAGCAACGATGTACCGTTTGACAAGATCATCGTTCGCTTGAATGCGCAAGTGAAGTTGGTCGACACAGAAGGCAGCTGGTGGTGCAAGTTTGCGAAATATTGTCCCATTGAGATTCAAGTACATTATGATCTCATACTCTCATTGCTTCGCCCTCCACACGGGATTGCCGCGCTTTGCGCCTTTGATATACCACCTGGTCCTGCGATTGGACCTGCTTCCGACGCACATATAGCATCGCCAAGACTGTGACGGCAACAGTGATCCCAACGACAATCCTCTGGATTTTCTTGCTTTTGCTGTCTAATCAATGAATAGGTCAAATCGACTTTCCCTCACCATCAAAGAGCAGGACACACCACTCTGGTTGAGAGCATATCCGACGTAGACAAATGCAAGTTGCTTGCCGAGTCCTAAGGTGGCAGCGACGAGAAAAACCCAGAAAGCCATGCCGCATGTAGAAAAGATGGCAGTCGTCACTTTGATCTGCAGTCAGCGAATGAGGCTACACATGCTCATGAAATTACTGACAATGGCCAGGAAATGCACTGTATCGCACAACAGTCGCCATCGGCAGGCCACCATGTCGAATAACGTGAGCGAGGGTTGCATAACTTAATTTTCTATTTTCGTACTTTTCCGCTCTTGAGCGGAGAGCATATCTAAAGAGGCTGCAAGGCTATTAGAGAATGGTTGAAAACGAAGTCCATTCAGACTTGCTAATACGTTCCTATCTCCCCGAGCAAGGTACCAGCTGGTCAACACATCCGTTAGCGGTTCCATACGAATGAGGCGCAATGCTCAAGTGCACTCACCAGCGACTAGAGCAAAACCAACGCCTATACCCCATACAAGGCCACACAGCATTGCGACGACTTCATGCCCAAATAACTGGAAAGGAAATGAGTATGAAGCAAGTTATCACGACCGGATGAAGTTCTGACTGGGGGGAAAGACAAGACGATGAGCACAGCGATGGGAACCAGCCATCCGCCTCTTGCGCTGGGCGAGTCGTGAGACAATACAGCAACGACTGGAGTGGATGGAACTTACCCATGAAGCCATCGTGTCACGGGTTTGAGCGCGTTTATGATTTGATCGTGATAAATCTCAATGAGCACAATCGCCACGATGATGACGACGAGGATGAGCAGTCCTCCTGTCGCTCCGGTCAAACGCTAAACGAGACAAGGTGCGTTTGAGAACGCACGAGCGATCTCCCATGTGCTCCGCTTTTTCCTGACGCCGCTCAGGAAGTCCAATTCACTTTGAGTAGGACTGGGAGTACGATTGATAGAGCGGGCTTGGAAACCAGGCTTGTCATTGCCAACCGGAGGGCCGGGGAAAGACGCGTCTGAGTCGGTTGGAGGTAGGTGGGTCGCTTGCATGGGTTGAGGCATCGATATCAGAGGATGTGATGTGACTTTGTCGTCCATGAGAGAGACAGAGAGAGGGGAGTTCGATGAGGATGAAGAGGTAGTCGCACGTGTGAAGAGACAGATGAGGTAGCACAGAGTTGAAGTTGTGGTGCAAGCGAGTTATATACTAGACTGCGCGGCTGTGTGGAGCCCTGCCAGTGGTAGGTCATAGCCTCTTGAGATTGATGCTGCGTGCAATTACGCGGTGGCTTGAAGAAGAGAACTCCAATGGGCACAAGTTATTTTAGAAATATATGGAGGGCCGATAGGCGTATAGCTCGGTGGAAGCAATGTCCAGAAGAAAAACAGGTGCTGCAGTTCTAGGGAGACGATAGAAAGAATGTCATCTGATGATGACGCGACTTCATGACGTAAAAGTGACCGTCACGTATCCCGATCTTTCTGACTTTTCCTGCCGTGGGCGTTCGCGTCTGAGACGCCAACTCATCAAACATTCCCAACAATGGCCCAAGAAAGCACCTCAGGCTTCGTTGAACGCGTTCAGTCCTTTGTCGCGGAGCACAAGACCGCCATCTTGGTTGGCACAGGTGTTGCTGTGGCAGTCGGTGGTGCTGTCCTATATGCCTCCTCTTCGTCTTCCGACAAAACGGACCGGAAGAAGGGCAGCAAGCCTTCCAAGAAGCGAAAGTCGGTCAAGGATGCTGATGGGCCTATTTTGGAGGAAAGGACGCCGAAGGCGGAGGCGGCTGCTGGTGTGTAGCAGAGACTAAGCTGAATTACCGGTCGCCTCTAACGCACTCTAAGATGAAGACGCGACGCCCTTGTCGCCGGAGGCACTCGCTGCCATGTCCACCGAGGTTCGGCAGTCGTTTCCTTGCCAGCAGACATGCTAATTTGCGCAGGAGCGAACCACGCTAGCTGCTTCCTACAAGAGCAAAGGAAACACTGCGTACTCCACGAAAAAATTCGCAGCCGCTGCCCAACTTTATACCCTTGCCATAGATGTGTCACCAAAACCGGAGCCTGTGTACTACAGCAATCGTGCAGCCTGTTCGTGTGATTTCTCACCACTAAAACGCGTCCGGCGCTTAACACATTCCCAGGCTATGTCAACATGAGTCCACCCAAGCACGAGCTCGTGATTGCGGATTGCGACGAAGCGCTGAAGCTGGACCCTAATTATGTGAAAGCGATGAACCGACGTGCCATGGCTTTGGAGGGTTTGCATCGCTATGCCGAAGCTCTGCGCGGTAAATTTACATCTCTTCGACGCGCCGAGTTTCTCAACTGGTTCCAGACTTTACCGCCGCAACGATTTTGGATAAATTCACGAACCAGGGGGCTGCTCAGTCAGTTGAGCGTGTCTTGAAGAAGCTGGCGGGAGAGAAGACGACGGAAATCCTTGCTTCCAGAGAACCTCGTCTACCCTCCTTCACCTTTATTTCCGCCTACTTTGCTGCCTTCCGTCCAAGACCGTTGCCGGACGTTGGCGAATCCCCAAGCACCGGCGACTCAACCTTAGTTCTCGCTCTAGAAGCCTTGGCTGCGGAGGACTACCCACATGCGGTATCACTGTCGAACGAAGCTATCGAACAGGGTCTCTCTTCCGATGCTCTGCGTGCTGAAGCGCTGAACCTGCGGGGGACATTCAAGTTCGTTCCTCTTCACCGGACGCAGGGTGTAATATTCAAACTTTCCTAGGTTTTTGACCGGGGAGGTTGAGAGTGCCAAGACCGATTTGGAGGAGAGCACGAAACTGTCGCCGGCATTAACGCAGAGCTTGGTGAAGGTTGCCAGTGTGTACATGGAACAGGGAGATCCCACCAAGGCGTTCGAGTGCTTCGATGCGGCCATCCGGCAAAATGCAGATGATCCCGACATCTACTACCACCGGGGACAGGTTCTCTTCATCATGGGTGAATACACAGACGCGGCCGAGAACTACACCAAGTCCAGCACCCTTGATCCCGACTTTGTGTTCAGCCACATCCAGTTGGCTGTTGCCCAGTACAAGGGAGGCAACATTGCGAACAGCATGGCTACCTTCAGGCGAACACTGAAGCAGTTCCCTAACCGGAGTGAACCGCACAACTACTAGTGCGGCACCTGTTCTTATCGCTTGAGCTCTGCCCTGACATTCAATCAGTGGCGAGCTTCTCCTTGACCAGCAGCGCTTTGCGGAAGCCGTTGAAAAGTTCGAGCGCGCTGTCGAGCTTGAGAAGTTAAAGTAAGTCTTGAAACTCCTTCTCGAGCATGTTGTCTGAATACTATTCGAGGTCCCCACCGAACGTCCTTGCCCTGGTCAACAAGGGTCTTGCACTGTACCAATGGAAACAGGACGTCGGGGCCGCTGAACGGTGCTGCAATGAGGCTGTCAGGATAGATCCCGAGTGTGAAGCCGCCGTGGCGACACTGGCACAGCTGAGCTTGCAGCAAGGTCGGATCGAGAAGGCGGTCGAGCTTTTCGCGCGCCAAGCCGAGCTGGCAAGGAGCGAGCCCGAGCTTTCCAGTGCCCTGACCTATCAATATGTGCGTAGTCTGTTGTGTTGATGATGGACTGCGACTGACGTCTTCTGGTAGGCTTCTTCAGCACAACTCGAATTTATGCAGAATTATCCCGCGATGGCATCTGAGCTTCGTGCTATGGCTCAGCAGATGTAATGGCTTTTCAATACCTCTGCAAGTTACATAATCTATTAGTTACAATAAACCTCTTCTCGTGATTCCCCTCGCAGATCACAGACTCATTATATTGCTGCGGCACAACAGGGACAGACCAAAGTCATTTCGTTCGTTCCATTGCGTGAAATAAGTGGCAGACCGGACACCAGCGAACGCTCCAAATCAACCGACTCCTCCCATCGTTCCGGTACCTTGTGATCGTCAGACAAAGCAGCATATATCGTCCGTCGCGCATAGGCCACATCTCGTGCATTCCCCGTGATGCCTAACCCCAGCAATGCGGCGCCACCCCGAACCATCGGCTTCGACGCGAGAAGAATGAGATTCTCGGGGATATCGGCCCAAGCTGCAGACAGATACGCCTTCCGTTTCTTGTCAGAGAAAGGGGGGAGGGTCACAGGTTCGTTGCAGTCGGGCGACACCAGGAGCCGAGCCAGAGGATTGGTCATCTCTAGATAGTGCTGGCGTTCTAGCAGACACGACTGATGGTAAACGCGTCGGCATCTGGGGCGAGGGCACATGTGCACAACATTTGACAGGACACGGCTTTTCACGTCATAAGGCGCTCCGCAGAAACATCCGGTGATTGGAGACTGCTCTTCGCCGGACGTTTTTAGACTAAACTGAAGCAATTCCAGTGGGCGAACGGCAGTCTTCATGAAATACCGAGTGTAAAAGTCATCTTGTCCGATCGGCAGCTGGTCCGGATCGTCTTCGTGAAATCGGTGGACGGGAACGTGATCTGTGTGCAGAAGGATAAGAAGCCGTCAAAAACTATGCCGAAGATTCTATGCGCACGCTCGAAGGCCAGAGCAGAGACGAGGTCACTGTGATCGGAGTATATCCGTTCGGTTTTGAGGCAACGACCTTCCGAACTGTCGATTCTTCAACGCTTGTCTGGCCGTGCGAGAATCCGATTCGACTTACAATTCCTTAGTAACCCTGCTCACTTCCCCTGGTGAATAGTACCAGTTGACTCTGACCCAGATATCGGGGTGATCCTGGCTATCCATGTCCACAATAGACCCATGCGTGTTCCGCTTCCGCCGCTTCGAGATTGGTGCGTGCTGTCGTGCGCGTATGCCTTTGATCTTCACGATCCAGTACCTGTGCGCCGGGAGCCGCCTCCCTGGCACAGTCCATCCAGGAAGCACGGCAGCTCTATGAGACAGCTCAGTCATTCAGATAAGCACGAGCGGCGGATGACTGACGTATCCCCCAGCTTGAACTCCTCGTCACCCCCTTCATTGTCCTGCCCTGCGTTCCGTTGCATCAAGACCGAGCATGAGAAGTGGCCAGTGAGTGCACGAACCAACAAACGATTCGTACGGGGTCATACGATTCCATTCCTCGGCTGTCGGAGCGCTCGGATCGCCACCCGTCTGCTTGGCTTTTCCTTTGCCCTTTCTACTAGTAGGCGCTTTCTTGGGTGTAGTAAGAGCAGCGGAGACACCCTCCAGCTTGATAACGGAGGCAACGCCACCGGCCTTGCGGACATAAGCTCGTGTGCTGTACCGTTGCTGCTGTCGCGTGGGGGACATGGTCGTTGTGGATGACATGTAAGCGTCGATTCTTCAACTAATGTAGTACGTAAAGGAACATGTGCATCACCTGATCGCGAATGTATTGATGGATTCGCATCCTGGGAGCAGACTGCAAATCGGAGGTTCAAGAATCAACAGGAGTATATTATACATTGATGTAGTGGTACATTAACAGTGACATGCGGAATTATAGGCGTGAAATCAAACTTTGCCGTCAGCAACCTTCTCTGTTCTGACCAAGTTGCCTCGGGTTTTGGAATCCTGGCCATCGAAAGATTCACTGTCATTCGGAGACTCGTAGAGTTTCTCCGCAACGACAGGCTGGCGCAGCACGAACTTCCGGAATCCATAGGGAACTTGCCGCAATCCGTAGGCAGCGTGATCTCGCATCGGCAGCGAGAACACTTGATCGAGTTCTTCAAGCGTTCGACCTTTCGTCTCGCGAACAAACAGAAGAATCAGGACCCAGATCACGCTGAATACCATGTCAGACGCACACACACAGCCGAGAAAAAATAAACTCACCAGCACCACGCTGCGTAGAAGCCGAATGCGCCTTGTGGCTTAAACGCATTCAACAGCGACGGGAAGGTGATTGAGAGCACAAAGTTGAAGAACCAGGTCGTGGCAGTAGCAAAACTCATGCCCAGCTCGCGGATATACAGTGGGAATCTTAACAAAACGTTAGACAGGAACCAGTTGGATGCACCGAGGCACTCACGCTTCTGCAGAATACGTGAAGGGCACCGGTCCTTCACCAGGCGAGTAAAACATGGCGAACAAGTCTGACACACGAAGTCAGTCAATGCCCAGTCACGATCATGGAATGCGAAATACTCACAGATACCCAGAGACACGCCAGCGACACGACCAGTCTCTGAGGGTGACCAGAACGAGAATCCTGTGATGAGCAGACACATCGCCATGAACGGGAAGGTGAACAACAGTAGGTTCCTGTGACTGATGAGCCATCGTCAGTGATCCTGGCGCGGAACTGACCTTCGACCGAAGGTGTCAATCGTGAACACAGCGGGCAGCGCAAACAAGAAGTTGATCAGACCGAAACCAAACGAGGACAACAGCGATGAAACACGCGAGAAGCCGGATTGGAAGAAAACGGTGGACGAATAATAGGCGATGACGTTGACACCACAGAATTGCTGGCCTGCAAGCGAGATTGAGTTAACACGGCTAAACAGAATGACGAGCGAAATCACCCACCGAACATAACGACAAAAGAAGCGATTGCCGCATTGCGGTTCCGCGCAATAGAGAACATCTCCCACAGACGGTTGCGTCCCGAGATGATCTTTTTCTCCTCCTCGAGCAACACATGAATGTAGTAGAGGTCTCGTGCAGCTTGAACTGGCGCAAAGCGCAGTCTGTTCAATTCCTGATACGCTTCCCGGTAGCGACCACGGCCGATCAACCACCGCGGCGATTCGGGCGCCCACCATACTTGAATGCAGACGAGAAGAGCAGGAATACCGGCAGAGCCAAGCATCAATCGCCAGTTGAGGCCAGTCACATGAGGCTTGTCGCCGACAAAGTAGAAAGCCACGTCAACCAAGTCGCCGAGCATGATTCCGAAAGCAGTCCACATTTGCCACATCATCACCAGGGACCCTCGGATGGAGGCTGGTGCGCATTCTGCAGAGTACACGGGGACAGTGGCAGATTTGGGGCCAATACCGAAACCCCTGAAGCTACGTTAGATGAGGATAAAGGACAGTAGAACTCCATACAGGAAGAATCGGGCGATGAACAGATGCCACCACGTATTGGTAAGCGCACTCCAGATGCAAGTGACAAAGCTGCGGCAAGGGCGTGAGCGTACGAAACCCGAGTGAACCGGGCGAGCGCACCTGATTAAGCAAGTCAAGAAGATCGTTTTCTTGCGGCCGAGCATCTTGTTGAGCGGATCGGTCAGCCAGCAACTGATGACTGCACAGCAAAGATAAGGCGCAGAGTTGACCAAGCCGACAAGCCACGAGTCATGTTCTGCATGCTCGAAATTAGCAGGTGAAAGGCAAGAAGGGGTTGCACGCACGGCTTCCGGATCCGATTCCGAACTGTGAGGGGTAGATGATCTGCGCGCCGTTGATGACGGTTTCGTCCATACCCTGGACTGCGGCGGCGAGCGATGACATGATAACCATAAAGTACAGCGTGGGCGTTTGGTGGTACCGATGCGTTTTTTCACGTCGGAGATGATATAAGTCATTCTCATCGAGCAGGTCGATGGAGTCGATGGCTGGAAACTAATGAGTACGTGGACAAATGATCAGAGGCAAGAGAAGGTGTCACCATTTGGGTCCTGCGCGACCAAAGCGCCTTTCCTCAAATCAGCGGTGATATCCTGCAAGCCGTGCTCTTCCGCAAAGCGATCTACATCGGCGAGCAGCTTTTCACGCGGTATGCCGCGGAGCGGGTTTTCAAGCTTGGCGTTTACAGCCCTTGAGATAAGATTAGCATTCTCGCCGAGGCAGAAACTGAAGGGCGCGTACGTCAACTCCTTGACCGACTCAGCTTGAGCGCTGATTCCTCTGTGCGATGAACGGCGAGAGTTTGAGAGCATCGTCGACGTTCCGTAGGGCGAGTGATTTTCGTGATGTGCAGTGACCGGCTTTTCCTCCGTCAGATGCGGGTGCGCATTAGTTGGTGGAATCGCGGTGTTCGGCGTCGTTGGAGTCGTCATGAATTACGTCGAGCCAGAAGTGCTAGGTGGACTGATGAACTTCGAGGTGTCCGTGAGGGGTCAGAGTCACTCCACAGTCTGCCTTTATAGGTTTCCTTTTCGGACATTGGAGTAAATGCCGGAGGACCTTGAAGGTCGGTAGATGTCGATGGAGTGTCTTGTGGAGTCCCGGCACAGAGAACATCCAGACTCCAAATTTATTGAGTGACTTGATCGAAGTGCGTCATTGATTCTTTCCATGATCGGAAGTCGGCCCGATACCGACCCGAATGCACCAGTATTCCAATTTCAGTACCTATAGACCCTGATTAATGGATGCGTTGGCCCAACGAAGGGAGCTACGTAGATGAATATCTATAGGAGATCTATTTCTTCGAAGTTCCGGCTCGCAAGTTCCGAGAATCATTCGATCTCTGGCTCCCCTAGGGCAGTGGAACTCGTACAGGGATTTGGACGGTCTTCTACATTGCTTACTGGTTTTTGTGCTCTCGTGGCCTGCTTACTTGTACCAAAGGATTCCCTTGCTGCAGTGATGCGCAACGCCGACGCGTGACAAATCTCAATTTGTGATTGCTGATCGAGCTTTATAACACACGGAATAACTACAGTGCTTATACTCGAACCTTGTCATCTACCAGAAACTTAATCACCTCTGTCGACCCAGCATGGCTTCCGTTGCTCTGAAACCTCTCACTCTCCAGATTATCAGTGACTCGATATGCCCGTAGGTCCCCACCGCTTCCCCAGACTCCATCAAATCTGATACAGATCGCAGTTTCTGCTACTTGGGATATCGTCAAATAACATTGGCTATGGAGGCGGCGAAGAAGGAAGCCCTGCCCGTTGATTTTAAGCTCAGGTTCAAGCCGTTCCTTCTGGACCCATCACTTCCGACCGACAAGCCTCTGAACAAACGGACTCTGTACTACGGCAAGTTCGGCAAGGAGAATTTCGAGAGAATGGAGAAGCAGATGATCGCGAGGGGAAAGGACGTGGGGATCAACTACTCATGTGAGTACTCTCCGCGAGGAAACGTGATGCATACACTGACGGCTTGGTAAGACGATGGCGACGTAAGACAAACAACCGAGTCGCACCGGCTCATCGAGAAAGCGTTTCTTGTTGGAGGAGAGCAGAAACAACGCGCGGTCGTCGAAGCGTTGTTTGCAGGGTACTTTGAAAATGCGCGGGATGTCGGAGATCACGGATTTTTGGTTAATTGTGCGGTAAACGCTGGCGTGTTTGGAAACGCCGACGAGGCACTCGCGTTCTTCAAAAGTGCCGAGCTGAAGGATGTGGTGACCAAGGACATCGGAGAAGCCCAGAAAATGGGCGTCCAAGGTGTTCCCTTCGTCGTCCTGAACAACAAGGTGAGCATCGCCATGCCTGATCTCTGCGTCAGGGCTCAGTCCATTCGCATCAGTATGCTGTTTCAGGTGCTCAAGGACAGGATGCGTTCCTCTCAGTATTCCGGAAGCTTGCTGCAGAAGCCAGCCCAGCGATCACGACAGAGCAGGGAGAAGTTTGCTGAGGTCCAGATGCAAGTAGTGTCCAAGTCCTGTCAGCGTCTATACGCAGCACTGCCTCCGCAATTGAATCATACTCGAGTACATCCCATTCATCCACTGGTATGCCCAAGTCATCCAAAGACTTCGCCTACTCGCAAGAGCATGTCCGCGAGCGTGCCTACGAACGATATTCCCTAGAGCTGGACGATGCAGACTACCGTACGCTGAATCAGGTGGTCGATCGAGCCAGAAATCAGCCGGATCCGGTCGACCTCGATGAGGGAACCTTGACATTATTGAACGACGAGGACAACAGGGAACAGATTTGGGGAGTCAAGTGGAAGGACAGCGGCAAGACGTTGCTGTGCGTGTGGAATGTTGAGCTGGGTAGAGTGACCACGCTGCTCCCGGAGAACACTGTGGTCCGACGACGAGGAGGAACGTCTGTGGCCCACAAGAAGAATAAGAAGAAGCAGGGGACCGAAACTGCGTTGAGGAAGATGTAGGGATGCACATGTATACATTCGGATCCAGCTGTAGCGTTGAACGAGCGAACTAAGTTTGAGAAAGGATTGGGACAGTTGCGAACACGCACCGATCTTCAGCCGCGAATAGGTCTTTGAGACCACCATTGGCTTCGTATAAAGGCCAGTGCTGAACATCATGAATCTTCACCACTCTGGCCTTTTGGCTTAGATCAAGTGTAGTATCTGTTCTTAATAGTTTAACCACTATTAGAGGGACACAGTCCCTTCTATTTGGTTATCTAATTTTTGCCGCCCTTGTCTTTCTGCTCTGCTTGCAACAGAAGGACGCAATGACCTTGCCGCTGCACTACTGGCTTGTGTCGTTGGGGGTCCCCTTTTTTTGCGTCCTCCGGTGGGCTAACCCTAACCCCAGATTTCTATATCGACAGCGTCTCTGCCCGAGACAGCTCTGGACGCTAGGCACTTGAATTTCATTACAGATGTTTCATTTTCCTTATTCCGGGATACATCACGACTCGAGTCCATGTTTCATCTGGCGATCGAAAAGAGAGCTCGATCCACGTATGGCCGTGCCAGAATGACCTCCGTGAATGGTGCTAAAAGTACATTAGTTCCCTGACCCGGAGCGTAATTCTAGACTAAATTTCCCAGTTTTACAATCAACGAGACAGAAACTCGTGATCGTAAGCTCCCAATGAGTGGAAGAATAACAGGATGATGGACCTTCGGCAGTTCATTAAGGAACGGTAGATGAAAATGAACAAAAACTTACCATTTGTCACCAAAAACCGAGCAAGACGACATTCGAAGATGATTGAAGATCTTCCCACTGGTTACGGAAATGCCGGACAGATGAATGCAGATGTAGATCGAGGTAGGGCTTTGAAACTGCGGATGCTCGGGAAGCAGCGAGCGATGTGCAGCATGATTGCTGTTTCTTCCGGGGTCGAATAGGGTGTTTCGATGAACCGCTTTGACCAGATTCCTATCGAAGAGCTTTCGATTCATCGTGGCGCATGGGATGTTGTCCTGCACTCACCGATGTTGGCCAGTCCCCATTCGGGAAAAGAATGTGCCGCGAGAGACATGCAGAAAGGAGATGCCTGCAGCTTGCAAGGCAATTTAGAGGTGGCACGACTTTAGGCAGGTGTCTCATCACATACGACTAGTATGTTGTGTTGCTATCACAGGAGTAAGTCGTGGCGCGTTACAAAGGAATCGATGGGCAACACACCATAATCATAATTTCCGACGCGACATATTCAGCCAGCACAAGGCCCAAGCTATCCAAGGCCGGTAATCGCCGGGCCAGAAGATCTATTGTCGAAACAGTCAGCGTAGACAGGCCGATATACAATGTTCGTAGACCGGAGTCTAGGTTGCGGCGAGCGAAAAGTTGCACGAAAGCAAGTAGCTCGTCTTCGCCGAAGAAATAGTCAACCAGATGTAAGGTTGTCAGGGTATGCGCCGAATAATTGATACATGCGAGTGTCTCTTCGAAGGACCTGAAGGCGGGTATTTTGAGAATCGTGAGATCTGTTAGCACTCGAGGGTCCGAGAGCAGTGCCCGGGAGAACTGAGACCAAATGCAGGTTGGTGCATCGGCCGGTTCGGAGACGGCCGCATATGATTTGCGGAGCTCTATGCTCCGTAACATCTCCGTGTTTCGACGCAAGAACCCAATGAGCGCATCTGGCTCGGAAAGATGTGCAGAGTCCCAGGGCAAGTGAAATATCAGGTTGTATAGACGAGGGAACTTGTCCAAGGCAGGAAACAGAGACGACAGGTCAGCCTTGGAAGCAGAGAAGATGAAGAGGCTGCTGATTGTACGTCGAAAGCGGTTAATGAACGGGGCAATGGTATTTTGCAGAATTCGAAGCGTCTCTTCTACATCCAACTCGATGTTGTCGTGGTCAAAATAGAGCTCCAGATCCTCGAGGTTTTCGAATTCGACCGTTGATACCAGCGCCCTGAAGTTCTCAAGTTGTGCGTTCAGAGTGAGTTTGCGTAGACTTATTCCGAACGCGCTCCGAGCAGTCGAGAGCAAGCGTAACGTTCGTTGATTGGGGGAAAGGTCACGCCATTCGAAAGTGTACTCCGTGACCTGGCTCATCAGAGATAGAGCTTCCGTCATTGCCTCCATGATATCCTCGGCGTATGTCGTGTTCCCCTTCGCACCGTGGCTCAAACGAGACGGCAGTCGCAAGTGGCGGTTTAGCCAGCGTTTAGAAATGGCCATCGCCGAAGGACGGGACTGGGCCTCCTTCCGGTTGAGATACTCGATGAACCAAGCTCGAACATGTAGTCGGCGAACGCGTTGAGCAATACAGGGTGTTCTGAGTGCACTATGTGAGCGGAACGTACGATCTATCTGAAACCTTCCCACCGTAGACGCACCAGCGTGCGCGCCAAATCCTTATCCACCTTGTCCCAATGGATTTCTCGGTATTTGGCGTTTAACACGATGTTGTACAGCGCCTTGTTAACTGATATGAGGGGCGAAAGCTCTCGTTGTGGAAAGAAGAGGGCCACGATCTGCCAAACATCTTCAGGCAGGTCTACGATGGTCATGAGCGAAGCGAAGTCGCGGGATGGCGGGGAAATGATAGTGGCTGTGAGACGCACTGTACATCACTTCATAGAGTTAGTCAACATGAAGCATAAGCACCTCTAGCATTCGTACTGGAAAAAGGTTGACATTGCGTAGTGTCTTGCGTAGCAGGACCCCGCATGTAGACCATTGGCAGTGAAACCTTCGTTGATGTGAGATCATGTATTTTACTCGCATCGAATATATATTTACAACCGGAGACGTTGCAATTATATTGGGTTATACTGGGGTTAGGGTTAGCCCACCGGAGGATGCAAAAAAAGGGGACCCCGACGACACAAGCCAGTAGTGCAGCGGCAAGGTCATCGCGTCCTTCTGTTGCAAGCAGAGCAGAAAGACAAGGGCGGCAAAAATTAGATAACCAAATAGAAGGGACTGTGTCCCTCTAATAGTGGTTAAACTATTAAGAACAGATACTACACTTGATCTAAGCCAAAAGGCCAGAGTGGTGAAGATTCGTAATGTTCAGCGCTGGCATTTATACGAAGCCAATGGTGGTCCGTGCGCGAGCGTTGCCGGGAGTTTCACGTGCGTGCTGGTACTTGAGATACTATTACGTAGCCCAGCTTGTTTCCTTCGCCTTGGAAGTTCCACGAATTTCCCCTCCGACATTTTAGGCCCAGCCTCTGAGCCCCGATTCACTCCAGTCGAGTCCAGTGTTGTTGATGCTAGACGTACGGACGCTCAGTCTCCTCTATCAGTCGTTATACAGGCACTATCTCCACCGACCAAATCAGTGCATCATCAACAACGACCGCGTTGCGGCGTCCCTCATGAAACATCGCGGTGGCATTCGCTATCTGTCTGACTCGAACTCGAACTCGAATCAGCGCCCGTCACCCTGAACGAATGATTCGGTCGCTACTAAGCTTGACAAGAACAGCAATGACTCGCCTCCTGGATAGATTCGCTGATATAAAGATGATGGCTCGTACTCCTGATCAAAGCAATGTCCTCCGCATCGACCTCTCCCTCTGCCTCATGGAGACAGCCCGTGTCTGCCTCTGGGGCGGAAGCACCTCCAACGATGCCCCTCCTCCACTCTAAAATCTCCTTCGCGGTGGACGCGTCAGGGTCGACAGCGGGCAGAGTCATGGACATGCAGAAGAATTTCGTCTTGGGAATGATGGAAGGGTATGAATATCCCAACTGCGTCATTATGTGGGGAAGCAGCGTCGAGGCACCAACCGCCGTGTCCCAAGTCCGTTGGAGGGAACGATCGTGCGTCCCCAATTCGCCCAGACATTGCATCCCGCATTAACACGAAGCAACTCTATAGATGGGGCACCGACCCGGCCGTGATCTTCAACACCGCAGCGACAACGTCAGAACTCAAGAGCTGTGACATGTGGTACCTGCTCACTGACGGCGAGATTGGCTCCCCTGTCCCTTTCGCGCAGAAAGCGCTCGCTGTAGGCATGGCCAACACCCCCGTCGTGTTCGTCATCACGAATCGCGACGGAAGCAAGCCCTCGAGCGTCAACATTTCTGTCGGGATATCTGTCTTCGCCTCGGCCCCTGACGCCGCCATCGTCTTCAAGAGCTGCGCGGATGGGCGCATATACGTCCTCGCCGCGAAAGGAGCATTCGGAACTCTCGTGGATGGGTTCGAACTGGATCTCGAGAATTGGGAGTCGCTGCCCTTGTTCCCCACGGAGGAGCAGTTCAAGGCAGCGCTCAAGGATGTGAACATCGTTGGAGTGCAGCACCGTGCTAACGGAGGTGCCGTCGATCTTGGTCCAACGTGGCTGTCCAAGCACCAGTGCTTAGTCGACATCGATCTCTTGCTCACGCAGATGCAACCAGACAGCATCCCGCAAGATGAACTGATTGACCTCCTCCAAGAAGACACATTCGAATCGCTGTCTCTTTTGTGCAAGACACGCGGTCTTTTGAAGCCTCTTCGGGATTGGTTGTTGGTTCGGAAGGAGAGGGTAACCGTGATTGAGATGCGGGATGTGGGTGGGGCTGCCCAGATTCTTCAGCAGATTCGAGACGGCGCACCTTCCGAAGGGCTACGCGAGAAGCTCCGTGCGGCACATCAAACTAATCTTGAGGATTTCCGAGCGCGACATACGTCCATCACACCCTCACCTCTCGTCCCGCTTGTGAACCGATGCCTCGCTGCTCTCACAGCACTGGAGAAGGCGGGCTATGGCGCGGATATCCTCGACCGTCGGTCAAACCGGGCGATGCGTGCAGCACTCGTTGACTCTTCACAAGTCGGTCAGCAGCTGGCCACTCTCAGCCTGGACGAATCAGTAGAGGCGTATCGGTCGACCTGTTCCATCTGCTGCTCGGATGACGTCATCATGTCTCTGGCTCTCAAATCCCCATCGAATCCGAGCGACAACACCACTGATTATGCACTCAACTTTCCGCTTGCTGCCGGTGCTGCGTCGCACAACCAGGACGTGCTCAGTGCTCAAAATGTATGCTTCCAGTGTGCCCTGGCCATGTTCCAAATGGATCCCAATCGGGCGACGATGTACAACGAAGCTGTTGCCGCTGTCGTACCCCTGACCAAATTTGACGGTGTGAACCGCCAGTACATCTCGAATTGTCTTGCGAGCGTGTTGACCGGTGGATTGGCCACTGGCGCCTCGGGGCTCGCCCAAGTTCTCATGAGTATCTTGTTAACGACGATGAAGACCAAAGAATGGGCCAAGGAATCTGCTGGCGACGAAGAGATTCAGACCCGACGAGCGGGTCTGCTCTGGATGGTTGACAATCTCATCTCCAACGTATCTTGTCGCGAGACCTTCGATGAAACGGGGCCGTGGGTCTCTTTCGACAAGGCGCTGCGCTGGACTTTGCTCAACTTTTCCGAGGAGGGGATCTACAGCTGGATAGTGCGGTACCCCATCCCTGGATTCCTTTTGCTGCTCGACCTTCTTGCGAAAGTGGGCGGAGTGCAGATTCCCCAGTCTCTGCTTGTGGCCAAACTCGTGCACGAAATGGTCACCGTCTACATGGCACGGATTGTGCGGCCGACAGCCGACAAGCTCGCTGTCCAGCGGCAGATCCTCAAGGTCGTCTTCTCTTCGTTCAACGTGGAAGGCGTTCCACGACATATCGACGACTCGCATGCTATCATTGGTCCCGACGCGGCCTTCGAGACTTTGGACACCTGGATCGGTTCTCCGGAGTCTTCGACATTGATTGAGCAGATCCGCGCGGCGGGTGGTGACAAATATGCGTCAGCCTTGCAATGTACGTTGTTTGACAAGACATTACTGCCGACCTGACGGGAACATTCTGCAGATGTCGCATTTAAGCTATTCGCGGAAGACAGCCACCAAACCCCCAAGGGCTATCTCACCCGGGCAGCCCAAGCTGACGTGCACATCCAGACAGCGATCACCAAGCCGGAAGAACTGACCGCTGCGGTCGTCGTTCCCGTATTCACTGCAATGTGGACCGGAATTGCGGTTGACGTCGATCACGCATCCGTGACTGTTGAGACGATCGCCCGGTTCGTGTCTCCCTATGGCCCAAGCACACTCAAATGTGGTACTGGGAATTGCGGGGTGCGGTTTGATGGAGACGGTGTCCATCCCGACGCCGTGCGCAAAGCGCGTGCCGCCCATCTCTCAAAGGCCTACGGAATCGCTGGCGTCGAGTCTCGCACGGGGAACGGGCTTCCTGAAAACACAGGGCGGCTGCAGGCCCCGACCACGACACACGTCACCCTCCACTCGAGCATATACAAGTCGTGGAAATCACTTGACCGCGATGCTCGCCGTCTCATCCTGGAGGAAGTCACATCCGGCCACGTCGACTCCAACAAAACCGAGACCGCGAGCTTCATCGATAAGGTCATGGACCATATCTGCTTGAAAAGCGCCCGCGGCGATATCTACGACCATCGGCTGCGTGAAAATGTGCTCTGGGTGCTTCCCAGTTTCTTCGCTGCGTTGCACAAGGCGACAGTAATGATGCACCTCTCGGACGATGCCGAACTGGAACTACTCGACTTCTCTCTGGCGGCGAGAATCGAATGGGAGCTCGAGGCTGAAAAGTTGTAATCATACCCATGTATTATCGTAATCTGCGAATTGCTTTATTGGGCGGCTCACCGCCACTTCATCGCCACATGTCATGTCAAACGTCGATCGAAAGATAGGGCGTCTCGATAAGTTGATGTTACATTGATGAGAAACCAATGTTCCCTTCGCGTTATCTCGACTTTCCGTTGCCACGTACGTTCAATTTCAACAGAGACACGAAGACTATCGACTATCACTGCGCCTAGTGGAGATTAAACGATGCCTGTGATGTTAATCGGAGTAGAGATCGAGCCCAAAGTGATCACAGAGTTATTCGCCGGGCCTGATTTCGCGAAGCTGTTCACAAACACGACCGAATATTTCGCATCGGCAAAGTAGTACCACGGGGGAACCTATGCGATCCGAGTCAGGCGCGCGGATTTATATGTAAAAGAATCCGAAAGCGTACCTGAGCCGTGAAAGTATCGGCGGGGGATGCTCCGGGAACGTAGGTCCGACGGTCGAGGAGGATCGGAGCCTCGTGCCCATTGTTGTTGCTGAGCACCTCGATGTAATAGTCCATGTAGGTCGGCAGGTACCCAAGTTGCTTGGCACATGTCAAATCCACGTGCACGGTGAACCACTGCGTCAGCGTCAGCCTGGATGATCGAGAGATAGAATGGAAGCAGAATCTACATCGCCTTGAGCTACGGTAGAGGGCACGACAGACAGCACGCCAAAGCGCGCCGCCTCGCTGCAGAACTGCGCATTGGCCACGGGAGCCGCGAAGAAGGTCGCAAGGGAAGCGAGAGCAAACAGATTGAAACGCATCGCGAGAGAGAAGCGGTCGTGAGCAAAGGCAACGATATGGACTGCCTTTTTATATTGGAGGCGGACGGAGAAAACAGACCGCACGATAACATGTGATCGCGGGTATGCATCGAACTGAAGTCATCGAGCCCAGTATCGCTACGTAGCTGTCCAAGGACACTCACAGGCCCCCGGTCACTTGGGTTGAGATGTCAGGGTCACTCCGCCACCTTGGATAGATTGACTCTACCAAATTGGGCCTTAGGCTTGATTTGCTCCATTTCATAGTAGATCAGGAATCTCTCATGCACAATCTAGCTGTATTTTGTTTCCTGCGTCGGTTTTGGGGCCTGTTCAACTGGTCGTCTGGTCACATGTACACTTCATCCCTGGCATCAGGAATGCAGTTTAGGTCTGAAATTGAGCTCTCTACCATTTCCCTCTGTCGTAGATCTACCGTGCTCTCCCAAACTCTACTCTCTATCTGGAGCGAGCAAGCGCTCTTGAGGCATTGTGTGAACGGGAGACTTGTCTTTCTTGGGTTCTTGTTGTACTCTATCCCGGAGCGATATACACGTCAGTGACCGGGGGAATACCTGGAGCCTGAGCAGAAAAATTGGCACCAGGAATACATTCTACTAGTCTAGAGGTTGATGCTAATTCCCGTCGCCTCAAGAACGGAGTATCAAAATACCTGGTGGAGCGGATTAGGGCCGAGGGCATAGCCCGTCTCAGGCGCGGATAATTATGCCAACATCATCATATATGCTTCGAGCTTGCGGAGCACATTCGGAGGTTCAATTTCAGATCGCGCAATCTGAGTGGCAGAGCAGGCAGAAGTGAACTTGCAGTGACTAATATGGAAGGGTGGCTGTGCAGTCATATTGTCCTCCCTCCCGCCCTCTCCATTCATTACTTCAAAATGGCCGATCTCACGGTCCTCGTCTCCCCAATACCCCTGTATGCACACCAGAAAGCCGCATCCTCCTCGGTGACTTCTCTAGTGTCCTCCATCGTTCGTTCGTCCTCACCCTCGCCCCTCGCTACTCGTCGTAATCGTGCACCATCCCCCATCATGGTCACACTTGAATCCGCTCCGCTCCCAGACGAGTCTGCGGCTCGCAGAGAACAAATGAGGCGTGACATAGCCTTGCTCAGCCCTCCCATGAATACCTGGAAAAGCCCGCAAAACAGGCATCGGCCGCAGCGATCGCAAAGTGCACCTCCCACTCAAACATCTTTTCGACGAGAGGAGGTCGAAATCCGAAGGACCGGAAGCCCAGTCGACGATGCTATCTTCCGACCGCAGCAGTTTCCGCCTGGTCTAATACCGGACACAAGCCGCATCAACGGGATCGGCAGCAGGCAGACCCCGCGACGCAGTGTGACTGCCGGGCACGGTGGGTATGCGTATGTTGCGGAGGGCGGGATGACGATGCGAGGGGGCGAACTCGTGCGTCCTCCTCCCCCACTATGTGAGTCATCCGCGACACCGACTGAAGCCATGTTCACACCCCACTGCCAGTGCGCCCTTCTCCGTTCTGGCGACGCGCGCACCGATCCGCGCTGACACCACCCGCATACGCGCCTGCTTCGCATCTCGTGCGGAGGAGCACGTTCATCGCAGCCGGCCTGCCGCTTGATGCCCCGGGGCACGACGCCCGAGCGCTGTGCGTCGAATCGAGACTCACGGGCGAGGACGGCGTTCGGAGCGGTGCCAAGAGAGTCATAGAAGTCCCTGGGAGTGAATGGATGGGGCTCGGGGTCTGATTCCACCCCCGCATCCAGGTTGGAGGGTCAGGACTCTATTACGACGAGATTATCTCTGCGCTGGCGCTTTCCTCCGGAACATTAAGGCGCCGTCATCGGCAGGTAATTGGGCGTCCTCAGATGCACTGCGGTTCGCATTCATCGACGAGACATTGCAGGAGTACAGCTACGTTGCCGAACTCCTCACTTCGTCGCTCTCTCAATGTATAGCATCATCTCTTAGCATATATGGACATGGGTTGTTTGTGGGTCAATCATAATCTCCGTTGAAAACGAGAAGGATGGGTCGCGCGGACTGGAAGCTACAAGTCGAGGGTCGCCCGACGAGACTTGGAGGCAGGATCGAAAAACGGCTTTTCACCAATACTGACAACCCGATTGCCTGTCCGCACTCCGGCAAAATCGTTCCTACATGAAGCTGAGCAAACGCCATCGGAGCAGCATAAAGAAACCAACGTGGCAGTATGGAAGGTGCATCGATTGTCCCAGATAGCGATGTCGTTCTTCTTCCACTTGAAGCGCACTTGCATGTCATGGTTCTCGGAGACGTGGCGCCTGAGATACTCGAGGGTGGTGTCGGATTCCTCCTCGTGCAACTCGACGATGCGTTTGGTGAAACTATACTCGACGTTCAGCTCGGCCGGACGAGAGCCATCCTGGTAGTCTGGGCTCACCTCTTGTTTACGAAGAGGGTTTTCCACCCGGTGACAGGATGTGTGCGGATGACGGGGCTATTCTCTGCTCAGTCGAATATATGGCCAATACGGCCACCACGTACTGGACTGCCTTCAACTCTGTGCCGATGTTTTCGGGAGATCCGCGGGGCTCATTGATGGGGCGGCCGACCCGCTCTGCATACTAAGGGGAGGAGGTGAGTGAATGGCCAGATCGGGTGCGTTGCCCATCCCCGTACCCTTTTGAAGCCAGCACCATCATGCAGTGCTGTCAGACCCTCGAGGAACTTCTGGTACGCAGGAGACAACTTGTCGTACGCTTCGTAGCCGCTGGGAGGAATCGAGGTGAGATCCCCGCACACACACACACACACACACAGGTGCTAAATCAGGACTGACCTTGCCCACTAGTAGATGTCGTTATCGTCCGTTCAATTGCAGACTGTCGACTTGGAGAGTCACACAGAATACGCACCAGTGTGTCGCCACCAACTTCAGATCGATTAGTTTCGAAAACAGGATCTCGAGTGGAAAGCGCACCGGAGGGCACAGTGTGCAGCTTCAAGATCTATGTGCGTCGCTCGTGAGTCGCGCGCAATTCCAAGGACAGAAACGAGCGCGATAGATACCGCATAGTCAGATGGGACAGGCTCGAAGGTGATGTCCGTGTGCCATCCATTGCTCGCACGCACAGTGCTCGAGTATCCACTACGCGCGATGCCCCTGGAAAGGACGTTCACACACTGATCCGAGGACACACATGCGAATGCGGCGCACCCTTCGGAGCTAATCACAGACACATCCTTCGTCAGCTCAGGCGTGTCCTCCGAGATGGGATGCACGTGGAGTGTAGATGTCGGTGGTTTCCCTGCAAGCTGGCCCAGACGTTGCCCGAGCGCCTTCTGCTCGTCGATGGTGAGGTCCTGGTCTGAGAAGAACACAACGCCGCGGTAGGACACGAGGGTGGCCAGGTCCTTCACGAGCTCATCGGAGTTGGGTGCGCGAAGGATCTGAGAGAGCTGCACGGCTTTGTTGGGGAAGCGGGTGCCGATGTGCGGCGTCTCATCGAACGATTCGTAGACACTGAGCGAGCCGAGCGGAGAAAAGGGAGCAGCCACCATTGTGGGGAGGAGGTTACAGCGTGTGGAGGACGGATGAGGGTGACAGATGCCTGCTTGTCGACTTATCTACAACCGCAAGGCGGCCTCGCCTGATCATTTGAATTTCGCTATCAGCACGCGATCTGGCGGGCGAATGAGACGAGATGAGAGAAACGCTACGGGCGAGTCACTAGATTGCGGAGTCCGAGGGGCAAGTGTCTTGTTTTCCACGTTCGACGTCGACCGTGTAAGACAAATCTGAGTGATACAGAATGGATATTATGTGATTATGGTGCCAGTCGAGTGATGGATGATGCACCAGCCCCAAAAATACCCGTCTTACTCCACGCATTAACCAGACTCTCCAGAAAAGGTCTGTCCAGAACTTCTTGAGATGAATGTCTGCGACAAGATAATAACCACAAAACCGATCATCGACGGTCATCTGGACGTGTGTCCCACTGTCTGATCAACAGCCAAGTTGGGAACTACGCCAGTCGCACAACACTCTTGACAGAATCTATCCGCGCCCGCTGGACCCTTTGCGAGAAATCTTGCCACATGGGCGCACCGAGGAATACGGTGCCGATCATGTATGCGGACTGTGAAGCACGTGGTAGAAAGTATAGTCTTTCGGAGGAACAGTGAGGACTCACAGTCGTGCGGGCTCCGGAGCGGTGCTTCCTGCACAATCGCAGCATGTACAGGCTCTCAATGACATGTATCCCGGTCGTAAGGGCCAACATGATTTTCCAAGCCCTGGGCGTGACCATCGAGTACAGCCATCGAGCAGGCACGCTTAAGAGCGACGAGGGGGACAAACGATCTGCAAATGCTCCGAACGGAAGGACGGCGCAGACCAGGAGACTCGTGGTCAGCGCGCGGAGTTTCGGGAAACGAAACGAGTCTATCTGGGGTGACTTGAGCTGCGCTTCCTTGAGTACCGAGTATCCGATCCGGGAGAGTAACACATGCCATGCCCAAGCCCTCCTTGGAGATAGCGGCCATCTCAATGAGGCGCGATTTAACGTCTTTGCTCGTCGCGAGTGGCGGATCGAAGGCGAGCTTGAGCTCCAGAGTGCACGACAGAGTCATATTCTTCAGAAACACGAAATTCATTGGCGGTAACGTGCATGTCTTTCTAGAGTGACCGCACCTCGGAATTGATGGACACCATAGACGCGCTTGTTATAGGCTCTTTCACCTTACCGTACCATTTTGCATAGGCGACCAGGGTATCAGGGTGAGTAGACATGTACGAGGAGAGAAAGCCGGATTGCCCGGCCCAGAAATCGGCCATCTCAAATGGCCGTACTTGAGAAGAATTCAATAAAGTTTGGTAGGACGGATGAGAAGAAGAGGCAGGTTGGTAGCCAATAATTGATCGACGGTGCCGAAGCCCACGCGTCTAGCACGTGTCGCTACGAGTCGCACCCCTGAACTAGAAGATTTAGCTGAACGGCATCGACTATCTCGACAGCACTCATTGCTCAAAACTCTTGGAAGTGGTGCCAGCGGTTGCTGACTTCAGAGATGAGCACCGACACCGGACGGTGGATAACTCGCAGACGCTGAACACAGGGTTACGACAGGAAATCCCTTGTCACTGGCCATCTCAATTCGACCGCAAATTTGAATGTGTACCGCGCAAGCAACATGAATAAGTAACAGAAACAGACTGAAACCGCGACCAAATGAATCAACTGCCCGCATCAAACACCACCGTCTCTCCAATGGCACAAACATCGAAATCCTTATGCGGAATACCGGCTTTGTCGCACTCAGCCTGCAAGCGCAAAGGTGGTTCATGGACATCTTCGGTCGTCAGCACCCAGGCCCTGCGCATCGACGTGTCAGTCCCAACCCAAGTACAAATCGGACAAACACCTACCCCCAGTGCATCCCGAGAGCCTTCTTGACGCGCAGATCTTTGAAGAGCGCTACACTGTCGCGCGGGCCACAGTGGATGGGGGACATGAACTTGCGCGGTGCATAGGCGCTGAGAAACGTGAGCCCTTACTTGCAAGAAACGGACATCGCAGAACTGCGCACCCAATGGGAATCATCGCGAAGTCGAATCCCTTCCATTTCTCCCCGATCTCCTTGAAAGCAGGACAGACAGGCAAGCTGTCAGGGCCTTCGTCGGTATCAGAAGGAACCGAACGGTAGCCCGTGTCACCCGCGAAGTAGACTTTGGCGGGTGGAGTAGCAGAATCTGGACCAATCGGTCAGGTCTCAGGAAGTGCTCGACACCGAGAGTGAACTGACCAGTCACATTCTCGACGACCCATCCACCCCACAGCGTCTTGAACCGGTCCATCAGCCCTCTGCCGGTGAAGTGTTGTCCGGGTGTGAATGTCACATCGAATTTCATGTCCAGGCCCTGGTCTCCAGCGACACTCACACGACGACCATCCCACCAATCAAGACAGTGTGTCCGTGATTCTGGGACGCCGAGGGACTTGAAATACGCTTCGTTGTTCTCTCCAAGCGGGGCGAAGACGTGTGGTCCAGGAGAGGGCACTTTGCGTGCGAGCAAGTTGCGCAGGGATGCCGTGTCCATGCTGTTCATAGTTGAGAGCCTGGTCGCGGAAAACGGGGGGACAAACATACTGATCATAGTGGTTGTGCGAGATGACGACCACATCGAATTCGGGAATGTCCTCCAGCTTGCATGGTGGAGCTGCAGTCGCGTCAGCCGTCCATTTGCGTGAGTAACGAGCAGCACAGACGCGTGAAACGCTTCGGTCCAACTATCTGGCTCGGCGAGCACCTGTCACTGAATACCGGATCGAACAAGATCCTCGCACCCCGCGGTGCTCCCGGAGCGGAAGGAAGCTCGACGAGGAAACAGGCGTGGCCCAGCCACGTCGCCTTGATTTTCCCGGCGTTCTCGGCAGCTGCACTGGCTCCCCACGTGGGAACTTGGCTGGGAATTTGCGCAATGTGGGCTGGATTCGGACCCTTCGTGGTCTGCGGAATGGTCTTGAGGGCTAACTAGCATTGGCGTCAGAGAAGGGCGTGAGATGAAGGCCGGAAACGCACGCTCAGGAAATCCATCGTCTCATGAGTCCGGAAGCTCGGCCATGGGTTAACGAAGTGATTGGGTCGACTGCCGACCCAGTGCGCGGGTTTCCCGGCAGCGGCGCGGTCTTTTCGTGAGCTCTGCTGAGCGGGGCTCTCTTCGACGGCAATAGTGGTTGGCATGAAGAATGTGGCAAGAGGGGCCTGGCTCAGTGGCTACTTATAACCAAGCCCACACGCTATTGATTGCGTTTGCCGTATTGATGACGAGGCTGTTTACGCTGATCCGTGCGCTGTGATCGACCGTGACGAATGTTTGTCATAGTGATCGGAATGCCGAGTCAGGCCGAGTCTCTCCAGTATCAACGTCTAGGTCTAGATCAATTCTAGGTACAACTTCCGGTGGCGTTTGACCTGCTACATCCCGAGGGGCAAGGATAGTCGGGATTGAACTGCCAGAGGAGAAAAGGATCTGTCTCGTTCGCCAACACGTCTCCCATGAGTCGCGACTGGCTCGCAAAGTCCATGGTCTCTCTGAAGATCTCGGCGGAAGAGATGCGGATCTGGCCCCAGCCTTGCCGAATCAGAGTCTCGATACTCGTCCCGTAGATGTACTCCCGAAAGCCCGACCAGCGGATCGCAGCAGCGCACTGGAATATCTCAGTTTTCCCGCAAGTTTGCTGACAAGATGAGTTTTAAACACCATGGGACAGCTCTCCGCATTTGTACACAGGCTCAGCGAGGCGAAGGCTTCCGTAGCTTCTGCTGGGGCCAGCTTGTAAGGACCGGCAGGATCTGTGAGGATCTTGGAGCAGTTCCGTATGGCCGCCATCTCTCCTGCCTCGCGTTCGCGGTCAGAACATTCGTCGACGGTGGCACCGGAAACACACCGTGCATGGTGGGATCCCCAGTCTCGCGCCCACTGTCTACCCGGTGCAGACCAGCTCGCCCATTCCCGGCAGGGTGTGGTTCACAATCACACTCGAAAAGGCGGCGAAGGGGCAGGGAGAGCCGGACTGCAACAGCACTTCGTTCGTCCGCCGCATCCAGTGAGCCCGGGTGCTGAAAGGGACAGAGTTGATGGCCAGAATCGGAGACACAAGCACGCTCTGGAGCGACTGGTGCGCGCGAGACAGATCACATTGCACGAGTAGGCTGGAGAAGAGCAAAACAGCGCGCTTCCAGCTCTTGGGAGTCATGGCGCGTGATGGAGTCGATAAGCGCCAACTCCTCTGTCGCGTAGCTTTATATCGTCGGCAGCACGATTTAGCAGAACCGGAGAAACGGCAAGGACAAGGCCGGCGGGGAACTTCTTCTGCTGGAGCGCCGCTAATCCGCGTCACCTCCTGTTAGCTAGCGGCAGTTGTGCACCTTTGACCGTGTCATTCCTGTTACCGCGGTCTCGAAAATCTATGGAACTCGAGGATGGAGATTCGAATTGGCTGGCTTTTTATGAGGCCAGATTCCAGAACCGTGTTGCGACCGGCGTGCAGCGGTGTTCATGCCAAGGACCACCGTATCTTATCGCATTTCAAATTTAATAATAACAGACCAATCAAATCATGTGACTATGATGATTTGTGACAGCACGCGTCTGTGACAATCAAATCTACCCACTGCAAAGACGCTAATTTTTTCCCGTTTGTTTCCGAAGGACCTGAGGGGATGAATCTAGTCGTGGTTATATTAGGCTCGTGATCTGTACGTGAATCCGCCGCGGTGATCGTCGTGGGCGGGCTTCCAGCCTCCGAGTGCCCAGAGTCGGTGACATGCGCGAACATACTCTCGGCCTACCTCTACTCCGTTCCAACCGAGCATGAACGGATGTTGATCGGTTGCGCTGCTTTACAGGCAGAGTCAAATCTGAAACGGAGCGGGTGCTCTGGACTAGATTCGCTTCCAACCTCTGTCATAGTTTCAGCCGAGTCTCCTCCAAGCATTCGGAGCCATCTACTATAGAGCTCTAGACATGGCTCGGGGCTACAGACACTTTGGTATCTGTTGCACGTTCGGTGTGCGCAGTACACATAGACGTACGTTCGCGTCAATGGCACCTAAACGAGATCCATGCAAGAACACATTTCCGTCTGCGTAAGACATTCACAACGTTAGGCTTAGGTTCCACTAGGAAACCCAGAGAATCAATTATGGCATGAACTACAACAACAGACGTCGTGCTATAGCCAAGCCGGGAGTGCGGTAATCTAGAGCAGTCGAGCTCGCAGATAAAAAGAAAAGGTAGAAGCGGAGACAAGCTCCGGAAGGTGGATACAACAGACGGGCAGTATCGATACAATGAGATGGGTGATGCATGTAAGGAGCGTGGGACTGTCGGTCGAGGACCGATGGTCGAGAGAAGGAAAGCCGAGGAGCCGAATTATAGATACAGATGCACGATGAAAGGGGGGGATCGAGTGCGGTGCGCACACTGGGCGGCTGTGAGAATGTCAGATGTGGCTCACCAGCCTGGGCATCGAGAGTCACGCACGATTAGATGCAGCGCCACATGCGGCAGCCTCGCTCTTCGTTCCCGGGTTCCGATCGTGTCAGTTCTGTCTCGCGGAGGTCGACGGTAGGTGCGGCAGGCTAGCGAAGGCAAGTCAGCGACTCGCTCGACGCGCACAAGGGATGCAGGCGCACGTTCTCAGGGTTGGTCAGGCCATCTACGGATATAGGTGCAGAGGATGCACGCAGAGCAACTGCAGAGCGCAAGGAGAAATCAGTATTCATCCGAGCGCCAGAGTCAGAGCACAAACCGATGGAAATGAAGAGGGAGATCAACAGTTTGCAGTGCATGTTGCAATGGAATGGAATGGAGCGACCGACTTGAGCGAAGGACCACTCTCTCCATTCCACTTGATAAGTGTCCGCGAACAAGGAGACAGCCGCATTTGGGTGTTCCCTTGTCCTCCCTGCACGCGGCATCGCCGGCGCAAGCAACAACCCATCCACCTTCCTTTTCCGGACGGGATTCCCCTTTTGGGAACAACGTCGCAGTGATGGCGCGGTTCGCGTGTGTTCAGCTGAACTTTGCATGGCGCCCGGCGCTGATGGCACACGTACAATACACGGCCTGGATCAAAAAGGCTGGAATGAGGCTCGCGTGGCGGAAAGATATCCAGGACAGACAGGCTTCGATTCGTTATTCTTGGATGGGCCCGTAAAGTCTCCGCAGCCCTTGTATCGAATTAGAACAAGTGTTTGTCGTCAGGTTCACTCAAATGTAGGACGAGGGTGATCCGTGCAAGACCTGGCCAGTCGGCTGTCGTGGCGCTTTGACTTGTCTCAGAGCACGCCGGATCAGTGCTACCGTTTAATGTGCGTCGTGGCCAGTGTCGAAGCACTCGTCACAGCATCACCAAGAAAGTAGGCCTCAAAACTGAGCGTGTATTAGACAAGTGTAACATAAATAGATGAATCGAGAGTTCGATGCAGTCCAATTATACCAGTGAGCTCACTGGGTCGACCGTGCCCTCTTGGCCTCGGCTGCAGCCTTCTTCTTCTTGTTCTTCTTGCCCCCCTTCTTCCCGCCTTTGCGCGCCTTCGCCGTGGGCTTAGGCTTGCTCTCGAGGACCGGAACGGTCGTGGGCGACGCCCCGCGCAGCCTCGTCCGTCCGTCCTTGAGCGTCTCCGTGATGATGGGACTCGCCGCAGGGCGATACTTGAACTCGTTCGAATACCTGCGTGTGCATCGCATCAACCGAGGGCTCAGCGTTCCTGGTAGAGAGGAGGGCACACACCGGTTGGCGTGCACGACGCTCGGCTTTGGCTTCGTTTTCAGCGTCACCACGCGGAAGGCCACCCAGAGGATTGTGCAGATGAGGAGGATGAGCGCGCGGCGCTTCCACGGGGAAGGCTGCGGGTCCTCTGAGGGTTGGTAGTGCTCGTCCTCCTCTGGCTCCTCGTCCACATCTGGCTCCTGCTTGATGGGACGCTCGGGCTCCTGCCCGTTGAGTGTCGAGGTTGGCGCAGCGTCTTCCGCTGCACTGCTAACAGCATTCGATTTCTCGGCTGGGAAATTATCACTGGGCGGCATGATGGTGTGAATCGACTGGGAGGCCAGAAATAGCTGTGTTACGTAATAGACCCCGTGACAAATATCGACAATCAATGCATGGACTCCCCTCGAAGATTTGCACCGAGCAAGATCGTCCCTGGGTACGGGTTACAGAAAAATAAACCAATAGATTAAGTCCTTGTCTTGGATATATCCAGCTCCTCCTCATCCAAGCCACGCATGAGTACCCAGAAGCCTATTCCTCCAGCACCAGCCAAGCCAGCCATAACGAGGTAGTTCCACACCAGAAACGGATCTGCAGACAGCCCTGCATGAAGAATCGGGGATGAGCAATTCATTCCGGCTCTGAAATAGAACAAGAGCTCACAGATGAATCCCTCGCCAAGAACGGCGCTGACTGCACTGGTGCCCATGAGCAGTGCCATGACGAGCGACCGCATATTGACCGGCGCCTTCGTGAAAGAGTACTCCATCACCGTGATCGAGGCGAAGATCTCGGAGACGGCGATCAGGAGGTAGCTCGGTGCTTGCAGCCAGACGCTCATCGGCGAGACGAGCGGGAGGGATTGTCCGTCGACGCAAGTCGAGGCCGCTGTTCCACAGGGATTCGTTCGATAGATGTTGTATTGCAGTACCGCACACCATATCATGGCCGAGCAAGCTGGTCGGTGTCAGCTCTGCCGGCCGACAGTTCACATATTTGACTCACCAATGAAGAACCCGACCGTTATGCGTCTGATGGGCAGGAACTTGATCCCTCGGCGTTGCAGAAGCGGATACAGCTGTGCGCTTCTGATGAGCGCTAGAATGAGAGATGCAGTGACCCGCGCACGTAGAGATCACACAACGGAATGACGAGCACCAGCGTCAGCGGATCGATATTCGTCAAAAGATCGTTGGGCAATCCGTCTGTGCGCAGTGTTGCTGCCTGGGAGATCAAGTTGGTAGACATTTGACTCATAGTAAGCCCTGCGGAGCATCAGACCCGAGAACCCACAAGTGGAAATGCAAACAAACAGTAGAGCGGAAACCAGGCAAACACGGCACATGCTCCCAAGCCTCTTCTGACCTCGGTGACCCATGTATCGTCCAGGCCCTTCATCCATCGCGCCTGCTTTGCCGGTGGGATCCGACTCGGAGTCACAGTCTCCCAGAAATCGCCGCGGGTGAAGTTGGCGTACATGCGAAACGGATTCAGGCTCCACCGGCGGCGCGATCCAAATCGCATCAGGCGAATGAACGTGAAAAGAACAGAGCCGCTGGGTGGGGATCGGACGTAGCGGTTTCGGCCCAGGAATAGGATGAGTGGACAGAGGAGGAAGACAGCTGTTGGAAGCGCAAATGCTGGCCAGTAACCCAGGTACTGTGCTCGCTATGAGTGAGCTACGGTCAGGATGAAGGAGAAGGCACTACGTACCTTCTCGGTGTAAGTCATACTGAATTGACCAAGTAGAGCCCCGATATTAATAACAAGATAGAAATACTTCATTCAAAAGCTTCGGAAACGAAATCAAGACTCATAGATCAGCGCGCACCATGTAGATTCGCGAGACAGTCAGCTTCGGGTCCACAATCACTCGTTCTCCATCCCCAGGTAGTCGAATGACAAACGATTTGGTCTTTTTGTACTGTTCCGCGACAAGGGGTGAGATATTCGCCTTGAACAATCCCGTGCCTGCCGATTGACGGTTAGCGTTCCAGTCACTCGAACTGCCATAGCCGTACCAAGCCCAATGACGACTTGCGACACCAGCAAGAAGGTCAGCCCCAGGTCAGCATGGTCGATGATCCCAGGAACTGCGGCGAAGATGAGGATGATGTGCCCAATCAACGCGATCCCGACAGCATAGCAGATCGTCTTGAACCGGCCCAGGTGCACATCCGCAATATATGCACCCAGCATCGGAGTAAGAGACACCCTGGACAGCCTCAGTTAGTTGTCGACTGGGAAGAGGCTCGAATAGTTGACCAGAACATGGTGAATGTCATGATTGCAGTCGACATTCTTTGCCCTACAACAAGTCAGCGGATCATAAACCTAAGCTAAGGTAAACGCACCTTTTCCGAGGGCGCCAGATTGCCCCTTTTCTAGACCAGCGCCAGTGATAGAGCCGGGCGGCAGAGGATGTTGAATGAAATTTGTCTGACAAGGCCCAGCCAGAGTCAGAAACCCGAGCGAGTTACAGGTCTGCAGTACGCACAAGAACCGCTCCGGAACCATAAACCTTCATTCCGAACGAGTCAGCCGCGTCCCACCACCTATGCTGCTGCTGAACCCTCTCACAGAGAAACGTTCCGCCAATTCCACAATGGCGATGACTACCACCAAAGCTGAGCGCTGAGCAAGCCCTCAAATCACAGTATTACACGCACGGTAGGTGCTCCAGGGGACGACATCAGAGATCCTGCGCAGAGTCGCTTCATCCTCGGCTGTGGGCCGGACCAGCCCATCGTGTATCCCGTCCTTCGCGTGGAACGCGCTCGACGCTTCAGAGTCCACGAGCTCGTACGCCTCCGAGCTCTCGTCTCCCTCTATGGCAGATTTGAGAGGGAGCTAGATATATGTATATCAGGCTGTGGGTCCGGTGGATACAGGGACACCGGATGGGTTGGACTTACACGCTCCTCCGCCTCGTCCGTGTCATTTGACAAGGCCTGGTATTCGTAACGCGGCATATAAGCTGCTGGGGGAGAGTATGCGGACCGTTGATACTGTCACGTTATGCGAGGTGCATGGATGCAAGCAAAGCTAGAAGTCCTGTCCACTTCAAGAGTGTTCGCCAGCGAGATCGAGAGAGAAGTTGATCGAGGCGTGATTGACATATTGGCATATTGATGCTTCCGCATGACGTGCATGCGGTGCAGGTTTGTTGCAAGGCGCGTGAAAAGCTTGAGTTCATCGTAGATTCGAGGCTCAATTCATTTTCTTTTGACGCCAACGGAGTTTTCTTAGTTGATGTAGTGTTACTATTGCCGAGTGCCCTCCGATTCATTCAACCCTTAACTACACTTTATCCTCATATTCAACACTGATGGGAGCCCCGGAGCCCATTTTCTTCAAGCCATCCATCCTGAAAGCCCCCCGACGCTGCTCCATCTCATCCTCAGCCATCTCCCCCGTGAGATGCTCGTAAAATTCCCTCGTCAGCCCAGCCTTTTCTCTGTCCTCAATGTTGAACGGCCCCTTGACGTTCCCGCGCCATCCCTTGCGCACTTCGTCGCGGAAAGTCGAAACTGGATCAAGCCCTCCCTCCTTCTCACACAGCCACGTGAACCAACGATGCCCGGACGTCACGTGTGTCACCTCGTCGGCGTGGATGATCTCGAGCGCGGCGACGCTATCGCTGTCGTTTGCCCGCCGGAATCGTGCGATCGTCCCGGGATTGACGTCCAGACCGCGCGCTTCGTGGACGAGATGGATGATGGCCAGCCGGGATCGCAGGGAGTGTGATGTGATCGTCGCGGATTCCCAGAGAGAGGCGTGCACGGGCATGCTCCCATAGGGAGTGTTTGGAGAAGTCTCGGAAAGTCGGGAGGTCAGCAGTGAGCTGTTGAAAATAATTCAAGCTGTTCCCTGTGTTATAATCCGATGTACGCACAAATGTTTGGATTCGTCCAATGCCATTTTCGTGAAATCCGCAAAGAACGCCGGCGGAAGATCAGGATGACTCGGTCCAAAACGCGCCATTATGTCCCATCTTTGGAAAATTGATAGCATGAATATCGCGCTAAGAAGAAACTTACGCTAGATCAATTCTGCGGAACAGGTCATCAAACGTGTGCAACAAATGAGAATGAACACCTACGCCCACTGTTCAATATTTGCGAGGGCATGCAGCATTACCTAGTGTATAATTTCAGAGCTCTGAGTGATTTGACCTCAAAATATGACGTACCGCGAGGCTTCGTCTGCCTTTGACTTTGCCTGGGTCGACCGCATTCCGCAGATAACTCTCGTCCCGGGGCGGAATATCTGGCGGTGTCGGTGCAGAGCGAGACTTGTGCCCAATGGAATCGAGTTTTCCAGTTCGGAAGAGCTGAACGGCGTGTCTTGTGCGCAGGACCTTGAGAGTCGGATTCGGAGTGTTCAAAATCAGAACCGCCCAGTGCATGAGCGTCTTGGGTGGATTTAGTTCGGGAACGACGGGCTCTATCGTCTCGGCGCTCATGGTCACTGGATTGACCTCGGTAGGAGCACTAGCTTTAGTGGGCGGTGGATCGGCGAACTCTGCCAGCGAAAAATTGTGAAACAAATCCTGGGGAGACGGTTGAACAACGGACCTTCTGAAACCGGGCGGAAGTCTATGAGCCTCCAATTACTTCCCCCGGACGGCGTTTCGATGTAGACCTTTTCCTCGCTATCTTCGGGCTCCGTCTTCACCTCGACGGAGTAGGTGCAGGTGTGTAGCCCGGTCTCGCTCTTGCCAGTGCGGAGATCGAAATCGTATCTGAAATCAGATCGTAAAACACAGTGATAATTCCAACAGGTGGATATGACTAATCACCTGTGCCACGGACAGACCGCCACCGTCGTGTCCTCATATTCCTCGATGTCTGCGTGGGACATGTCGGCGCCAAGATGAGGGCAGGTCGACTCCATTACGTAAAGCTGGCGGTTGTCCAGCATCGAGGGCCGGTCATTTCCATATGCGGGGATGTCCGCTGCCGTCGACAAGCGGAAGAGGATGAGCGAATGGTATTTTCCCTGCTCCGAGCGCAGGGTGAGCAGAAAGCGCGAATGCGTCAGCAAGTTCTTGAACGAGGAGATTCTGACGTTTCTGTCAGCGCCGACTTGCTCAACATGTCCGACATATCGCGCACTGTAAGAATTTTCCTGCTGGCATGGTTTTCGAACCAAAGGCGCGTCTGTCAACCTGCGGATCAGGTGGCAGTGACTTGCGACTGGGCGTTTGAATGATCAGACACGCCATCAAGACTCGGATCATCCATTCTGGGTTCATTCATCCGCCCAACGTTCGGGACCGGCGTTTCGTTCACAACAACAAGGCATGATGGCAACAAATACCATCTCTCACGTAGGCTATCGCATAAGAACAGTCGGCGCGTCAGATGAAGGCTGAGATCTCAGATATGGCAAGTCATTTCCCCGCCGTCGACAGTCGGACTGAACGGACGCCAGCACAAGACACCTCGCATAGTCGTCAATTCGTTTCGGTTCCCGAAGCTCCGCTCGCTGACCCTTAGTCTCGTCATCTGTGCTGTCCTGCCCCTCGCAGCATTCGCGGATGCTCTGCCCGCAGCTTCTCCTCTCGCCACCCTTGCGCATGCGCTGCACCGCTTGCTGCAGCCGAAGACCTGGAAGGCCATCCTCGCGGCCACAACCGGAATCCACGTGATAGAGAGCCTGTATATGCTGTATCTGTGTAGGAAGCATCGGTCTGGATTCCGAACTACGGTATTCGGTGTTTCTCGTCTCACCCGCCGGCCGCTCATCATCATCCAGTTCGCATACGTGGCCAGCACAGTCCTCTTCGGAGCTCCCATGTGGCAGGACTTCTCTCGAAGGGCGCGAGGGGGTGGAATGCGACTCCAAGGGCGGCGTTCCGGAGCAGCAATCTGATGGTCGTACATACCATTCCACTGGAGCGTAGTGGGCTTGGTACCGGCAGTCGATCAGTTCCGTCACGTTTCGATGTGTCTCTCTCACAGGTCGTGTGCAATGACTATCCGACGATTGCTTCGTGGGAAAGCATCGAGATAGGCCGATGCATTCGGTCGAGTGCTACCACCAAAAAAGCACAACCGACGGGAAGCCGGCGATTAGAATGTCTGGGAAACGCACCGCATGCCATCTGGTTCACATCCGCTCATGGTTGAACGAAGCCCACGACAAGGAGAATGTGCTCGCCTCTGGGAAAAGAAGTGGCATGGGTGGTGCACTGTCGCAAATCGCGTGCAGAAGTCGACGACCGGGAGTGGTCGGGCGCGTGCAAATGCATCATAGCTGCCCGGGTGCTCATCCATCTCCCACTCGGCAGATCCCGTAGAACTTGAGACACCGGGCGGATCCGAGAGAGAACTGCTGCTGCAATGTGCATCGCGGGAATGGAGCGAACACGCAGCCGGCTCACCCTCTGCCTCGCGACAAAGAAGCCCTCGTGGTTCAACTTGAAGCCCAAGCGCTAGCCGGAGATTAGGTCTGCGTTTCTACCAAAGCCCAAGCGCTCTCTCATCAAGGCAGCGCAGCCTGAGAAAGGAAATGAGCGGACGACCGTCTACTTATTTTAGCCTGAAAGCTGAAGAGCCTATTGTCCCTATTTGAGAACGCGGTGCATTTAATAGAGGCTCCCCGGTCCAAAGGGGAAGGGCAGTCCTGGGAGGAGAGAGCAAAGGGGAGCACGATTTTAGGGAACTTTCAGCCGGATTGAGTCATGTTCAGGAGGCGGCAGCAGCCTTGAGAGGATATCAGCCCAATTCGCGGTCGACATCGAGCGGCCAAGAGGTTGCAATTGCTTTGGGATAGACAGCCACGCCGAGTTGGCATCGTAGCAAAATGTATAGTACAGCCTACAGAGAACTAGCGGCATCCCGTAGAATCAGGATGCTAGTCTTGCGCGACGAGTACCTTGCAGGAAACTGACGATAGACAAAAGCAGCACATGTTTAGTTGACATCCGCAAGCGGACGCACTAAGCCCAGAGCCCACGACAAGGGAATGTGCTCTCCTCCGGGAGGAGGAAAGAAGTGCAATGCGTGTACGCTCGCATTGCAATAGCCAGCGACACAGGATGATCAGTCCCGAGCCAACGACTCCCCCAGAACCCAATGTTGAGCGCGCACAAGCACCTAAGTGCATGGCCGTCCGGGTGCTCATCTCCCAGTCAGCCGATCCCCCAGATCCCAAGACAGCGGGTGGACCCGAGTGAGAGCGGTTGGTGCAATGCGCATCGCGGCAATGGAGCGAGCACGCAGCCGATTCACCCTCTGCCTCGCGACAAGGAAGCCCTCGCATCACTAGGGACGGTCCAAGCCCAAGCGCTAATCAGAGGCTGGGTCTGCGCGTCTACCAATGCCCAAGCACTCTCTCATCAAGGGGCCCGCTGTCCTCCTAACCGAGCGACCACCTACCATCGCAAGCTGTGCAGCGCGCGGTCAGCCAAGAGAGCGCAGGAGATGCAGAAGAGAGGACGTACGAGAGGGCACCCGCCGCATCGAAGCTGATCCGACATCGTTCCATGGGAGTCGCCTGACGAAGACTGTGCCGAGTCCGAGTGGGAGCGGTTGGTGCAATGCGCCTCACGGTAATGGAGCGAGCACGCAGCCGATTCACCCTCTGCCTCGCGACAAGGAAGCCCTCGCATCACTAGGGACGGTCCAAGCCCAAGCGCTAATCAGAGGCTGGGTCTACGCGTCTACCAAAGCCCAAGCACTCTCCCATCAAGGTAGCGCAGCCAGCGGGAGGAAACAAGGAGACGAGCGTCCAGCTGTCGACGAGCGTGTCTTCTCTAGTTGAGGACGCGTCGTATTTATAGCAGACTCGAGGAGGGGCTGAGTATAGGAGGGGTGGATCGCTTTTGGTCGAGTCTCAGTACACGGCGATCCCTCCGAGACAGGACACGGAGATGACCAGCGAGAGTCCAAGCACCAGTCAGGATCAACCTCGGGCGGCCTGCGTGGCGACAGACTCCATCCCGCTTCAGTGTCCGGTGAGACATCTGTTGCAACGCCGTGCCACAGTGGCGGGTCTGCTGGGAAAATGGCTATCAAGGACTCGGGGATATAGCAGCATGAGAGCGCGCGTGGATATCGAATTCGAGAATGCATTGCATCAGAGGCAAGTCAAGCGTCTGAGACGGCTGGGCGCAGTCAAGGTCACGTAGACAACCGCGCCAAGGCGATCAGACGCGATCCCGTGACCATCAACAATCCATGATCACCCAAGACATACATACACCACATTACAAGACTCAAGTACTCAGGGTGGGTACAAACGGCCGATACAATTCCGGCACGAGATCTGAGCCCGGAAGTCTCGCCAGTGTGTCTACAGGGGCCCTTTTGGCCAGCTCCAGCAAGTTCAGTCGCAGATTGCGGAGAACGGCACTCTCGCCCGTGTCCATGTTCACATCCGGCTCGAGTTTGATGTGGCCGTCCTGCTCGGCTTGCAGCAGATAGAGTGCGTCGGCGACGTAGTCGAGCACAGCATTCAGATCGACCTTGTCCGGCTCGAGTCCGTGGCCTTCCCATTCCTTTTCGCTGTGTGTCATATCCTCTGCAGACTGCAGCAGGGCGCCCATGTCGATCTGATATGTCTGGATCTGGCGCAGAGCCGCAAGAGACGAAGCAGCCTGTGGTCGAACCTGGACAGCAGCCGCGACCAGCGCCGGCAGTTTGCTGTCGTCCTCATCCACCACACATGAAGCAGACTTCAGTTGCATTGCAGTCTGCTGCAGAAGAGCGTGGCGGCCGCCGGTCAGCGGGTCCAGCACGTTCCGCGAAACCCAAGTCGGCAGACTCATTCCTAAGGGGCGCGAATCTGGCGTCGCTGGCGAATCGCAATCTAGTGCGGGAGTGGATACGAATTCAGCCAGACTGCGGGCATAAGCGAGGCCATCGAGACCGCCGTATACCACATCCCGAATGTAAGTCTCCGCGTCGTGAGCATGCGAGACACTCCAGTAATCATCATCCGGCTGCGCAGCTGTTGGGGGTATCTGTAGGCTCAGCCTGACTGCCGTCTTCTGCAGAACGTCTGCTTCCTCAATCGCCTCCGGCAGAAATTCACCGCGACGACGCATTTCGGCCGCGAGTTCGCCCGCCAAGACGGCCAAGGAGCCAAAATCGAGCGCATGTGGCTCGCGGGCGTGTTCTTCGAGGTCCTCGGTGTTCGTCCCGGACTCTTCCTTCAATCGGCGTGGAACACCACCGCGGAGGACAGACCAATGCTTGTCTGACGTGGAGGCAGCTGGTTGGGGGAGTTGCGCAGACGACGGGAACATGGTGGGCATCGGATATGATGGACCGGCGGGGCTTGGGGTGGCGGTCGCTTCCCGTAGAAGCGTGGGCACGTTCGAGACGGGCACGGGCTGTGAATGGTATAATGGCACGAGTTGAGGGCGGGTGAGAGGCTCGGGCACAAGGCCAGAGAAGTAAGAGAATGGGTCCTCCACTTCAGTGTAGTCGAGACTCCCGTCGTTGCGGAACGGCGGTCCGTCTTTCTCGAAACGCAGTCGTTCCTTCTTCGTCTTGTACCGCTTGCCTGAAGAACAATGAAAAGTCAGATCCGATAGACAAACACTCCTCACCTTTGTGCTTCAACATCAGCATAGTCCTGGCTAGATCAGAATTAGGTGGGAATGCCCCAAGCCCGTCCTTTGAGCCGGGTAATCGTCCTTCGGCATCTATGGTTTCGGCCACAGTGACCGCGTTCTCTTTCTTATTGTACGGTCCTCTGGGGCCCCTTCGGAGCATATTGAGGCGAGAAGTCCCGAGCGACAAGGAAGGGGAACGACTGCGTGTCTCGACGTCTTGGGGTGCGTCGACGGCCAGAGAGTAATCATCCGCATCGTCCTCAATTCCTTCATTGTCCCCATCCATATTCCAGTCTGTCTCGTACTGTATCACAGTCGAAGCCGCTTTGCTGATCTGATCCAAGCCCCATGTTTCGAGACGATCGGCTTCGGTGTGGTAGATCGTGCCTTCGGGATTGAACGCTTTGGCGTTGGATGTGACCAGCTTAAGATCGTTCTACAAGCATGTGTGGGCTGGACTGAGGATCCAACTGGAGCAGAACGCGTGACTTACGGCGAAATCATCTAGTGAGCGATATCTCCCCTTCTCGACCTTAACACCCATGGTTCCTAGATCCATTGGCCGCTTGACGACATCGAGGTAGCCGGGAACGTTGTTTGGGTCTACAGGCTTGAGGAAAAACGCATAGTCATCCTTCCTATTCCATCGTCTATCAGGAGGACGACGAGGATAGGAGCGACATACTTCTTCAGCAACACTATGAGGCGACTCAAAACTTCTTTCAGAGGCTTCAATTTCACGGGCCGGGGCACTTTCTGCTGGGCAGGAGAATCTCCATACTCTGAATACGCAAAGGGCCCCTTCTTGGACTTGGACTTGGACTTTTTGGCGGATCGCTTCAGATCCTTGAGTGGAGGTAGAACGAGCTTGAGTTTGGGCAGGGGTACTACCGGCTCAGAAGGGTGAGGAGAGTCTGATTGGCTGTCGTACGAGTCGGACACATAATCTTCCATGTACTGAAGAGCGCATTTAGCCTGGATTGTCGCTCGTGCAAGTTGTGCGCGCAAAGCCACTGACCGTGGTGTGATGACAAATGATGAGTACCTATGGCTGTGACTCCGTGACACATCACAGCGTCGCGACGTCGGCCATCGGTACTCAGAACTTTGGTTCTCCGGCTCCCGAACTGACCGTCTTGGCTAACAAGCAAATTCATGTGCGTGCGTTTACTTGGCAGCTTTCGAATTTGTAAGCCAGCTCCAAGTCTACCGGGCGAAAGTTTCCAATCGGTTTCGGCATAATTTTGAGACCTGGTGCTGAGAGAAACCGGCGGAGAGGTGCTTTCGAATGGAGTGTAAATCTCTGTTCTATTTTTCACTGCGCAGCGGCGGGGCCCGACGCGTCGTCCAGCGCCACAGGGCGACGTTAACACAGGCCCACAAAGGCCCACAACCGCCATCCTGATCCTTCTGATCAGGAACCTGATCTCGCGTTGCCGTTTCTCTGCCGAAGCCGATGCTCAGCAACTCGAGAGTTAAGAGCGCGCATCTCTGGACATGACGACCGCTGACGTCGACGTTCCCATCGTCGTCTAAGAAGGTTCCGAAGATCCCAACCACAGAATTTCCTCCATCTAAATGGAATCCGGTCGTCTCCTCCGAACATATTGGTTGCAACCGCTTCAGTCTAGCCTCAGTCCAACCAACACGCAAGATCTTCTGCACCGGGCATCTCGGGGGGTCACTCAGCGACGTGCAGGCCACTTCCCCGGTTCCCGTTGCAAGCAGGGAGTCTCGGTGGTACTCAGCCAGAAACGTGGACGGTTCGTACTTTAGACGGCCATGGACTCGATCGCAAGCGGACGGATCAGCGTCTTTTGCAAATGTCCAACGGAAAATGAGGATCTCGTGCGGGGGCCGCACTTAATTGACCTCGAGACTTTCAATTGACAACGGAACTCCGCGCGAAAATGAACGAAAATGAAAGAAATTAACGCCGCCCTTCCCTGTCCACATTTCCTTCGGGCAAGTCTGCCGGCCTCCGGCAATGACCGATATGGGTATGGTAGGTCACGCGCTGTGACGACGATCACTTTCCTGATGAGTGTTCGTTGCCAGATTTTCCTTTACCCGAATCATCATCATGTGCGCATCGGTCTCCAAGGTCGCTTTATGAATCAACAATGCCCGCCGAAGAGCACAAGGTACGGCCGCAGGCCGGGCTGTGCCTCTACAGCGCAAGAGCAACAGATAATGCAATGTCGATCATCCGCTGAACTCGAAACGGACAACGGAGACACCTGCGGAGACTGTCCGCGAAGTTTGAACTTTAATTCCGATGTCAAATCTCCCGATCGTGTTCCACGCGTCGGACCGAATGTATCGGGACAACAGACAGTTTCCAATTCGGGACATCGCTAGGTTTGGCGGTTGCAATTCGACAACAGGCTACGCGGAGTCATTGGTTTGGTTGCTCTCACGAATTTAACGGAATGTCAAGTGGTATCTCTCAGGTTGCTTCTCTCTTTTCAACCACCACCTTCTCTCTTCCGATTCCTCCCCGCTGCATGTGTTCGGGCCTGTTCATGCATTGACTGTGCGTTTGCGTCCAATCCAGCACCGCTTGTTTCTGCCACCCTTCGCTGCATGTCTAAATCCCGCTCAGTTACTCCGACACCCCATAATATCTACATCCGCCCTACTAATAGCTCTCCCTCTTCCCCGGGTCCTTCACGAATCTCCCTCGACGATCCCAGTAACACTGCTGTGGTTACCTCTCCCGCATCACCCCCTCACGCGTCGAGATCTCCCATTGAAGATCGACCTGGTGCGGCTGACGTTGCTGCTCACTTTCATTCACGTGTACCCTCCGACGAACCGCGCGCTCGACGTCCCTCCCCCGACAACTCTACTCGCATGGCTAAACGAATGCGTCGCCACTCCCCTGAACGCCCATCTCGCTCGCGCTCTTCTGATTCCCAAGGGGAAACGGCTGCGGATGCGGATAGTCCCGAAACGACTACTTCGCAGGAGCCGGTTGCCCCCACCAAGAAGAAGCGCACCCGGACACTGACCACTCCCCATCAATCTGCCGTTCTTCATGCTCTGCTCGCGCAGGTCAGCTTGACATCTTCTGCGATTGGTCTCGTGCTGACTTGATGTGTGCCAGTCTCGCTTCCCAACTACAGCTGTTCGCGAAGAAGTCGGTCGTTCGATCGGTCTCAGTGCCCGCAAAGTCCAGGTATGTGGCAGTTGCTGCGTGGTCAATCCTTGATCCTTCACTGACAAGCCTCCGTAGATCTGGTTCCAAGTACGTCGCAGGTAGCGGTGATGCAATCGAATACTGATCAAGCTTTGCAGAATCAGCGCCAAAAGGCGCGTCGACCGGGCGCTCAGCCCGAAGCCACTCCGCAGGGTTCAAACTCGCAGCAGTTCAGCCCATTCCCGAATCCCTCTGCACCATACGCTAGCTCGTCATCGCACGTCTTGCCTGCCGACACGCGACCTTCATCTTCCGGTTTCGGCAGTTATTCGAGCGAAATGCCGCCGCAGCTAGCCGGCCCCGGAATTCCTGGGCGATCCACTTCAGCTGTCTCCCGCGGCCGGCCTATTCTTAGAATCCCGAGCGTGCCACATCACCGCGACCTGCCTCCAGCGCCTTTTACGAGCCGTTCGCTGCCCTCCCTGGAGCCCGGCAGCCCAGAGGGATCCTTCTCCATTCGGCACGACCCGTCCCGCATTCTTCCCCCTTTGAGCGAGATGACTCGTGGCCGCCCCATCCCGCCTTTGTCCATGTCTATGTTTGCACGTTCAGCGCCAACGACCCCGTCCAACGCCACATTCCCGACGTCCCCGTCTCCCTCGCCGACCTTTGCCTATTATGGCCATCGGCCGTACTCCTCATCTCTCGGGCTGCCGCCGCCATTTACTCTGCAGCCGGCGCCGCAGTGGGACAGCTCCTCGTCCCACGCGCACTCATCGCTCTCCCGCGGCTCCGTCTCGGCGCGCGACAGCTCGTCGTCGCCCCCGTCGAGCTTTGCTTTCGAATCCGAGTCAGAGATGATCCGGGAAGACACACCGCGCGATGAGACGCCCCGGACAGAGACCTCCCGGGCGTATCACACTGGCCGCTATGATCCCGTGCGAGCCATGTTTGTGCCCTACTCTCCGACGTCTGGCAACAGCCCTGGCCCCAGCTCGGGGGCTCCTCCTGCTTAATGCATGTCACTCACGACCCTTGTCACGTCCTCCAAGACGGTCTCACTCTCTTTTCTGTTGTCTGAACAGTCACGTCCTCTCCTTTGTACCAGAGCTACCTTACTGACGCTAATGACCTAATATTCTCCGTTTTCTCCTACTTAACCGCGCTTCGGAAATGTATTAACACTTGGCTATCATCATTCGCTCCTTGTAGTAGTTTGCCTGCCATCTTCGTATCAATAGCCTACAGTTATTACAGTTATTTACTCAGTGACCTACTTGTTGTGTTTTCTGGCCGTAGACCAATTTGCAATTCTCACAAAAGTCAACCCTTTTTTCAACGTGGCTTCTCCAGATCCTTCAGCAATGTTTGCTAACTACAACGTGAAGCCTGCTTTTCAGCAGCCAATCGAACTCGTAGCTGCGTTTGTCGTCGAAGCCGAGCCTCGACGACATCTATTTCGGAAGCGGTCTTCCCTCCCGTGCTGCGTTCCTCCAACAGGCGCTGTAGCAGCTGTGCACGTCGGCCGAGACGGTCATTTCCGGCAGCGACTTCGTTGCCATCCGGCTCTGAACCTTGTTTCGTCATTAAATCTTGCCAGATGCACAGAAGCGCACCTGAAGGTAACGGGGGAACGATCTTGGCCTGATCGCCCGGTAGTGCGGGATCCTCCACGTGGCCAGTGTCGTGCTGCTTCTCTGTGGGCGGCGTCTCGAGGTCGTCATCTCCACGCAGCTCATCGAGTCGCGACGGATAGTCCCGTTTGGCTGTGCGATCACTTGATAGATGAGCCTGCACGCTCTCCAATAAATTGCGGTGCTTGATTCGATGGGTCTTTTTGGGGCGTGAATCGTCATGCGATGCTTCGGCTTTCCGAGTGATCGCGGCGTCGATGATATGAGCCGGAGATTTGGATTTATCTGCATCCTCCCTGCGGGCAATTGATATATCTTCTTCATCATCACGGCACTTGTCAGTAGGGACCTGAGTCTCTGACAGATGTAGCCCGCTGGAACCTCCAGACGTATGTTCATCCGGTTCTCTCTCACGCGCTTTCTCCCGTGGAACGCGTTTTGGCGGGGGAGATCTGGAGCGTGAACTAGCTCGAGGCAGTGGTGGCTTCGGACTGCGTGGGCTGGATTCGCGCCACCTCGTTCTCCTCAACGGCTCTTCCACATGTGGAGCATGGCGGTCTGGACTGTTTTCATACTGCAATTGAGTCTGAATCAGTAAATGCCGAGAGCAAAATGGAATCTAAGCTGTGCAACACACCTGGACAACCGTGTCGTATATGAATAAATCCTTGTAGGGCGATCGGACATAGGAATAGACCTCTGCCAACTCATTCAGCCTTCTATAACCAGCAGATTCATGTCATAGGACAACGCACCGTGTGCGAAATGCTCAGCATTGGGGTGTCGACTTCCTTCCACGTAAATCGTATCGAGATCGAGAAACTCGGAGAGCAGCTTCACCGCCGATTCGGAGCGGATGTCTATGGCTTTCATAATCGAAATAACGAAATTCGTCAGGAACTACAAAAGGACTTGTTAATTATCACGTCCGCAACGTGCGTCAATCTCACTGACCTCGACGTCCAGATTCATCCAGACTTGGAGCTCTCGCCGGAGGAACATAGTTGTACGCGAAATGAGTTCTGTCGACCCAGCGAACTGAGATGGCGTCGGGTAAGGGCGATATCGCGTATAAGCATTGGACGCAACGTGCTTGCCGAGAGTCAGTCCAAAAGGCCATCTCAATTAAGTGCACCAACGGACTTTCGCATAGAGCCCGTGCTCATAGATCCACCGTCGTTGAGAGATCGCTCTGTCCAACCTGTCCGCCTCATCTTGCTCCGTCGGCTCCCGCCTGCCCCATTCTCGTTCCCTCACACGCCGCCGTCGAGGTCGTCCCGGGAGCCGTGACAGCGGAAGGAGCGGTGCCGGTGAAGTCCTCAACGGTGCCAAGAAGTGCTTCTGGTAGTCGTAGCGGGATCGAATCTTGTGTATCAGAAAGTCGCCGATCGTTTGTGAGCATAACGGGCATCTTCTGGACTGGCCTAAAGTTATGTCAGGGCCCCGTATATGGGATTTCGGAAAGTTCCAAGAACATACCAGTCCAAATGAGCAGGCAGTCGAAACAGAACTCGTGGGCGCAAGTGGGAATGACAGTCCGGTCTAGCATCCCTTGCAAACATATGCTGCATCGCTCTCCGTCGTCCTCGTCGTCTTCATCGTATGCATGCTGGGGCGGTGCGTCCTGGAGGTCTTCGAGTTTGATTGCTACAGGTGAAGATTCAAGTTTGACTCGTTTAGGCGACGGACTCCTGGACATGAGTGGAAGACGAGCTAGGTGGTAAATGACGGCGCCCAGCACAGTACTTTCGATCCGAGCTTCGCACGCGTTCTAGTCGACCAGGACAAAGTCAAGATTGATGGAGGCTCGTGACCTGCTGAATCACAAGTCAGATCCCGCTCTTATCTGGAGTTGTATATACTGGTATATGTTACGTGGATTAGTGCAAAGAACGAGGATGAGTGATGAAGGTGAAGGTGGCTAATGCCAAAGAAAATCACTCCCGCCCCGATTAGATACTTTTACAGAAATCAAGCCCGCGGTACTACTACTTGTGCGTATATTGTATATGTACAGGTTGCAAAGTGACGAAGAAAGATGAATAGAATGGATGAATTTAAAAGCTCGACAGCGAAGAGATTTCAACGCAAAGCAATTCGTCAGCAAGTCAGTCATCAAAGACATCATACGATGCCCTTGATTAGCATGTTTTCCAGTCGACAGTACTCTGGGACGATGGCAGCATAGGCCAAGAACGCATCGTAATCGGCCTCGGCGACTTTTGCGAGCCCTACCTGGGCTTCGGATTCGGCGGTTGGCATCGGCGCAACAGGCGTCAAGGGAGTTGGCGTCGTGGGAGTTCCAGTTGCTGCACCGTTGGACCCGATCGCAGGGCTGAGCAGGCCCAGATTGGGATCGGGAGATGTGTGAGCTGTGGATGCGGTTGCGATGGACGATACGCCCATGCTGTTGGTGCTGGAGCTGGGTGTCAGGCCGTCATTGTATCCGCCACCAAACACGGGCAAGCGCAAGTTACGGGAATCCGGCTCGTTTTCTTCGTCTTCATCTTCCTCGACCAGTGCATTGGGTGCGAGGGCAGGCGGCGGACGGTTGAAAGGCGTGCTAGCTCCGCTGCCTGGTGCTGTGCCCGGGGCCCGGGGGACATTCAAGCTCGGTCGAGGGGCTCCAGACGTTTGGTATCGTTTACTCATCAGCCGCCGAATCTCTTCCTCGAATGCATAGCCACTGCTTCCAGCACCGACACCCCATTCTCGACCCCAGATCCATCGAGCGACATAAGCAGATCCAAGGGACGCACGTGACGGACAGCCTGGAGCAGGTGCATTACGGTGGGGAGAGGTCTGCGCCGATGCGATTTGCGTTGTGGGAACATATACAGGGGCATTGAACACGTCGCAAACGAGATTCGCCACACTGGGGAAATTGGCGGCAGCTCCGGTGGCGATGATACGACCAGGTAATGGTGTAGGATCATAGGGATCGAAGCTCACCCCCAGCGCACTAGAAGCCGGGGGAGGGGGTCTCGGTACCCCGTTACGAGCAGCACTGCGAGCAAGCACGCCGGTTGCCATCATCTTCGCGTACTTGACTCGCAGGGACAGCACTTGGGACTCCAACAAACAGCGCGGATTGGCCCGCAAGTCCCGGAACTCGTTCACTTTCGTCCCCGTCTCGAAGCGGTATATGCCCTTTACATGTGAAAACGGATGCGCATCGCCCTGCAGATGCCAGAAGGAGAAGAGTTTGTCGTCCAGACTGGGCAAGGGAATGTTTCAGCCACGTCAAGAAAGGATAAAACAGTTTACACACCCAATCGATCCCCCTGGGGGCACGATCGCTACCAAGCGGTCAAATGCACTCCAACTTTTAGTATACATATCCCGAACCAGTGCTCTGGGTACATCCGCATTGCGGTTAGTCAGAACGGCGATGTATCGACGCTTCTCGTTGGCATCCTGAGCCGGATGTGGGAACAGAGAGTACAACCGAGTGGGGATGTAGTGCTGTGCGGGGGCCATCATGACATCCATGGGACCGAACTGCAGTACCGCATCCGAGGGTGCCGGCAACAGAGACAGGTAGGCAGCCAGTCCATCGTTCGTAAATTGCGTGACTGCGGTCTCTGGATCAAAGCCATAACGCTCCACAAGATAACGAGCGACGTTTCCAGCACGTCGTCCGCCACTCGTCGTGTCCACTTCACCAAGCCAACCCCGGACTCGGCGCCCCTCTTCCCGGGAGCCACCGACTATATCAAGAATGCCCTCATCCCAGCTGCCCGTGGAGTGTGACCACATCCCAGAGGCACAAGCTTCGGTCTCCGCCATCGGCATCCACTTGCCGCTGATAAGAGACGCCATAAATGCCGAGGCAAGCTGGACCCGGCCAGTGCGAGCCCAAACGTCTTGCGGCCAGGTTTCGCGAATGCGCAAGAGCTGACCGCAGATGTTCGAGGGATTCGAGGCGCCTCCTACGCGGGCGGCCATGTGATCGGCACCGCCAACCATACCCTCAATGGCAAGAGCATGAGTGTGAGACGAGATATCTTGGGCGACAGGAGTGTTGGGGAGCGAAAAATGAGCCGAAGAGAAGTGAGCGACGAATGGAGTGTGCGGGTCCAGGGAAGAAAGCGAGGGGACAGTAGTCGATTTCCACCAAACGAGGGCGTGCTGTGCCGATCCTCCGATGGTTTTTATCCGGCCAAGGTCGTAGTTGCGCTGAAGCTTCTCAAGGAGAGTATCTGTTTGATCGAAGGAACACGTGGGACGGAAGCAAATTGTGAGACAACGGAAAAAAGGGCGGCTTCCAGGACTGACCAAGCGCCTTGAGCCACATCTCCACCGGAGTCGTGTAGGCGTCGCCGGGGGTCGTAAAGATCCCGCCCTGGGTCCTGGGCACGGGGACGTCAGAGCGACAATCGATGGCGCGAAAACGAATGATCGCACTGGTACTCCGCAAGCTCCGTGTCGAAGTCAACACATTCGACACCAACGAGGTCCAAACTCTCATCTACGATCGAGGCGCGTAGCTGGTCTACCGCCAGCTCGAGGCCGAGAAAAAGGGAAGACCCGGGAGGCATTTAGGTTGGTGATAGCGTAGACGTAGGGTAATGGTATCGTTGACGTGGGTATTGAATGAGCGTAAGCGGGCGTATCGACGTCGTGTTGCGAGCCCTGGGAATGGCCAGAGAGATGCACGTAGCGCAGGAAAGGAAGAGTTGATGTACACTGCCAGACGGGAACAGAAGCTTGCACCCGTCTCAAGCGGATCACGTGAGACGACCGACCATCAGGCTCTTTGACGGCAGTGAGTGGGAGAAGGGTCCGTTTTTGCCCAGCGCCGCCGGCTGCAAGGGTGAAATCGCTCATACCGATCCCGTGGTCTGCTCTTGCCCATCTCGGACGGTTTCAATCGGTTTCATTGGCTGCATCACACTTCGCAGTGTGATTATCCACTGATCATCATCTTTCCAGAACGCTCATGAGCTCTACTCGCCGAGGAACACCAGGGAACACCCAGTATGGTCCCCGTTGTGCATGGCAATCATAGCAACGTCGGCCGACTGACGACAGGACGAATAGAATGAACTTTCGCACTGCCAACCCAACCAAGCACGAGTGTTGAACAAAATTACAACTGGACGAGAATCGATGTGGGAAAATAGTCATCATATTCTCAGCGTCGGGCAGATACCCAGTCTAGGCTCAGCATGCGTGGGGATTTCCCTTGAGTAGTGGAGCCGAAGCATCAGATGGATGGATCCATTCTCCAGCAACATCCTCGTGCATCCCGTACGTGCCGCACCGTGCCGCTCTTGTCGCTCTCTACTTGATCTCGGCTGCGCAGTCTGAGAACAGGTCGGATCCAGTTGAACGCATTATACAGTAAGCGCACGATCCGCCCTGCTCGTCCTCACTAGTCGTGGAGCTTGAAAGTGGATAGGAAAGATTCAAAGAGGTTTGCACAAGGAAAAAGAGAGCGAAATGTCCATTCTAGGGCACGTGGCCCACAGATTCTGCATGCGAAGGTCGTCACAAAGATCAAGCAGTGGATCCTGAAGTGAAAGGGCAGCTGCGCTGTGTGGCGCGCCTTTCGCCCAACTCATGTCGGAGGGGGAGAAATCGTCCTACTAGCCAGCTAATCTCGGCGATTAGTAGCAGCAGGATAGCCCCAAATCCCACACATTTGCGACTGTTCGGCACATGGTGAACATTGTCGTCGTGCTTGAAGTAGCCATAAATATCGGGTAGAGCTAGACCGGTCTCTTTTGGATTCCAGCTTCCCGAATCTTCTGTCAGTTGTTTGGGCAAACTGCAGAGCCAAGTGAGGCTGAGGAGATGGACGCGTTGAAAGCGCCTGAATTTGACGGCATCAGAGCCTCCTATCACTGGGATCGCGTGATATACCACCATACTTAGTACAACTTGAATGTATATTCGGAGCGGTGACCCGGCGGTCTTCCTGGCTGGCTTACTCATGCCACATCGGGCTCAAATAGTCCCTTTCACTCGACGCGCAGGCCGAGATAACATCCAGATCAACGAAAATCTTGAAGCTCCCAAAGCAAGGTCATGGGATCAATAGTCGTCGTCGCAGGTGAGCCTCGCGCTCTCACTGTATCTTCACACGAAGTTCATTTGCCGAGGAATCGGGAACGGTTCGGGGACTGGTGCTGCAGCAGCGTACTTTACCGTTTCACGTCGATGGTCTGCGCTGATTACAGGATCCCTGCAGGCGATTGTTCGCAAGCGAAGGTTATACTGTGGCCCTCATTTCCCGTGGGGCGGATTCCCTCAATGCGCTTGTGCAGTCAATCAAGAGTTCTGGGGGACAGGTACGCTTATCTTGTACACACTCCGAGCAGCCGGCTCCATGTTGGTCCTTGCGATAGGCCAGTGCATTCCCAGTCTCCGAGTACAGCGATCATGAGATCTCCTCGGCCTTCTCTGCCATCGAGAAACAGTTTTCGACTCCTGATTACAGTATCCGCGCTGCCATCTTCAACGCTGCCCATGGTGTTTGGAAGCCTTTCCTGAATGTCACGCTGGAGGACATCCGTGCATCCAACCAAATCAACGTCGAATCTTCGTTTGCGTTTTCGCGCTCCGCTATCCTCGCTTTCCAGAAGAACACTCCTGAAGCATCGAATGGCGCCAAAGGAACCTTGATCTTCACGGGAGCTACTGCAAGTCTGCGAGGGAATGTCGTGACAAGTGTTTTCTCAGCAGGCAAATTTGCTTTGCGGGCCTTGTCCCAAAGTTTGGCAAAGGAATTCGGGAAGCAGAACATCCATGTGAGTTTCGAACTGCCCATCAAATGTGTCAAACAGGTATTGAGTTGTCCAGGTCGCACATGTGAGTCTGTCTCAGCATGTTACCTGCCTCTCCGATTGATCCCTGTCAGGCTATCATCGACGGCGGTGCGTGAGAAGCCGTAATGTACTATCCTCTCCGGCTTAGGGTTCCAGGCATTGCCACCAACAACTCGCGCGAAGATAGGCACACTCCTCCGAGTGGGCCGGTCGAGAATCCAGACCCATCATCCAAGCTGAGTCCAGAGAGCATCGCGAAGGCAAGGCATCCGATCGTAATGTTTGTTTTGATCCGCTCATCTTGTGCCCAGTCGTACATCTATCTTGTCCGCCAGGATCAATCTTCGTGGACATGGGAGCTTGATCGTGAGCGTCGACAGTGTAATTCGCTTCTCAGTGTCTAAACTTTGACCTTCTTAGTCCGTCCTGCTCACGAGAAGTGGTAATCGATCCGGGCTAGGCAGTTTTATCTCCAGTCAGACGTTGAATGACCTTCGATAATCGATTTGAAATTCTGATGCACATGCTACCGACCGAAGAATCTTAATCAACTTTTGAGCGTGGGCTGACGACGGACATAGCATAAAACGCGGCGTCTGGCGTATGGAATGACACCAGTTCTTCTCCCACTCCAACGGCCATGTCCAAGGTTATTCTGGTCGGATGTGGGATCGCTGCCCCTGTTCTTGCCCTCCTCCTCAAGCAGAGAGGATATCAGCCGGTGATTTACGAGCGGCGAGAGCAGGATGCCGACGGAGGATTGAGCGTTCTGTGTGTTTCAATTGCCCCACCTCTGTTCTGACCCTGCTAATCGCGAGCGAATAGGCTGCAGTTGAACGGCTTACGCATCTTGTCGCTGATTCCTGGCATCATTGAGCAGCTCCCTGGAAGGGTGGTCGAAGAAGCTGCGAATTTGTCCATTGTCCCAACAGAAGAGGGCGTTCTATGCCGCTCCTCGTTCCCTGCAATGGTCCGTAAGAGATACGGATTTGGAATGATGGGTGTCCACAGGCCGCGTTTTCTTGCACTTTTGGCCTCGACGGCGGCTGCCCATGGGATACCTATCCACTACAACATGAGCGTTGTCCACGTGACACAATCTGATCAGTGCGCGACAGTCCATTTTGACAATGGGCAATGTGACTCGGCCAGTTTTGTGGTCGGCTGTGACGGACTGCACAGTGTGGTCCGCACTGCACTGTTTGGAAGAGACGCCCCTACATTTACCGGTCTGACACAAGTTGGTTCTGTCTGTTCGTGAACTTCGCACAGGGTCGTTGAACACTGCGCAATCACGCAGATGGGTGGATTCATTCCGATGGCGTTTCCCGACCAGAAGCCAACAATTTTCAACTTCTTTGGGGATGGTCTCCACGTTATCTCCTATCCCGCTTCAGAGACGGGATACATATGGGGGTGAGTCACTTGGAATCAACTTCAACCACGGCCACGTGACATTTGTTCAAGAATCACACAACGCGAAGCGGAGATGAAAGAAACATGGCGCGTCATGAACTCTGCTTGCCAGGAGTCCATCCGATCTGGACCGTTCTCTCGGCTTCCGTTTGGCATCGGCAAACTCATTCAAGCTTCGGAGAGAATTACGAAGGTTAGGTCCCCGCTTTACCCCGGATCATTCGACCGCTCATCGAGACGCAGTTCGGCTTGTACGACCGACCGGAACTGAAGTCCTGGCACAAAAATCGTGTGATCCTGATCGGTGATGCAGCTCATCCAACCAGTCCCGTAAGCTGCATTACCCTTAATCGATTTTCTCGGGTCAATCCTTCCATATGCAGCATCTCGGCCAAGGGGCGAATCAGGCACTCGAAGATGCATTCCATCTCGTCCGCATCCTTGTCCAGAACCATCCGGACCCCAATTCAAATCCGTCAACGGCCACTCTACGCGCGATTTACAAGGCATTCGAGGCGAAACGGATCTCCCGGACCGCAACCTTGGTTCAGGAGGCTCGCAAAGCCGGAGAGTTGCGGGTCGTGCAGGGCTTTGATGCGGCTTTGGCGAGGAACGAGTTTCTGAGATCGCAGTGGTCAGATGAGCAGGCGTTGCTCAGATCCAAAGTTGATATGCTGAGCGAGCAGTGGGAGGATTGTTGGAATTGAGACACGCTGATACTAATACGCAATAAGTACGAGCGAGCATCATCTACTGTCTAGACTGAACTACAGCAAGTAGACTCTCCAAAGCGGCAGAGTCGAGATCTGGTGGCGGAATGGCTTCCGCCTCGTGTTCGGCGTCCAGTGACATGTAACCGAACCCCACATCAAGTCGTGTATAACAGAACTGTTCCTCACCAGATTCTGACTGGAACACGAATCGTTTGAGGGTCTCCAGCTCGGCTTCAAAGCGGGACAGGACAGCGTGCCAGGGGTACGGGAAATCGATCATCTCGTCCCCGTCAATCGAGCAATCGGCGAGCTCGAGCGATTCCAATGTTTTCCCGTGTTGCACGATGAACGAGAGCATGTTGTATTCCAGCGCAGTATCCACGAAAACGAAGTCGTACAGCGACAAGGCTGTTAAACGGGGAAATCGGAGGGTCGCTACGTTGAGAGCAGGCTGGGAGCCGACGCCTTGGTCACTGCGGATCACCAGTGTGCGTACCTCATCAGCATATTCCAGCATGCTGGGTACACTGATGTTCCAGTAATCAACCAGCGGATCTTGAAAGTAAGCCCCCTCGTAGTCCACATCAGAAATCACAGAAATATCCACAGTCCTGGCCGATTTGAACAGCGCTCGGAATCCGTCTCGAGTGTAGATGTCGTGTGGGACGGCGATTAGATTGTGGAGGGTCAAAGATCTGAGAGTGGACAGAGGCCGGGAAGCCAAAGCCGCGAAAATTTCTTGTTGAAGAAGAAGATAGTGCGTCGGCTGCTCGGGGATGTCGTGGGAACCATCTTCTTGAAAAGTGTCGTGGAATTCAAGATGCAGGCTTTTCAGGCGAGGAAAGTTCGAGAGGCCCGAGAAAGCACCCGACAACGCCACTCGCCGTGCTTGCGATTCTACCTCTTCGGGGGGACCTGAAATCAAATCAGTCGCTGCATCCTGATTCCAAAATACTGGACAAGCCCCACTCGTCCATCTATCAGAAGCGGGCGCGTCAAAGCGGACGCTTTCCACCAAAGGAGCCACGCTCAAGGTGCAGGTCTCTAGGAACAGTAGCGCGGCCCCGCTCTTCACAGAATCCGTCACAACGATTTCGCGGAAGGCAATGGGGGTTGCGGCGTCTCTGAGGGCGCGCGACACCAGCCGAAGGGTAAAGATAGTCTCGTCCCACTGCGCGTCTTTCGAAATTTGTTGTAACAATTCAAGAGGAAGCGGGGACATGGAGGGAGCAAGAAAATGGCGTGGAACCAATAAAGCGTGGCAACCTGAGATTTGGCGCAGTCAGTCAGTACTTGGTGAACGCAATTGATCCGCGGTCTGATGCATTGGCAAAGCTGATAACGAAATCTTAGGTATTACCACTGGTCGAATGTAGATTCGTTGCCACAACTGTTACCACAACAAGACTCCGAAAGAGTTTACGATTGTAACTCTGTGTCGCTCAATCAGCCTCCAGTCCAACACACCGCTTTTTGTGAGCTGGCCAGTGAGGAATTACCCATCGCCCCACGAGCCAGGAAAATCAAGGATACCTGCGTGACGAGAAGGCTGGTTGTTAAAGGTGCGAGCCTCAAGCAGGGTAAAGTATTGCCAGTACTTGAATGAAAGGAGGGCCGTGATCGAATTCGATCACCAGGTATCTGCTGTATCTGCTGTGAATCCAGAATTTCTCAAGGAGACGCAAGGGCACCTGCACACGTATCGCAGAAGCGCCAGCTCGGCACGGTTGACAACGTAGATACCTGGGCCCAAGCCCCGTGGGGGTGGGGTTGGATAGATCATGACTGACCTCGGGACCTCGATGATTCCAGCATTTCCGCTGTCGGCTCATAGCTTTCGGCCCATACGACGGACACCGTGTCCATTCAGGTCTGCAGTTGGTGGTGAGCACAAGTTTAAGATGCAATGGCGTCCAATCAACCTGTCATTGTTTCGTTGTTTGCTGTGATTGGGATGCACGTGATCGAGACCCGTCGTGACGATCATCTGCGTCCTAGTCAGCGATAAGTCATAGACTACGAGAAGAAACCCGTTTCTCTTGCATCGTCAGTTGGAAAGAATACCTTCCTTCACATGCTTCCGAAGATAATTGCCTTCGATCTGGAGTGAGTGGGTTGTCGGCGAGTTCGTCACGGTCCTCGTTCTCTGTCCCTGCCCTTCGGACGTACTGAATGGCATCCCTTCAGTTACACTCTGTGGGATCTCTGGATCGACACCCATGTCACGCCGCCGCTCACATCATCAGACGACACGGGCGCTGTTGTCGACGCCCACGGGACAGAGATCGATTTCTACCCTGACGTGCGGGCGATACTGCGCCGTCTGAGAGCGGACGGCGTTTTTGTGGCTGCATGCTCGAGGACGCACGCACCCGATCTGTGAGTTCAGGATCGACCGATATAATTGGGAAGCTGCTTATGGGACGGCAGCGCGCTCCGAGCACTCAACCTCCTCCGTGTTCCCGAGTCGGATGAGGAGGACGGTATTGAGCCCGGAAAGCCTGCTATCGAGTACTTTGATAACCTGCAGATATACCCTGGCTCGAAACTTGCGCATTTTCGAGCGATACACAAGAAGACGGGAATCCCATATGAGCAGATGGTAGGGTCGACATCTCCCCAGACTTCTACCCTTCTGATCTGGAATCCAGTTGTTCTTCGACGATGAGTCGCGGAACCGGGAGGTCGAACGATTGGGTGAGTAGGTTCTCTGGTTGATATACGGGATGCTTCAACACTAGTACAGGAGTTGTCTTCCATTACACCCCCAAGGGGTCAGCCACGATGTACTTGCAGCTGGACTGAAGTCGTGGACGAATCGCGTCATCGGCAACTAGATCATTCTCAACGTTGAACTTTGAATGCGTCTAGTCACACCATCCCCGCAGAGAGTGCGGTGACACATCCAGCATGTGGGCCGGGGTCATTGGCCTGTCCGTCTCTGACGCTGAAAATATAAGACGATTGCTGCTGCATCGCATCTGTCAAGCGTACGAAGCCAGAGCTCGACCTGTCACCAGGCTAGCAGTGCTTCTTCTGCAGGCAGCAAACGGCAGTGAATGGATGGATTATTTGCGTTGACTCGGAACTTCTTTAACGCTTTCATGGACTCCCTCTCCTCGATTTTAGCACTTTCCTGGTTTAGATCCACGATGCCCATCATAATCGTAGTCCCCTGCATATGCATGCACTACTTGTGCTATATCACATGTCGAGATGACTCGCAAAGCTTTGTGACATGTCCTCAGCTACGAGATTGATCAGCTCGCTGCCAAATAGGATTCAATACGACTTGCTTCATCACCTTCCGAATTGTTGATTCTCAATCTCACAGATCCCAGAACTCTTTCCCATCCGAACGACTGCATGCCGTATATCTTCGAGTCAGTTTCACCGCTCCCCATGCGCTCTTGGGCTCCAAATCGTATGGGCAATGCCCTCAAGTCGCTTTCGATCTGCCCATCTCCCATCACGTCTATCCGTCTGCCAGACTCTACGTGTCCTTAGCCATAAATCAATCGCAAACTGCTAGTTCTTACCTGATTTCGGTGTCTCTTGAGCCTTTGATGTGTCCTGTTACACCGCCCGGTGCATGCATGAGTGCACCGTCAGTCAGCGCCGCGACAGCTGCTTGTCACCGCCCACATGTATAAAAGCGCGTGCTCTGGAGCACTAACCTCATCATTGCTCTTCCCGGTTTCTCCTTCGTTGTTCATTCCTTTATTCCCTTATTTCCTTCTTTCTCTCGACGAGACCTTTTCTCCACGACAGTCCAAGAATCACCGATCACAGTATCAACTTCACCATGCTCGTCTTCCCCTTACTCCTTCTCCTCGCTACCGTGGCACAGACTGCCCCTATCGCCTTGTCCAACTCTGACAAGCGTTGTGTCGGATGGGCCAACTGTATCCCACCCGCGCCTGCGAACAAGCGTACCGAAACTCGTTCCTTGAGCTCCGTTCTCCTCCTTCCTGGTGCATTGCGCAAGAGGCAAGATGACGGTTTCGACTTTGGCTCGGATGGTATGCAATCGTTCCTTCTCGAGTCGCGATCTGAAAGGTTTTGTCATGTGTAGATTCGGGTGATTCAAGCTCGTTTGATGATACCAGCTCGTTCGACGACGGTAGCTCTTTTGACGACACCAGCTCGTTCGATGACACCAGTTCCTTCGATGACACCAGCTCTTCTGACGACACCAGCTCTTTCGACGACACCAGCTCGTCCGATGGCAGCTCGTCCGACACCAGCTCGCTCGACTCTTCAACCACGTTTGACCCCTCTTCATTCGATTCGAGTTCATTCGATACCAGCTCATCCGATACTGGACTGGCTGACTCTACCGGTAAGTCTTGATATCCTCACATGGAAACCCGACATCTGAATCCATGCTTCCTGACAGACACTTCAGGCTCAACCGACTCTGGATCAGCAGATGACGGTCAGATTTGCTTCGATTCGACGGCCGGTGTAGATTTCTGACCCTTCTTCTGATCTGCAGGATCCAGTTCGTTCTTGGATCCCAGCAGCACAGACACGACTGATTCGGGATCGGCAGCGGACCCCTCAGCGACCGACTCCTCGAGCACGGACAGCTCGCTGTTCGGTTCTTTCTTCGATCCCAGCAGCACCGACACGACCGGTGCAGCTGATCCAGCGGCTACGGATGCATCCTCCTCCGACAGTTCGCTGTTCGGCTCGTTCTTCGATCCGAGCAGCACAGACTCGACCGGTGCTGCTGATCCCGCGGCGACGGACGCATCGACTTCCGATGGCTCGTTTGGCTCGTTCTTCGATCCCAGCAGCACGGACTCCACAGGCGCACCGGATCCAGCAGCGACGGATGCCTCGACCACCGATGGTTCTGGGTTCGACCAGTTCCTGGACCCTACCGACGCTAGCACGGCCACTGATCCTGCCGCCACCGACAGCACCGGTGCGACTTCTGCATCCGACTCTACCCCGACGGACACAGTCGACACGAGCACCGATGATTCGTCTTCGAGCACGACTGCGGCTGCTGCAAGCGCTGGACCCACTGGTGCCACTACGAATTCCGGCGGAGGGTCTTCGAGTCCATCTGCTGCATCCAGCAACACACCGAGTTCCTCCTCCTCGAATGGTGCTCTGACATGCGGTGGTGCGGTGCCCAACGCTGCCACGATCGCGCTCATCAAGCAGGCGGAGGGCTTTGTCCCATCTCCGGCCCCCGACCCCATTGGTCTCCCGACAGTCGGTTTCGGCCACAAGTGCCAGACCAAAGGGTGTGCCGAGGTCGGTTTCAGCTTCCCTCTGTCCCAGAGCACGGCGACGCAGCTCCTGCAGCGTGATCTCGCGACGTTCGTGACCTGCGTCAACAACGCCGTGAGCAGCTCCGTGGTTCTAACGGACAACCAAGTCGGCGCGCTTTCGTCGTTTGCGTTCAACCTCGGATGCGCCACTCTCAAGAGCTCGACTCTTCTCAAGCAGCTCAATGCGGGCCAGGATCCGAATACCGTCGCTGCGGCCCAGATCCCTCGCTTCAACAAAGCTGGTGGAAAGGTGCTCCCGGGTCTCGTCACCCGCCGCGCTGCGGAAGTTGCTCTGTTCCAGACCCCCTCCAGCGTCCAGGCACACCCTTGTTGAGTATTCACCCAGTTGTAGTAGGTACTTGGCGCTGTGTACAAATACATAGTGGTATCGATTATTAGATATAGCATCTACATTTGTCTACGTCGCAGGCGTACATCGCTGGGTCACAGTCCGTTGAAGCGCTCCCAGTTTTTCATGCATGAGTATCCATCATAATCTGCGGGGAACATCAGTCTCAGCGTGACGTGCATCACAGATCGAAAAACGCACCAAAGTTGCTGGAGGGATTACACGCGCAGCGGTTGGCTTCCCATACGGCGGGGTCCTTGGGGCAGTGCGTGTAGGGGTTGTGCTCGTAGCCAATCTCCTCGAAGAACTGCAGTTGATCTTTGGATGCGAAGATGCCTGCCGCGATCGAGTGCACAGGAGCATCGCCCCACCGCTGTCAGAGAAACTACGTCGGAATCATCTAACAGCAAAGAACTCATCGCCCGCACCTCGTAATAGAATCCCCCTTTAGAATCCAAGTAGTCAAAGAAAGCTGTGTATGCAGGTCCCCGCCAGAAATTCATGTCGGCGATCTCGAAGTTACTCCAGAAATGGCAAAGATTGTATGTTTCTCCGTTGTCGTTGCTCATGAAGCCGAGCGAATTGTCTTTTGCAATGTGCTCGGGGTGCAGTTTCATGAAATCTGACGGCGATTGATAAACATCCTGGATCTAGAACACGGACGAATACCTTTCACATGACCCCATAGTGTCGGAATCGTCTTCTCGAACTCGTACATCGTGATAGTGAAGCCTAAGAATGGGTTACCCCTCGCCAAGGACGATGAAATCGGACCCACCGTAGACTTTTTTACGATCTTGCATGTATAGGAATGGGTCGAATCTGATATCACAATGGAAATGGACATCGGGCTCAATTCGCCAGTACCATCGATACTTTTCGACAAGAGGATGCCTGAAGAAGAAACTGTTGATGCGAGTCAGCAGTTTGTCGCTCGACGTCGTATGCGCCGTCACTCACCCAGAATTGAAGCGACACATGTTTCGATAGCTGACACTTCCTCCGTAGATCACGCCCTCGTCCACCAGTTTGTCACGGCCTTTGGCTGCCAGAGTTTCGTCGATCCAGTCTGGTTGTTGCCTGGAGCCGAGTTTCAGCCGGAATCTGACACATCAAGGAGGGTGACGCACCAGTGTTCCCTTGGTATCACCCCAAACTCGATCTTTCCCGAGACGACTGCAGTCAGCCGTCTAGCAGGTCAACCGTGGATGAGAACCCGTCCGAAGAGACATGAGAGCGCCACGCACCGCTTGAACTCCGCCGAGAAGGGCTCATCATTCAGAAACACATACGGATAATGGTGCCGGGTGTTGAATCGATCCTCCATCCTCCTCACCGACCGCACAGTCATGTCCAGATCCGTGTTCCGAGCCAGTACGACGAACGTGGCATTGGCGCGGGGCCGGTGTGCGACATCCAGCGTCGCATTTTCCCATGTGAAGTATTCGGGCGGGATGGGAGTCGTCTTGGACGTCCCCATGAGACGATTTATTGACGTCGCCCGGCCATAGTCTTCGTGTGTCTGAGAGAGGATGAAGTGCCCAGTGATAACGATAGCGAGAACGAGGAGCAGATATCGGGGGGTGGTATGCATGCCACGTAGGGGGACGAAGAAGCGGCAGAGAGGCAGGGAAGGGCCGCCTTGCAGGGACACTAGTTGTTTTGCGGGTGGTGAGTGGAGAGCTGCGCTGACAGCGTCGATACAAATCGGACATCAAATTCCCAAAATTGATCCGACGGTGATATGTATTAATCGCGGGACGATGGCTCCGTTGCGGAACCTTTGCGGTCAAGTGAAGCCGCAGCCAGTGGGCCCCAAAGAGTTTCGAGCTTTTACATTTACCTGCTTTGCCTCTTGACGGTTGTACGACTTCAGTGAACAGAGCGGACTGAAATAAAACACGTGACATGCCGATCAACGCTCTTACGTCATGTGATGCTTACAGGTTGTCTTTGTATGTAATGTACGATATCATGTCAGATTCATTTCCTGAGCTTCCATCTACTCGGACTAGTGAGCCAGCCAGCCCCGCGCGCGGCGCACACGGCACCCCCTGAATGACCACGAGTTTGTCCCCTGTCCGGAGGCAAATCCTGCTTCCATTATTATAATTTGCGGTTCCAGGATGAATTCTCCGCAACCTCATTGAACGAGGGCTGCAAAGCCAACCAACCACCCACGGCAATCACAGCTCGTCTTCTTCTTCTGACGCTGATAAGATAAGATGGATGTATACGTGACCGAGGGTCTCGTGAGGGTGACCGATCGTGTCGCTGAATTCGCCACTGGCATTCCATTCCGGATCCAAAGAACCCGAATCTTCCGAGGGATGGAAGCCCTATGCAAGGTCGAGTTTGTGGAACACACGTTCTGAAAGTTTCCTATTGCAGCGGGATCCTTCTCGCGGCCACCGCTTCGTAACACTGACTAAACCGTCGGAGTGAGAATTTCATCATCGAATCAGCCCATCGGATCGAAGCGTTTATATTTGCCAAGCAGGGAAGCCATTCATTGCACTTGCTAACGACCAACCATGTCCGCGCCGACGACCGTACCGCTCCTCCTCAACGGCGAAGAAGTCCTGTCTCCATCCTCGTCGACGTTCCCCGTCGAGTCCCCCGTCTCCCACCAACTATTATGGTCGTGTTCGTCAGCATCGCCGGACCAGGCCGCCGCTGCCGTGCAGGCAGCCTCAATGGCGTTCCCCGTATGGTCGAAATCCCGCTCTGCCGAACGACGGAGGGTGTTTCTGAAGGCGGCGGATCTTATCGCCGAGCGCAGCGAAGAACTCAAGTTGCACATGCACCAAGAGACGGGCAGCCCCGACGCCTTCTGCACCTTCAACGTCATGACCGCGGCAGAGCAGATGCGCGATGCGGGAGGGCGGTGCAGTGCCATTATGGGCAGCATTCCCATGACGCAGGATGAGGGGACGGCGGCGCTGGTGCTCAAGGAACCGTACGGCGTCGTGCTGGGCATCGCCCCATGGTACGTCCGGTTTCTGCGGCTTTTAGATCCGCCGGGGTGGAAGAGCATCTGACCGAGATTCAAATATCAGGAACGCACCATATATTCTCGGATTCCGTGCCGTCATCTATGCGCTAGCGGCGGGGAACACGTGTGTGCTCAAGGGCTCGGAACTTAGCCCGCGCTGTTTCTACAACATCGGGCGCATTCTCCTCGACGCTGGGCTACCCAAGGGTGCTTTGAACGTGATCTACACCCCTCGCGCAGAGTCCGCCGCGATCACCACCCAACTTATCAACTCCCCCGCTGTGAGAAAAGTCAACTTCACGGGAAGCAGTGCAGTAGGCTCTATCATCGGGTCGATAGCGGGTCGTGCACTCAAGCCTTGTCTGATGGAACTCGGTGGCAAGGCAGCGGCTATCGTGCTGGACGACGCGGATCTCGAGTTGGCCGCCTCCCAATGCGCTGTTGGCGCATTCCTGCACTCTGGACAAATCTGCATGAGCACCGAGCGCATCATCGTGCAGGAGTCCGTCATCGATAAATTCCGACCGGCACTGCAGCAAGCAGTGGCAAAGTTCTCGCCTGCCGACGCACTGTCTCCAGTCCTCGTCCAGGCAGCGGCTGTTGACCGCAATCGTTCTCTAGTCGCAGACGCGCTGAGCAAGGGAGCCAAACTTCTGCACGGCGATCACACCGTGGACGAGAAACATCCGGAGACGGGCCTTGCTTCGGGGACTCGTTTGCGTCCGCTGATTGTGGATGGAGTGACTGCGGACATGTCGCTGTATAGCCAAGAAAGCTTCGGGCCTAGCGTCAGTGTCATTTCGGCGGCCAACGAGGAAGAGGCAGTCAGAATTGCCAACGACAGCGACTTTGGACTGAACGGCGCTGTGTTCACACGCGATCTGGCGCGCGGACTCAGAGTCGCAAAGCAACTGGAATGCGGGTGAGTCTCATTCGCAGAATGGACCTGAGCTAGTCTAAAGATCAATCAGGTCCATCCACATCAACTCGATGAGCGTCCATGATGAGGCCAACCTCCCTCACGGCGGCGCCAAGAACAGCGGGTGGGGACGGTTCAATGGCCAATGGGGAATTGAGGAGTTCTTGCGGCTCAAAACAGTGACATACAAAGAATAACCTTGTCTGTGAAGGATACAAGTTGTAGATCTAATCCCGTCAAAACGTCGTCTTCGACAACGGACTGGCTGTCATCGAAGATGAGCGTATGGTCGTCACTGTCGTGCCCTTGCCAACCGGTATCGCAGGAGGCTTACGTCGTTTGGGCGTGGGCGGTGGCGGTGGCGTCCGACGATGGGGCGTTGGCTGAGTGACATGGACTTGCAGATGCACAGGGCTCGACGGCAAGGATGATCCACTGAAACTCGTCGCAATGGACGACGGAACGGTCATTGAGCTGGCGCTTGGGTCGTGAGTTGATGGAGCCCGGTGTCGATTTGCGTGAGAACCATCCACGATTCCAGAGTGGGCGCTCCCTTTCCGAACTGGAGCCGGCAGGACTGCGGATGCCACGAGATTGACCGAACTCGCGTTGCTGGGTCTTCTCGGAGCATCGGTCGAGGAACGAGACGCGGGCTGGCCAGCAGCCGCTCCTGGTAGAAATTCAACACTCTTGCTGCTCCTGAGGCTCCTGCGCCCTTGAAGATCCAGGGGCGACGGGGTGTGTAGATGAGACTGGGGCGCAGATGCTTCGCTGGAGCCTCTCCTGGCTTCCTCCGCAGGAGGCGATTTGCGGAGATGGACACACCAATCCCACTTAAGCATCGCTCCACAAGCCGTCTCGTGGTCGGATTGATATCCCGCACACCGGCATTCGAAATCAGCCCTTCCAAGGCCAGCACGATTTGCGGCCGCTTGTACGGGATTTCTCGGAGCTGCGTTTTTGTCAAAAGCGGATGAAGAACACGTAGATAGGTGTGCCGGAGCTAGTGCAAAGTCAGCTGTTCGCCACATGCATTGTCGCTGGTCATACGCACGGATTCACTATCATCATCCAGGTCCGTGAGCTCTCTCAGGAAGACATCCACCAACACGCAGAGATCGTTCGTATAAAAGTATTCCGAAGTCCCTTTGGTCGTAAATAGCAGATACAGCAGCTTCAAGACGAGCAGCTGCATGCACAAGTCTTCAGGGGTATGCTCTAAGATAAATTAGATTGCTTCCGCAAGCAAAGACATGACCGCACCGGCACGATTGAGCATAAAGATCATATTCTCCCCAAATGTCTTGCTCGATCCCAGTCTCCTCATCAAGATCCGCAGAACCCGGTTCGCGGGTTCAGAGGAGGAGGGATGCTTGTCCGAGTGGTGCTTTTCCGATTCAGAAGGAAGAGATGCGACCATGAATTGCTCGTTAAGCGCAACCTTTCCTGGCGTCAGCGACGTCAACAGCGAGCATGAACACGACATACGATAAGCTTGATGCACGAGTAATTGAAAACTTCATCTTGCATATTCCTGGTTTGCTCCACTAGATCGAAGAGGTAATCAAGAAATTTATCGTCGAATATCTCTGAAGACGTGGGTTGAGGAGGGAGGCGTGCAGGCCCTAAACATAGATCGACGTACTGAGGTCATGAGTCGAGAACTTCTGTACCCGACAGACTTCATACACCAGTCGAATGCACAACGAGCGCAGCTTCGCTTCGATCGGAATCGGCACCGATGTTGAACCATGGTGCGACGAGGACGACCCTGAGTTCCCGAAATAGGCATCTTCCTCTTCGGGGTCAATCTCAACAAGAATGTGGTCCATGAGAAGAGGCAGAAGAGGCGTCCATCGTTTACTCGAGCGGAAGAAATCCGACCGGCGGCGTCCGTGGCAGAGCATGATGTGGTACATGATCAACTGCGAGTGTGGGTCGGTGTTCTTGGAGCAGGATGCTTGAGCTTAGGAGGTGGCGCGGGGGAGTACAACGACACTCACAGATCTCAACTCTTCTCCAAGCATCTCGCACATCCTCTCAGAGTGGAAGGAGAACAATTCGGACTCGGCAATGAGGTTGCACGCATGCTCGAGCTGCAGAGGACTCTGGAGGTACAGTTCTAGCCGCATATTGCCACGTCAATAGATTTCATGATTGAGCGGGGCACAGACCATGGTAGGCTGCACAAAACGCTGTGTAGCGCCTTAATGTCAAGTCCAGCAGTGATAGCGTGGGGGGCTCTTTCGGCAGATTGAGCACATCCTCCAACTCTGCACACAAGCAGTCAGCGGCGGCAGGGCGAGACCACCTGAGGTATAGCGCAAATCATACCAGACCAGAACTGCTGCGCATTCTCGACGAGGTACGTTATGCCCAGATCGTCTTCGACGTTCATGTCGACTGAAGGGCAGTGAGGACCGAAGATGGAAGGACGGCTTGTGACGTGATGTTACCCGGAATAGCAGTCACACAGGTGTTACGCTGTCTCGTGTTTTCCCGCCCCTTCGTGACCTGACGCGTGCGATCCCATCTTGAGTTTCTACCACCACCTCTGGGCGCGGACAGAAACAGCCGACATGGGAATCAAGTAGTACGGAGTGTACTTTGGCAAGAATTTCGGTGGCAAGCAATCCGCGTCTGCGATTCTTCTTGCCTTCGTATCGCAACAGTTGCGTTTATCATCTCGACCGTTTTAGTTCACAAGTGATCCTGGAACGGCAACAATGCTTTCCCATCTCTCTCTTGAACTCTGTTCAAACTATACACAGGATCAAAGCCTGCCGCGTGCTCGCAGTGACCGGTCCGCATCGTTCGACTGGGTCCTACTTGCTGCAAATATCTTGCACGGCTTGCACACTTGCTCTGGCTGCATCTCGGCTCTTTCTCCATGTAGAGTCTCCCGTGGTCAAAACCACCTCAAAAAATTAAGCAGCGAGCTGCTATTCTATCTGCAGACGAATATCCATTCCATCGTGTGCCAACGGCTGACCTGGATACAGCATGACTTCTCCCATCCCCTTGGTCAAATGCAAACTTTTGTTTGGTCGACAGTCCCAAGGCCACTCTAGCTTTGACTATTCTGGAAGGATGGATATCGATGCTCAGAGTCCACGCCAGATCTACATTCCTGATTTCTTCTGCGTTTGATGCATCATTCTCTCTGTCTCCTGCTGCGTTTTCCGAGCAGGGTTGTGCCGTGGTGGCGGAGAATGTGGATGAACGAATCGCTTGATGCGCTACCCCCAACCCGCTACGGGTCAGTTGACCTGTCAAACTCTCAGCCGGTGACACCAGCAGATCATCTCCGTTCTGAGGGGGTGGCTGTGGACGCTCAGTGTCCCCACGGGCCTTATAAGTGGTCCGCTAAGGTAAGACGATGGCTGAGTCGAGCACATAACACTGAAGCGTCCATGGCAGCCTTCACTGCACCCCTGCTGAACAACGGAGAAGACTTCTTCTCATCCGCGACATTCCCGGTCAACTCCCCCGTGTCTCGCCAGACGCCGTGGACATGCTCAGCTGCATCTGAGGACGACGCGGTCGCTACTGTGCAGGCCGCTGCAGCAATCTTCCCGTATCAGTCGAAAAGCCGTCTCGCTACGCGTCGCGCGATCTTTCTTAAGGCAGCGGACTTGCTTGACGAGCGCACCGAGCAGCTAAAAGAACAAGAGTCTCAAGGGACGGGAGCTTCGGAGGACTAAACAGACTTTGACATCGCGACGGCCGCTGGCGAGCTCCGGGATATTTGAGGCCGCTGCAGCGCAATCATGGGGAGCATATCCATGACTCAAGAGCAGGGGATCGGTGTACTGGTGCTCAAGGAACCCTACGGTGTCGTGCTAGGCTTCGCCCCGTGGTGTGTTTACTATCCTCTGCTTGACCGCAATCTGAATATGTCCAGGAATGCTGCATATATCCTGGGCTTCAGAGCAGTCATGTGCGCTTGCTGCCGGAAACACTGGTGTCTTGAAAGGCTCTGAACTCAGTACTCGCTGTTCCTATAACAACGGACGCAACTTCACCGACGCCGGACTACCCAAAGGCGCTCAGAACGTGATCTATACCCCCCGCGACTCTCCTGCTCAGATCACGACTCTCCTGATCGAGTCCCCTGCTGTCAAGAAGCTTAACTTTACGGGAAGCAACGCAGTGGGAACCAGCATCTGCGCAGCCGCTGGCAGAGCCCTCAAGCCCGTCCAATGAAACTCGGCGGCAAAGCAGCGGCTGTCGTGCTGGGCGATGCTGATCTCGAGATGGCTGCCTCCCAGCATGTTCTAGGTGCATTCATGAAGGCGAGCCAAATGCGCATGGGCGTCGAGCGCATCATCGTGCAAGAACCCATCGAAGACCAATTCTTCGGCGAGCAGCGCAAGAATTCCAACCTGCTAACGCGCTGTCTCCCATCTTCTTACAGGCTGCGGACGAAGCAGTTAGGATCGCCAACGACAGCGAATGTGGACCGAATGGGGATGTGTTCACACGCGATCTGGCGCGCGGACGCTGAGTCGCAAAGCGATTGGAGTGCGGACGAGTTTCATTCGTCGAATCACGTCTGGCACTGAGGATCAATCAGGTCCATTCACATCAACTCGATGAGTGTCCACGCTGAAGCCGATCTCCCCATGGTGGAGCGAAAAGCAGTGGATGGGGCCGTTTCAATGGTCAATCGGGAATGGAGGAGTACCTACGCCTGAAGACAATCACATGTCAGGAGTAGCGGCAAGCATCCGTCTGCTTCAGTCTGGATCTACCGAAGTTTCTGATCTTATCTGGCGTGTAATATCATGTAAATTTAGCCTAGCCGAGGGTCATTTTCTTACTAGCGACCCCTCGTGGTGCCGATTCCAGCATGCTTGCTCTCCTAAATCCAACCGCCCTCAAAACACCGCCCAGGGTTTCGTGGATCCATCAGCAGCACTTGTTTCTGGAGGCGTGCAATGCCCGCTGGGACCATGCCAAGAATGGTCGGGGGGTCTATAAACGTCCCTTTCCGCCCCTCCAGGACCGCTTGCACGTGGACCAGCGCCCGAGAACGTTTCCAACTGCTCGCTGATGAATTGAGTCCAATAGTGTTCGTTCGGAGGATCGCCATGAATTGCAGTCGCCAGATGCAAGGTGACCATGCACTCTTGCTGATTTGCCCCGTATTTTATGTCGCCATGTTGGCGATAGTTCCGGATGAAGAACACTATATGTGGCGGCCTAGGTCCTATCCCGTGTGTCGTTTGAGCGCAACAGGGCGGGCATTAACGCCGAACGTTTGCAACCTCAGCTGGATCCTCAGGGCGCGGAAGCTGACCGAACAACTTGAAGCCAGTCTGATGCTGATTGAGGCCGAGGATCCATCCTCAATGGGGGCCTGAGACCCAACGACAGAGAGATTGGAGTTGCAGCAACATCAGCGCCGCTGACGGGAGCAGGCGAGATCATCACCACGCGCAGCATTTTCGGAACCGTGGTACTCCCGTGCTGGCCAGCCAACGCGGAGATATTGCACGCCTTTGCGACATTCAGTTTCGGACCTAGGACGATTAACGTCGCATGGGTACCCCTCGCTTCTTCAACGGGTCTTTCGAAATGCAGGCATGGTGGTCTGGACCGTTCGAGGATCTAGCATGGTAGTTCGCTTCATCATTGTCCAATGCCAAAAACGCTGCATGGTCGATCTACTCGTTATCCATGTTGGGCCGGGGTTGCCTGACTGGTTTCCGTCCAATCCAAACGATATAGTTGGAGAAAGACAATGCATGGTCACAGACAAGAAATGCTCGGCTTCGAGAACGACGGCGAAAGCAATTTAGAGGCTGCATTCGACTGTCCCACCACGCGTGTCAATGAGAACAGAGCTGCAATGGAAAGCGGTTCGGGATGTCATACGGTAGCAAAGTCTGGTCAGGCTAACTCCGCCTCGCCTCAGCCAGTCCCTACACCTTGTTCATCGCGTCTCCGTTTCCGAGTCTTCCGTATTCTGACCAGCACCCGCCGGTTCTGGAGGAGGGTCGTAGTCGTCGTCAAACTGCCCACCCCGCCCATTCGCCGTTGCCATATCCAGACACTCCTGGCAGGAGGTGAACATCCATCCTCCTGGCGTCTCCGCCATCCTCCCCTGGTCGTCCCCGCACGTCTCGCACGTCCAGTACGAGTCGTTTTCCGCCGTGTCAATCAGATCCCCGAGATCCAGCCCACCGCCCAGGTCGGACGTGTATGTCCCAGAGATAGTGACCCGCAAGCCGCCGTACTTCTCTTTAAGTCCGGTGTAGGTGATGCCTGGATGATGCGTCTGGAGCGCGGCGCTGAGCCAGCGAAGCAGGCCTTCCCATCCGTTGCCAGTGTAGACTTCTCTGGGATGCCCGAAGTCGGTGAAGAGCGCTGGAAAGTCGGCTGCGAGACGATAACCGATGCCAGTCTGGCTCGCGGCCATAGTTCAATTCAAGATTTGGCAAGTCATCTCTGACAGCCGTTGATTCAGATGTGATCCGTCGTCCGGCTTTGTGACATTGCCGACACGGAAATACTACAGTTTTCGTATTTAGCGGATGGAGATCGGTTACAGCCGCCACAGCCTCATGCGTCGGAACCGCCACGCAACCGCGCACACACCCAAAGCGTACGTAGAGAGGACAGTCAACGACACAAATGCGCCAGCGTACATGGTTTTCATGGAGAGATTCACGATTCCCGTTCCGAGGTTGGCCTTCAATCCAGTCAGTCGCCGTGCAGCATCAGAGGGGAAAGCGACTGACAAGCAAGAACAACGCGAGGCTGTTGGTGTTGATGGCTTCGAGGAGGAGCGGCGCGCGGGCGGGTGGTGCTTGGATGACCATCGAATGATCGTTGGAATGGATGCCCACGGCACTCTTCTTTTTGACGCGAGGTCCAGGAGTGAATATCATATCGAGGCAGATGTATCCAAGAATGAAACTGGTGTTGAATGCTGTGACCCACAGCACATATTGAAGATTGGCCTGGGCAGAATGGGGATAGTAACAAGAGATGGAATAGTGCCTACTAACCGTTTGCCTTGAAACTCCCTGGTCTATTTTCAGCAAGCTCGCGAGGCCTAGCAATATCCACCAGACTATAGCGTACGATGCCAGCTCTGTGGTTGTTTTATCGTTGCGGCGAGGGGCGGCAAGCTCGGCTGTCGTCCAGCGGCCTTGCCTCAACCGTTCGAAGAAATTTGGAGACGGCGGAAGCAGTGTCGTGCCCATGGCCAGTCCGAAAAGATGGATGCCGAGATAACCTTTGGCAAGATCAGCATCCACGCAAGCCTGTGGCGAGCAGCTGACCGAGAAGGGAAGCGATTCCTTCCTTATTGGCACTGATCAGGTTGATGCGAGGGGCTGTTTTGACATAGTGCTTCAGCCCCAACTGAGATAGCGCCAATTGGTGCACTGCATCCCAAGTCAACAGCAAAGCCGGCGAGAGCGCTATGCACGCACATAGAGAAACACCGAGCGCGAGGATTGACACTGGAACGCGACGGATCAACGGATGTAACGAGACTTGCATGATGGGCAGAACAGCCAAAGTGAGAAAGAAATTCCAGTGTGTTCCATATTCGGTCTCGTGCTCCTGGTCGTCTGTTGACATGCGGTTTCATGTCTGGAAGCGAACAGGACGCACGGGGTAGTCTGTGCCCTTGACCAATATAACACGGATGCCCCCGAGCACCAGCACTGGCACCATCTTCTTCATAATCGCAAACACTTTTGGAATGAGGGGCGCATCAAGATGCTGGGCATTCTTGAGAAGGGGGATAGCGGAAACGACACCGCCGGAGAAGACGAACGATCCTACGCCGAGATCCATCTGCAACCTGTCAACGCACAATTCATCTCAGTCGGAATGCACGCACCACAGACACTCCATATGACTCGCATTTCGCTAGCGCACGAGGAAACACGGGGAAGTCAACCGCCAAGATCCCAAGGATCGTCATCAACATCATATGCGCCCGATAAGTCGTGAGGGCGGGTAGGACGGGCAAACTTGGAGTTGAAGCAGAGGTTCGCTGGGCGTTGTGCTGAAAACGGGGCTCGTCAGGACTTGGTCGAGGGCTGCTCAACGGCATTAGTGTCCCGGGAGAAGGAGTCCGCCAAAGTATGAGCCCGGCCGGGACGAGCAGCAGGACGAAAAACGTAATAGGCTTCATTGCGAACCACGTCATCGACAGCAAGAGAGGGAGGACGAGGATTGTCCATGATACAAAGAATGATGGGTGCCGACCGGAGGCGTAGAGTCGTGTTTGAACGGTATGATACAGGAATATGGAGGCCTACGCTAACCAGTTCTAATGAGATTTCAATTGAAAGCACCGATAGATCGCGAACCAGGGCAACAGAGGAGATGGAGTTCACGTGGGAGACGGTCGACCCCGTCATTCCAGAGACGAACGCCTCTTTAGCGGCCTTGTAATCGTCGTCCATTGTGGTAAGTTACTAAAAGGGTATGTCGTGCTGCCTGTGAGAGCACCGCCACATTCTTGTTCTGTTTCTGCGAGTGTCAGTGTCATCCACCATGTCGCGCGGTACGCGTCCTCAATTGTTCTTGGAGGACTTGGACTCGTTCCCCGCGCCTCCGACGTTCATTCCTCCATCCCCTTCCACGCCATCTAATCCACCGCCCTCGAAACCCCCCGCTCAGCCGCTTCCTCCGGTGCCAGGACCCAGTCGGATATCCGATACCGACACCTTGCTTTTTCTTAATTCTACAGGGCAATCACGTTCACGTCGTTCCTCGAAACTGTCATTTCGTGACGTCGGGGAGAACAATCGAGACTCATTTGCTTCAAACCGCAGTTCCCTACTCAGTGTCTCTCTCGACCCCAGCTCCCAGCGGTCGTCTCCAGTGACGCCCAATTCTGCCACCCAAAGCCCCCAGCGCCACAGCCTTGTTTTCGCCATTCGGGAAAATCTGGATTCGCAGGAGCATCTGCTCGATGCTCCCCTTTTGCGCGGGCTACAAAAAGCCCCTTTGGACGACGACAACGTGTTAGACGATGTACCGCCCATTATGCCCGCCTCCGTGGCCTCCGTACTTTCTTCCTCCGCCGGCCGCAACGTCCCTAGGTTGAAATCTCCGCGTGCCGCTGGTCGCCGCCGAGAAAGCATCGCCTTAAGCTCGGTTGCCCTACCGGAAGATGATAATGATTCAGACGTCGACTTGGCCCTACCGGCTGTCTTGCCTCATCCTAGGAAACCATTGGAGTCTCCTAGTGTCGTTGACCCGCGCGCTCCTTCGCCGGACATCACCTCTATTATCGCCGCGACGCCGCGACCGCGATTGTCCAGCGTGTCCGGCAAACGGACGTCAGACGAAGACGATTTCATTGACGACTACGGGCAGCCTCGCAACAGCGTGTATTCGACGCGTTCGCAAAACGGGGAGGACTTCGCGTTCGGGTTCCCGCAAGACCACGAAATGCAGAGTGTCGCGGAGGAGAGCGAAATAAGTGGACTTCCTTGGGACGAGGCAAACGATTCAGAAGACTCGGATTTGGATTTGCACACGTCTCTCCCGTATGTGTACAGTGCATTCCCTCTCTGACGATCCTCTGACCCTGTTTCCAGGCAACTTATGCTCCATCATGGCTACCTCTCTCCGCGGTCTAAACTGCTCACGAGCTCGAAACCATTCCCGGCGTCATCCTCGAGCGCGTCCCTGCGCTCGAATGCGTCCTCTGCAAGTCAGCTGCCACGCGACTCGCGTGATACTCCGTATCGCCGAGTGCGGCACCGAGATGGCAAGACATTGCGTGGCGGGATCGGACTCACGACGGGTCTTGGATGGAGCGACTCGGAGGATGAGGACGCGCCCAGCGCATTAACGAAACGCTTGTCCCAGCTGGATCTCAAAAACGGCGGACTTAGTCGATCCGCATCACGATCTAGTCTACGTTCGACAGCTTCCGGACGGCGATCATCGAGCTTCTCAACGTCAACTTATGGCGTTCCATTTTCGCGGTCAACGTCTTTTTCTTCCGCGGCTGGGTTCTCGCGCTCCGTGTCAGGCTTAAGGCGAACTCAAAGCGAGCATGATGACTCGGCGACGGATACCGACGAATTTGGAATGATTCAGGCCCGGCCGAGACGCAAAAGCGGACCCGGAGGCGCTCCACCGACAAGCTGGACTGGGCCCAGGCGGAGTGATCCACCTGCAATGCCGCGGTATCGGAGTCGACCCAGCTCGCTTCTTACGGATGAAAGCGCGGAGACGACCTACACAACCGACGCCGGGAGCAGTCCTCTCCTGCGCACGAAGAGTCGCGTGCTGCGGGTGATGGCTGCTGACAAAGAGAAGCCACTGCCTCACACTCCGGCCCGGTTGTCCCAGTCAGTGTCCTCTGTGCCCTCCTCACCGCGCTCGCAGATGCGCCCGCTCCGACTCCAGACACGCTCCAGCCTTGGTTCTGGGGGCGGAGCGGACCGTTCGCCCGTTCCGGTGCCCTCCGTGCGCGAAAGCACATCGACCATGTCGATTCACTCGACTAGGACAAGCGCCTCAGGCTCGCTCCTGTCGCCCTCGTCGTCTGGTTCGGGTTTTGCCTACGCGCGAGCCCCCTCGCCGTACCGGTCTATGCCGACGACGCCAGCGTCCGAGTCTACTCCAAACAGTGGACTGGCGCGGCCGAAGCCGAGAACCGGAACTGGCATGTCCTACCGCAACTCGTCCTACGGTGCATCTGGTATTGGCCGCGGGCGAAAGGTTGTTGCGCTCTAGATGTTCTGCATGTATCTTTTTCTGTTCGATCCTTCGTGCTATACCTCATTACTACCTACCACATACCACACTCATTACCGGAACATGGATTGTACTCTATACTTAATTGTAGCGCCCAATGTATATACTATTTGTCTTTCCAAATGGAAGCAGGGTCTGTTCGTCAAGTGAGTGTGTCATTTTGATTAGTATGTGCAGCTATCTATGTATATGCGTCTCCGAATGCAGAATCCAAAAAGAGTGTGTATGTATAGTCCGTGGAAAGCGATTGTGGCTCGCTTTCAGTGCAGCAGAGCGATCGCCGCAATGCCAGAGATGAAGCTCACGGCAGCAGCACCGACCAATTCACCTCCAAAGCCAACACGCGTGCCGCGGATGGCAGCGCTGGATCCCGAAGCAGCAGCGGCTGAGAAGTAATCGATTAGCTTTTAGGTTTATGACCATGAGGAACAAGCGCACCTGCACCAGTGCTGGTAGCCTTCGCACCACCTGAGACTTTAGCAGAACCACCGCTGGCAGCAGCGCCGTTTGCAGCGCCGTTGCCGGCTCCGGCAGCAGCGGTGGCTCCGGCAACGCCAGCAGTGTAGCCAAGCGAGGCCAGCGCGATGCCGTTCGAAATGCTGGAAGTCGTGACACAGTTCGAGGAGCTAGGGGTGAAGTAGGCGGACGACGGGGTCACGGTCGTGCCAACCGTGTAGGATGTAGGCAGGCCGTCGCCACCAGTGTATACACCGGCATAGTACTGAGCGAATGTCGAGAACAGCGTGGTGCCCGCGGAGGTCGCGGTCGGGTACCAGCCGGGAGGGTAGTTCACGTCGGCATCACAGGTTTCGCTATCAGGGGTCAGTCAGTCTATACCCTACGCAGACGAGATAGACGAAAGACGTACAATGTGCCATTGAAGTTGTAGTTGCCAGGCATGTTGTACGTGCAGCCCATCTCGTCGAGCTCGTGCCAGCACATGAATGCGGACGAGTACGTCGAGTTAGCATTGGTGCACGCGCGGATGCAGAACTGGTTGTAGTCGATGAATAGCATCCACTCGGCGATCGGCTGGTCCGTGCCTCCAATGTTGACGGTGACGTTACCCCCGACGGGGTTACCAGATCCGGTGGCACCGTGCGGATCGAGTTCTCCTCCCCAGTCACCGGCAGGAATGTTCAATTTCGTGAGATCGCCGTAGCCCATGATCTGCACGTAGAAGTCGGTCTTGATGAAGTTGAGACCAGTGAACGTGCCGTCGGGAATAACCCGGGCGTTGTTACGGGGTTTGGTACACCATGCAACTTCTTCTGTCTGCGAAATTGAGTCGCCGAGGATATAAGGAACAGAGAACGCACTTCAGTGTCAGAGATGTTGGCCACGGTGGGTGGGGCGAACAGGCAGAAGTCGTCGATGGAGTTCAGACTCAGTAGACGCGCGTAGGACGTCTGGTTAATTGCCGTGCCCATCGTAGGCACAGGAGGGTTCGTTACACCCTGGGTGCCAGTCGCGATGACGCCCTCCGGGAAGGACGATTGGGCATGTACAGAGGCAGCGAGTCCAGCAAAGAGCGCGAGAGAAGAGAGCATCGTGGGCGGAGTGGAGGATCGTGAAGGGAGAGAGAAGGCAGGAAAATATTATTTTACACCACACCACAGTCCCAATTATAGCTTTCGGCTGTTTGAATCACTGTGATATGTAACGCCACATAGTGACGAGTTTAAAAATACCACAGCTCTAGCCCCGAGGATCGAATTCGAAACGCCGTGGCATCGAGCGAACATTTGCGGGACACCAAGAAATCTGCATGCCAAGAAGAGATGGGACTGGTTTACACAGGATTAAGTAGATGCATGGGGGGGGGGCGTATCTGGTGAACTGCTATTCTGGTGGGCCAAGGCCATCCACCTCGTTCAACTACAGAAGCCAGTGGAGGATGATCTCTGAATAGGCTCGAGGGCGAGCCTTATTACACATAGGGTGAGTTGCTGTGAGGAGAGTAATGGTGGCAGTTGAACAAACAATGTGCTATACTGGGAAAGTAAACGCGTCAACGTCAATGCGCCCATACACTAGTCAATATGTTTGGACGCCAGGGCTCTTCATACGCTCATCTCTAGCATCTTCCCACCATGAAGGAAGACTCTGCTGTTATGCGGTTCATGTTCGTATACATTCTCTTTAGCACCCTCGTATCTGAGCGCAGTTTCGTTTCTAGCAACATGCCCATAGGCCCACACGACACGTTGTTTTCATACATGAATACGTCTGAGCTAGTCGCGCTCATGGCTACATGTGGCAGTTTCCGAAAGCTCATCCTTGAAACCTACTTCGACATCAATCTACTCCTGCTTCCGTTCTTCGGCAGCATCGCTGAAGTGCGGAGGTTTCGAGACATGCAAGCTGAATCCGGCACAATCATCTCTGGATCCATGGCTTTGCAGTTCTTCAGTCGTACCCGCTGGCCTGAATCTGATCTGGATCTCTATGTAGAGGAAAGATCGCGGCACCATCCCGTTAGATTCCTCGATGCATGCGGATACAAGCATATTGCGCGGCATCGCCGGGACAAGTTTCTGGAAATGTTCGATGATTACTCCTCAGGGGAGGCTACTATCATAGACGTTATGGACTTTAAGAAGGGAAACAAGAAGATTCAACTCATAATTGCCTCTTCACCACCGATGCGGATTATCGTCCTTTTTCATTCCAGTACGTCAACGGCGATTCTCGCTCTACCACCATTTCGACTGATCTACGCCCAGCTGTCGTGATGAATATCATCACCCATGCGCACGCATTTTCGCTGTATCCGAGACCGACCTTTATCGAGAACAAGTTCTTTGCCATCGATACTTCATTTCTTCCTAAAAAAATCCATGCTGCGAGGCAGAAGTATGTCGATCGAGGCTGGCGAATGGCGTCAAAGCAGGAGCATGCTGAAGTGTCCGATGTTGCGCGCTGGATCGGGGACAAGTTCACTTGGCCGATCGTTCTGCCTCCAACTCCAGACAGCGGAAAGGTCTCCGACATGGTGTCCATAAATTCGTGGAATCACTGGGGCACGAAGACAGACTATTCCATTGCGAGCGACCCACATCTCAGGAACAAGTACATCCTCAATCGGATGGATATGTGGGCGTTTCATTGGTGGATAGAATTGCATGTTCTCCAGTGCAGCGAATCGTAAGCCAGTCACGGTATCCATGTTGGACATGCAGCTCATGTTTGGCCCTACCAGGAACTGCGAGCAGCGGATGTTTGACGATTCTGACTTGTGCCAATTTCTCATGAAGATACGCAGACCATCAGTGACGCCAAATTTAAGGTTGACTGAATCGGCACCATCAATGTCAGATCCAGATGCCCTTGCCTGGCAACTCCGCTTGTCGTCCCTCTGATAAAACGATGGGGGACCAGATCTTTTGGTGAACGTCAAGTATCGATATTTCTTTTTGGCAAAATAAGCAATGTCTGTTGTACCTTTGCTCTGGGCTGCAGTATATAGCGCGATCTTGAAATGTGACTTAAGAGGCCCATTGCCGTAGATAAGATAATCAAATCTGATTGAACAAACCGGGCTTTGCGTGCGACCACCCCCTTCACAAAAATCCCAGGTTGCAACACCTCATCATTATGGGGCCATCAAGGCTCCGAATTTTCCCAGTCGCACGAGGTTCTCGACTGAATGTTACAGTCACGTCCAGTCGACATGGAGCCGAGGTGGCCAAAAGCTGCCCAAGATGCCGTCCATGCACTGAACAACCTCATTCCTGAACATCTACGTCTCGGCCCCGAGTTCGTTGCACAGTACCCTGCGGGGTCTGATGTCCGCGCTGCTGCCGCGGCCTCTGGATTGTTGTCGCCATTGGAGCTGGAGATTACGGATGTCGCAAACGACGCTACTTCGGTACGCCGGAATCACCCAGTGCGGTTGTTCGCGCTGCTTGATAATGTGCAGATTCTCGAGCGCATCCGACAGCGGGATTGGACGGCGGTGCAGGTCACCCTTGCGTTCGCCAAACGAGCGGCCATTGCCCAGCAACTGTTATCGTGCCTGTGCGACTTCTTCCTTGAAGACGCTTTGAGGCGTGCGCGCGAGCTGGATGAGTACCAGGATAAGACGGGACGACTTGTCGGTCCGTTACACGGTATGTAGTGCGACCTGATGTCTGGCTCCCTCTTGACGATTCACCACAGGTCTCCCTATCAGCATCAAGGTATCCGACGCTTCGTGATCACAGCTACCTAGTGCTCAAATTCTACGACCAGGGACATATGGATGTTGCGGGACGGAAATCGAATGCCGGTTTTTCGGGAGACCTTACTCACGAGGCTCCGCAGAAACATGGCCTGATGGCTCAGATCCTCTACGATGCCGGTGCCGGTGCGCTCAGACATTGCATCTTCCTCCATAACCAGCCAACGATTTCCCTGAGTATTCTATGTGAAAACGAACTTACCTCAATCCATCATGCATCTGGAGACCTACTCTTTCTGGGGGCAGACGCTCAATCCGTTCAACACGAGTCTGACTCCGGGTGGCAGCTCTGGTGGGTGCAGCGCTTTGATTGCGTTTGGCGGCTCTCCGCTTGGAATCGGCAGCGACATCGGCGGGAGTCTGCGCTCCCCTGCAGCTGCTTGTGGGCTGTGGACGTTGAGTGAGCGCTTTCTTCCACACTCTGACGCTTTCTAGCTGATGCTCGACAGAGCCAACCGCTATGCGAGTGCCCAGGGGATCGGCGAGGAGCCCTGTACCAGGCTCGGACTCAATCCAGGCTACGTATGGTCCCTTATGTCGCAGGTCAGCACGTGTCGGCTACTAGTGTTCATCACCCCCAGATCTCTGATCTTTGATCTCTTGAAGCCTCCGCGATGTTGATCTCTGGTTCAGCGTTGTGCTGGGGACTCAGCCCTGGCTCAGGGAGCATAATCTGGTTGCTATGCCGTGGACTGTTCCCGAAATGAAACGGCCTCTGCGCATAGGCGTGATGTGGAATGATGAGGTCGTGAAACCAAACCCTCAGATTCGCCGAGCGCTCGAACTCATGGTACGAGCTCTCGAGAAGGACCAAGAAAGCTTCCAAGTGGTCGACTACAAGCCATTCAAGCATGCTGATATTGTGGAACTAGCCGTCAGTGGACGAAATCTTGTCCCCGCGTTCCGGCTTGACCCTTTCGCACAGCACGGGCTGTACTTCCCCGACGGAGGGGTCCAAGTCAGAGCGAGGGCTGCTGTCAATGGAGAGCCTTTGCTCCCGCTGACTGAATGGGTGCTCACACGCCCACGAGTCAAGTCGAACACGGTCAGCGAGCTCTGGCAGGTCGGGTCATCATGTTCGATCTCGCACATATAGTCTCATCGACCTACTTCCAGCTGCATGTTGAGCGGGATGGCCTTCGTGCCGCGTATCTCGAGCATTGGAACTCTCAAGGGGTCGACTTGGTCCTCTGTCCCGTCGGCCCTACTCCTGCTCCCGTTTTGGGAACCAGCAAGTACTTGGGGTCAGTCTGTCGTGGTGTTATCTGCACATGTGTGTCCCGGATCCCTTACCATCAGCCCAGGTACACCAGTGTCTGGAACCTTCTCGATTATCCGGCACTGGTGTTCCCCACAGGCCTGTACTGCGATCGGATCGATGGGCCCAATGGAAGAAGCGGTATGACATTTGACACTTGCTGTTGCCTCGCCTTGCCTGCTGAGCAGGAACTCATAGGTGGCCTCGAATTTGCTCGGGCCCCGTTGTGCTTGCAATTGGTGGGCCGACGCTTCGCCGACGAGATGATCGTGAGCGGGGCAAAACAATTGACGAAGTTGCTGCCGGTAGTGCCAGATGCTTGCTAAGCCTCCAGTCCTCACTTCCCCGGTTGCCTGGAATTTCTCAGCCCCAACTTGACTGATCAGGATCGAAGGCCGCAAGAATCGCTTCTGCCTTGGTACATTGTAATCGCACGGAATATCCTAATGAGCAATCTCCGCGCGAGAGCAGTTTCTATTTAGGAACCCGATTTCTCTGAGAAATCTGTGCTATGTCCTGTCCCGAGAACGTTCTTCATGTGTACGTTGGCAAACGAGCGTAGGTTGCGCGCAGGGACCCAGGCCCGATATTATGAAGACTATGAAGAATAAATGACGGTGTCCTATTGTATGCATAGTCCGATTGAAGCACAAGGAAGTGCGGTGAACTCCACAGTGACCTATCTGCATACACATCGTTGGACTCGATGAGCCAACGGCAGTAAGCTTGCTCATATTGAACAGACCTTGTGACATTGGATTTGAGAGCTCGATACATGTACAAGAGCTCACGTTATCTTCTTACCTACACTACAGAAGGCTGATATTCCAGAAGAAGGGGTCTTTCAATAGAACATACATGGGATTTCTCGTCGAATCGGTATCTCTTTGGGAAGCCCGGCTTCTCATCAGAATACTCCCATTTATACAAAGATCTTGTTGTAATTCCCGTTCAGTTCGAATGCCCTTTTTAATGTTCCATGAGCTATGAAGACGCTGGTCAGCCACGTTTACCGCGCGAACGAGGCTTGGTAGGGGCAGGAGTTACTTTTGGATCAATCGTTGGCAGTGCTGTGAAGCAACCGGGGAAGGTTGGACTCATCAGGTGGCCAACGATGATTGTGTCGCTTCGGGGACTGCTTCTAGCATCGACGCTATGATCAATTGTACTAAGGATGATGCTAGTCGAGTCCAGTCGAGCATGGGCGACTTCCAGAGACAGGCGTTCTTCGCTGGGGAGCATATATAAATGATCAGTTAAGATTGGAGACGTACGGACACGGCCTCTCGTATCGAAATGCAAATCACGCTCCTCTTCGCGACACTCCTCGGCGGCATTTCTGTGGTTTCTGCAGGCGGCAGGATCAATAAACCGGTGGCTGGGACGACTATCACCAGCAAAGCCGTCGTTCCTTTCAAGTTCAAAACGGGGACGATCAACGGTGAGTCGGTTTAGAGCTGGTGTGCACACTCGCTGAGAACAGTTCCAGGTGGATGCCATCAGATTCACACGCCCGTGACCATCTACCTCTCGACGAGCGCGCCAACTGCGCTCAACGCCGACGGGGGTCTGGACCCGGGATCGTTCATCGAGTCGTACGGCCCTTTCTTTGAGCCGGAAATGGGTTTGTGGCGACGGAGATCAGTGCTGCCAGTGCGAGGAGCTGATCATTGTTTACAGGTATCCGTCCGTTGCCGGGATTCCCGGTGCCGCCCAGCGAGTTGACCATGCCGGACATCTCCGCCTACAGCCCCGGCACGGCGCTCTTCTTGACGGCGGTCGAGACAACTGCTCCTGGTGCTTGCGCGGTGTGTTCAGTTTCGCGGGATTTCCAGCGACAAGCGTTGACGAGGAGTGTGCAGCCGGGGGTCAACCCTGCGAGATACGACTTCGCTAGCATCAACTTGATCGTTGCGTAGAAGGCACAGCGCGCAATCGGCCCTAGTGGTGGCTGCGATCCATTGTGCACTCTTCAGGATCCAGTAAAACGCGGTTGGGATATTTCGGAATAGAATGCTGTTATGCCAGATGAGAGGACATGGGCCTGTGATAAGATAAGCTTGAAATATTTGACCGTGATCGCTTCGGAGATACTGTCAAGCAAAGTGCTGGGAATGGCCATCGTGTATTCCGCCAGCATCTGAGGTCAACTTTCTTAGGTCAACTCGGTAAGCACGAAACCAGAAGATAAGTCAGAACACACATCCACGGCGCGCATTTCTGCCACGCCCGAGATAGGTCTGATGAGCGGAGCGCTGCCTATGATTCCGACCAGAACATCAGTGCGACGAGAGCACCGGTAACGCAGCTACGCAGGGTGCTGTGGACCCAGCGGTGCTTTTGCGCAAAGCAAAAGGGAGACGCAATCTGTGTGTGGTATTCTCCTTCACTTGAGGCACAAAAAGCAACCGCGGCATCCAGATCCAACTGGGCAGCCACAAAAGAGTACACTGGTGGGGGCGGCGCAGTCCAGGCCTCGTACGACTGTCCGATGTGCGGATGCGCAGACGACTCTGGCAAGTTTCAACGCGGGTGCATGGATCGGCTTGGCTGTGAGTGTGGCTTGCGTTGGGATTTTCAGCGGTGACACAGAGGCTTTGGACCAATCCCAGCATCGATGCTGTCGCTGCAAGTTGACTGACATTGTTACCGGACGTGGGTGGAATGGACCGCGACCCTCACCTCACGCCGCACTCATGTTCCAAATAACGGCCAAAGCTGTTCCTGGTGATGCTGGATGGGTGTCGAGCCTCTGTAGGCCTCACCTCCCCGCTCGCTCGGAGTTCTCCGGTCTCACTTCGACTGATTGAGATCGAAGTGTAACAAGAATCTATCATGTATGCCACCTACTGAAATTGTACCTATGATCCTTGTGTAGTTCTCGTTGAGTTCCTGTGTCCTTTTCATGTTTCAAGCGTTATGGAGACCTGGGGAGCCACGCTTGTCGCGCGGGAAATGCTTGGGAGAGCGGGCGGACATCTTTGGTTGATATTGCTGCGAACCAACTGGGGAAGGCTGGAGGCATCATGTGGCCAACGGCGACGATCCTCTCAGGCACTCCTTCGCTTCGAGCATCTTCTAGTGTCGGCAACAGATAGTAATCAGCGCTCTGATGGATCGAGTCGGAGAGGCTACAAGTTTCGAGCATGAGCGGCCCGCAGAGCCAAGTCTTTTTTGCCTACGAATATATAAACGATCAGTCGAGAATAAGAGAGACGTGCAGACAGAGCCTCTCTCATCAAAGATGCAGTTCATTCTCCTCCTCGCGACACTCCTCAGCGGCGCATCTGTAGTCTCTGCCGGTGGAAGAATCGACAAACCGACAGCTGGGACGACCATCACCAGCGGAGCTACGATTGCTTTCGCCTTTCAGACGGGGACGATCACCGGTCAGTCGCTCTGGAACTGTCGTGTAGTGTACACTCACGGAGACTTTCTCTAGGTGGATGCCACCAGGGCTACACGCCTGTGACCATCTACCTCTCGGCCAGTGCGCCCACTGCGCTCAATGCCACTGGTGGTCTCAACCCTGGATCATTCATCAAGTCATACGGTCCTTTCTTGCAGCCGGAATTGGGTTCGTGGCGACGCAGGTTACAGGTCCGAGGAGCTGATCCTGGGTGTACAGGTCTCGGTCCCCTGCCAGGATCCCCGGTACCGCCCAACAACTTGACCATACCGAACATCTCCGCCTACAGCTCAGGCACGTCACTTTTCTTGACGGCGGTCGAGACAACTGCTGCCGGTGCTTGCGCGGTATGTTCAGTTTCACGAGAGTTTCAGCGACGAGTGTTGACAAGGAGTGTGCAGCCGGGTGTTAACCCTAAGATGTACGATTTCACCACCGTCGGCTTGACCGTTGCGTAGAAGGAGTAGCACACGATCGACCCTTGTTGTCGCTACGATAGTTGTCGCTACGATACATAGTATCCGCCTCAGCTTCCAGCCGACCGCGCTTTGGATATTTCGGGGAAAATGTTGTCATGTCAGATGAGAGGGGACGTGCGTGGCTTGTGATAAACTTACGAACAATTTCAACCCTAAGCGGGCCCGTTCGCGTCACAGGCGTGACCTGCCACTCCCTCCTCTCGCGCCCATCCATGCCCGCGAGCAGTCAATCGCCTCCTCCTCGTTCCCCCCTTCCCCGTCGTGCATCGGAAAGCCCTGCGAGGGACGCTGGAGTCAAGGGCATCACCAGAAAAGTCATCAGAACGCTGGAGGGGCTCGGCCACCTCGATCCTGCTCCAGAAGCAGAAATGGAGGACGAATACGACGACGAATCAGAAGTTGCCGCCGCGCTCGACTCTGATGAAAAGAGAGTGGGGAAGCAACGGGCATCCGAGGTGCCTGAGGTAAAAAAGAAGATTGATTGGGAGATTCCGAGGAAGGTGTTCCATTCGTCGATTGGTATGTGGTACTGTGTTAGGCTTTAGGCTGCTGACGAGCATCAACAGGATTCATTACTCTCTGGCTGTACTTGACCCCAAGCATGTCCCCACGCATCGTCGCCATCGCCCTATGGGCGGCGCTTGCCATCATTGCTCCAATAGACTTTGTTCGACTGCGATCACCAGCTGTGGAGCGCGTCTACGAGCGAGCCGTAGGGTTCCTCATGCGCGAAAGCGAGCGTGTGAGTCGCTTTCTTGATTATCATTCTCATCCCATGTATCGAACACGATGACGCAGCACGGCACCAACGGGACTATCTGGTACATGCTGGGCGTCAACTTCGCCCTCACATTCTATCCGATAGATGTCGCCACAGTGTCTATTCTGATGTACGTTGCTTCTCCTATTTCTTCATGTTTCTCGGTGGCACACGACCTGGATCGCCTCCTGGCGTCATGGCTCTCCTTTCGGCGTCCTTGTGTCGCAAAACTGTCACAAAGGCTGTCACATTCTTGCAGAATCTTTCATTATTACCGTCGATACTCATTTGTCACGCAGCCTCTCTTGGGCAGATACAGCTGCATCCACCATTGGACGGATGTACGGGCCGCGGACGGCGCCGGTCCCCACCAGCGCGTCTCTTTCGTGGCTACCCAGTTGGATCTGGGTGCCTGGGTTCCTTCTTGCACCTCAAGTGAAGGAGAACACCACACGCAGATTGCGTCTCCCTTTCGCTCCGCGCAAGAGCACTGCTGGGTTCACAGCAGCCTGCGTTACCGGTGCTCTCGTCGCGCTCATGTTCTGGGTCGGAATCGCGGGCAGCGCTCCATTCATTGGACCTATCCCGGGTGTGGCAGAAATGCGCGCTGTAGCCGAGGGTGCGTTGCTTGTCTTATCTTCTGGTCTCGTGCTTATCGAGTTGACTCCAGGTGCTGACGGGATCCATGATTACCATTCCCAGTACTCGATTGCTGGACAGTATCTACGAAGCGAGCACGGTCGTTGGTTGCGTGAATGGGTGCCTGAGGGTATCATCGGGATCGTGGCCGGTGCTGGTGCGCAGACGACTCCGGCGAGATTCAACGTTGGTGGATGGATCGGCTTAGCTGCGACTGTGACGTGCGCTGGAATCGTCAGTGGCGTCGCAGAGGCTTTAGGTCAGTCCAAGTTGCGATGCTCCAACGCACAATGACTGATATTGTCAACAGACGTCGGTGGAATGGACGACAACCTCACCTTACCCATCATCTCGGGTGCCGCGCTCATGCTCTTCTTCCGTGTCTGGGGCTGGGCAGTGGGCGCCTGAACTAGACTTGGCAGATACCCTAGATCTCATTGGCGCATCTCGTCATATCTCTACACTACTCGCAACTTACGACCTCCGCCCCGCGCGGCTCTTGACGCTATACCTTGCTACGTTTACACGATTAATGATGTCTTTGCTCTCTGGGCGAGCAAGTGAAAATTGAACTGGGAAGGACTTGGAAAGGGGCATTCTGTCAGGGAAAAGTAGTTATCCAGCTGGTCCGGTAAACGTTGCCCGCCAGGACTTCGACTTTTCCTAGTCCTTTGCGAAGTGGCAGCGTTCTGGGTCCAATTATTCAAGTATGGGGTACCTCAAGGCCGGGAATATGTATACGCCCAAGATCTTGGAGACACCCATACTACTCGCCTTCGCACCCTGTTTTGAAAACTTGAAGGTTCTTATGTGCAAACGGAGGGAACCAGTCGTCTCAGGAACGATCAGCTACGACACTGTGCTAGCGCTTTTGAACGAGATCAAGGAGGAACTGCCGGACGGAGAGGATTGACCTCGATGATGGTTCCCGACGGCTACTTTGGGACACAGAAGCAACTGGATGCTCGGAGCGAAAAACGGAGACGCGCCCCAGATACGGAAGAAGACGAGTCAGATGACGATGAACCAGTTAGTAGTCCTCCCGCTGCTGCAAAGTATCAGCGGTTGGGCGGCGCCAAGCGTGCAGCTACTTCGATTGCCTACTTGCGGCAGCGAGAGCCTCCTGTTCCGTGGGCAGCCGCCGTGGCTGCCGTCGCTGTACCCCAGATCCTCGATGATGAGGCTGAGTAAGCTGAGTGCCACTTTTCAAATATGTAACTCCTGTATCATACATTATTCCCGGCTTAACGATCATATGTTCCATTGCAATCGATATCATCTCTGCAGCAAACCATGCAAGATCTGTGCCCTTTCAGGACGAGTGATCGCTGGATCCGCTTCATCGTCGCTGGTCTCATCCTAATTCGAAAGTATCCGCCACTCAAAATGGCATCACCGAGGCCAAAACGCACAGTCCTGCGGTAATAGTAGGTCTCTGTCTTTTTGGCAGCCACGATTGATTACGTCAACGACGTACTCGGTTATGTAATTAAGCTTTGCTGAACGCACTACATACATCATCGCTTGGGGCCTGCTCTGTCCTTCCACTGGACTTCGTCTCCTTCTCTTCCTGTGGAACGACATGACTCCTGAGATTGACCTCGTCATAGCCTTCCGCGCCACGCGGAAGACCAGCCTCGTGAAGAGACAAGCGCAGGCAGACGCACGCAAAGCCGAGGAACAGTACACGCGCCTCATCAAGACTCTGACTGAGGCGGGGTTACGCGCGGTGGGGCGGCGGGGGGAGTCCCTGGGCCATCTACTTGTGTTTGTGTCCTGTCCCAAGTCGCTGCTGCAGACACTGGTGCGGCGCGAAAGGTGCGTACTTGCTCGCCAGAGTCGTCCCGATTTTCTCATGTTTGCTGTCAGGCAGTCCGACTTTCTGCATGGACTACCCGCGACCTCCCTGACGAAGGGAGAAGGAGGTCTTGACGAGGACGAGGACGAGGATGAGCGACAACTTTCGCCAGCAGAACGCATCCGCCTGGTCCATGCGTACATCGCGTCCATGCCCTCGGATGGGGGACTGGGCGTCTCTCCTGACTCGACGCAGTGGGATCTTGTCGAGTCTATCATGGCTCTGCACGACAAGGAGTTCAACGAACACTGGGTGCATGCGTGGACGCACAGCCGATATGTTTCCGTCAAGCAGGAGCACCTGCGGGAGCAGTTCGGCGACTCCGTCGCGCTCTATTTCTCGTTCCTCAATTCATATACACAGGCGCTTGTGTTCCCTGCGGCGCTGGGCGTGTTCTATTTCTTCTTCGGCACTCCTTATTCGCCGGTGTACTCGGTGCTTTTGGTGCTGTGGTCGGTGGTGTTCGTCGAGTGGTGGCGCATACGGGAACGAATCCTTTCGCTGCGGTTTGGGACACGAGGCTCCTTCCGTGTCGAGAAACGAAGAGCGCAGTACATCGAGGGAATGCCGTGGTGGAAACACGAGCTACGGATGGTGGCTGGACTGCCGGTCATCCTGTTATTCGCTGGCATCCTCGCGGCTACTCTCACGGCCATCTTTGTCTTTGAGGCCTTTGTGACCCAGCTCTACACCGGTCCAGGACACAAATACATCGTGAGCTTGCCGTATGCATGTTACATTGATGGCTCTGACGACTCGTAGTCATTCAGTCCCACGATTCTCTTTGCTGCACTCGTCCCGCGCCTCATTTCTCTGTACCAGATGATCATGACACGTCTCACCAAATGGGAGAATCATGCACACCAGTCCTCGCACGCGGCTTCCCTGACGCTGAAGACATTCGCGCTCGGTGCACTCGTGTCGTATCTCGGACTGGCATTGAGCGCGTTCGTCTACGTGCCTTTTGGTGAAGGCATCATGCGTGCCGTGCAAGCCTATCTCTGGTCGGCAGAAACCGGCGACTTCTCCCCAGCGGCGGATGCCGCCTCCGGGGCCAAGAACGTGACAATGACAACGCGAATGTGGAACATCGACACATCGAGTGTCGGCCAGAAACTCAACGCGCGTCGGCTACGGGATCAGATGTTTGCGTACACGGTGACCAATCAGGTGGTCAACACGTTCATGGAAATCGGGCTCCCGTTTGTTTTGCGGGGTGTCCAATCGTTCCGGAAGAATGGAAATGGAAAAACAGACAAGGGCAAGAAGCGCGTCGTTTTCGAGGACGAACAGGAGAAAGGAGGGCAAGAGGAGAGGGATCTTCTCGAACAAGTGCGGCAGCAGGTGGAGCTGCCGGAGTACGGGACGTTCGAAGATTACAGTGAGATGGTGACCCAATTTGGCTACGTCGCATTGTGGTCTACGATCTGGCCGCTTGCCCCAGGTGTGTTTATCCGTGTGCGGTAGCTCTTTCCGTTTTTGTTGAACAGCGTTTTCCAGTCATGGCGCTTGTGAACAATTTCTTCGAGCTCCGTTCGGACGCGTTCAAGATCACAGTCCATAATCGTCGCCCACTTCCTGCAAGGACAGACACGATCGGACCCTGGCTGGACACACTGTCGTTTTTGACGTGGCTCGGTGCTTTGACGAACTCGGCGCTGGTCTATCTCTTCTGTCCGCGCTCCCAGAACCACTGCCACGCTATCTCAGCTTCCCCGAACACACTGGATCGTGTGCATCAGCATATCATGTCGGCGGCCGGGGTTCCTGGTGTTGAGAGCGGGTCGACAGGCGGCTCTGCGGCGACACGCGAGCTACTCGGCACGGCCCTTCTGATTGCTCTGGCCGCATCTCATGGCTACATCCTGGTCCGGGCCATCGTCCGCCGGCTCATGGAGAAGGCGATGTGGAATGCCAGCTCTGATGTTCGGCGGATGGAAAGCGAGGAGCGGGAAGTGAAAGCGAGATTCCTTGCCGCCGTCTCGTTCAAAGAAAACGAACTAGCTGACACTTCGGGAGAACTCGACGTGTTTTGGGAGAACGATGAAGGGCTACAGGAGATCCAGCGTATCACCAAATCGGCCTAAGTAATCATGCATGCACCTTTAATTATAATCTTCTGAGACGAACTTTGTTGTGTGTGCTAGACTTGTGTACCTCGTAATGATAATTTGGAGACCTCAGTCAGTCACTGTGCAAGTCTCGAGACGAGTCACTCTGTCTGCTTCCGTCGCTCAACTCGAAACAATGCAAAGGGTCATGAGGGAACAGGCGCCAAAGGCCACAATCAAAGCAAGGCCCTCTGCTGATCCAGATCGGGAAACGGGGAGCACTTCATTGTTTCGACGGTCCTCATTGTCATGCTATATAAGTAGAGAAATGACCTTTGCACGACCACCTGGTTTTTCATCTTGGTTCGATGGAAGAGCAGACTGCTTACCCAGGGACGGACGGGCGAGCTTCGTTTCGCAACTGGGAGTTTGCGCAGGTGAGCCACGGATCTGTAGGGAGAATGTCACTAAATGGTCAATGATATCAGGTATCTTACGCGCACGTCTTCAATTCAAGACGCGACAGGAACCTCCAAGGCAATCAGTGGCAACACTTGAACGACATCGAAGTGTTTGAAGGTGATTCGGTCCATTTGGCCGCATCAGCATCAGACGCGCCGTGCGAGACGATCGCGGCTTCCAGGACCTCTCTGAGCTGGGAGGAGTTGGAGACAGCTGTCGGTTGGGAAAGGGTACACTCGAGTAGAGCCAAGTCTGCCGATATAGACGAGGAGGAAATTACGAACACCAAAAGTGTTTCAGCCGATGTCAGCATATATACAGTGAGTTGATTTTCGTCTAATAGGAGATTACAGTCTATAAATATACCCACCCTTAGGTATCAGAAACATCCCGACCGAGCTCTAGATGTCCGGGCAAAGATGCTATTCAAGTGCACGAGTCGGCTGAGCCAGTAAGACCGCCGGAAGAGCAAGTTTCTAGTCCACCTTTTGTAGAAGTTTCGTTCGATTGGGACGAATACATCACCTGGGAATAGGGTTTACTCTCTATAGTAGCTCAAAGGCGTCGTCCTCGAGTGCTGTGGAATAATGATTGACTTGCTTGGTCACCCGACGTCGAGTCTGATCTCTGATCTCACGTCACTCAAGGGTATATAATTCTTGCTTTGAGAATGATGCATATTGTACCTGTACTTAACTGTTGAACCAGCCATTGGTGATTTACCTATTTGGGTGAAGAAGTGTTGAATCGATGATTGGTATTGCTTGGCTTTGAGCTATGTCACTGGATCGGAGTCATCAGACCGAATCAGTTCCTCCGTCCTAGTCTCTTTCTATCACTACAACGTCAACTTCCAGGGTCCTCACAAAATGCCCGACGCGCTTTTATTACCGCCTCCCATTGTTTGTAACCTCGCCCGCTATCCCGGATCGGCTTCCCTCATCCTGCCTGCAGCACGCGATACCCATGTTCCGCCACGATTCTACAGCAAGCGCCGAGTCCACGCTGGAGTCGCCGCTCCTCACGCCTACGGACGAACGTGACATGTCCCTCGAATCGCTGGGCGATAGGTTTGCAAGTTTGGATCTGTCGGACGGCGTCGTGATGTCGGGTGCCCCCAATCGCACGCCGAGACGACTGAGCCTCACCCGCCAGTTCTCCAAAGCCTTGGATGACGCAAACAAGAGTGTATGTTACTGCGCGTTTTTGTTTTCCATCGGATTCGTCTTACGTGCGGTTCAGACGTCGCCCAACGGAATGTCTTTCAAGCCCAAGTCGAATGTTCTCGAGCCAGTGTGTTTGGCTGGTTCTTCTCAGGCACTCTTGCTGATTTAGCGCTGGCAGATTCTCCTCGGTAGTCCTCTCAGAGGCAGAGAGGGTAGGAATCTTCTGATGCCGCCGTCGCGATCGAACGCTTTCGACGAGCCATGCGAGCCTCTCAATGAAGACAAGGAGACTCTTCCCGCGCGCACAATCGAATTTCAAGTGCAATCTTCCCGACGATACAACGACGAGAACCAGCAACCTGATTTACAATCTGTCGGTGAATCATCTTGCATAGCAGTGGCGACTGACGGGGCTTTGAAGACACCCGTCGTTCGAGTCCCCCCGCGTAACGACGTTTTCTTTTCCGCACCGGGCCCCACTGTGGTCACGCCAGACGGCCATCCCACGGACGAGATTGAGTTCACCCCTCGAGCGCACTCTACTCTACGCCTCAGACGGGTGCGTTGTCTTTCCGATCCCCCAAGTCCATGTCTCTCATAGCCAATAGGGCTTCCATGAAATTGACGATGAAGTCACAAAAGTAGAAACCGAGTTCAACGATCTGGAAACGAAACTGCCTGAAGACCACCCTATCGACATCATTGCTTCCGCTGCGACTGCCTCCGGAGACGCTCTGGAGATCGAGAATCCTGAAGCGATCAACGAAAACGATGCTGATGTTCAAGAAGAACTTATAGAAGAGTCCATCTTTGCTCGACTCTCTCTACTCTTCCCATTGCAAGCTGCCTTCTTTCCGCTCTGGTGTGTCTGCGTTGGGGCTGCCATACTTCTTGCTCCGGAACATCTGACTGCGATTGCCTTCCCTTCTTCTGTCCGATCCACTGCTGATTCTTCTGTCATCAAGTCTGTTCAATCTCTGTGCACGGCTCTGTTTCCATACGCAGCTCCTTCGACCCGGATCCGCGCTTTGGCTCACTGGGCTTCGGTTGCCCATCTCCATGTCTGGATCTTCTTGACTGCTTTGGCAGCAATCGGGTTCCTGTATCCGCCGGCTGGGACACTGCTCGCCGCGCTTTCGACTGCCCAATTCTGGCAAGCATGGGGTGATTTCAAGGTCGACGACGACTGCGCGGAGCTGGGTGCGGATATGCGACAGATGCTGTACCAGATTCTGCTCACCCCGGAGTCGGGATTCCGCGATGGCGACGTTCTCAAGCGTCAAGGCGGCCACTATGTGAGAGAGCGTGCGCCCAAAGTGGAGACACGGGCTGAAATTCTCGCGGCGGGGGGACTGAATGAGGAATACGAATCTGAGGATGAAATGTGAAGCACTACACTGTGCGAGCTAAGAAGATACATGGTTATAGATACGCTAGTTGTAGTCGTAGTATGTAGTCGTAGTTACCTGCAGATAATGTTCGCCACTCAGGGCTCGTGGAAATCCGTCTTTCCGGCGAAATGGGCAGCAGTGTTTGGGCTGGATATGGCAGCGCCAGGTGCTGTGAAAGCGTATGGTGCCATTCGAATGGCCTCGGGGTCATATGGGACGGGATCGCTCGTCGATGTGAGAAGTTTTGACCGGTGGCTTGGACCGGGAGCCACTCCGAAGGCCTGTCCAAAGTCCAGCTTGGACTCGTCTCGATGGTGGCGATGGACAGCAGCGCCAAAGAAGTAGCGCAGCGACTGGTAGATCTCAACCGCAAAGTCCCCTGGATACATAGTCAGCTCGAGGATGGAAATCAAGGGTCTGTGTGGCTGACAGAAATTGATCCTGTGTCCACTCTGTCAGTTGACTGCACCGCAGGGCGTTGAGAGCGTGTACTCACGAGTCCCAGATCGGTCTCCAGATGCTGGTGTGCACGCCTGCTATGCGGTACTCGCTGGCAGGGTAGGCCCACCACATACCAATCGCAAAGAAGACCATCTGAACACGTGTAAGCAAGAAATTCATGACCGGGCGACGGCATGTCCTACCTCAACGCAGATTGCCAGAGCGTTCAGACCATCGGCGATGTTTGCTTCTGTCCAGTATTGGGTAGCTGGAAGGAGAACCGATATCAGATTCCGAGTAGGAGGGTGTGCATATGATAATTTTAAAGCAATGACCTTTGATCACATGACCCTCGAGCGCGGAGAACTAGGGCACATGCAGTCAGCTCATGTAGAACGGTCTAGTTGAGGCACGCACAACAAATGATTGGTAGAAAGTAAACATGACAATCAGCTTGATGCAGAGGAACTTGGCCAGCGGGCGCTTGCCCACCAGCTCGTCTTCGGTGAGACCGTAGAACAAGAGCAGGCCATACAGTGCGATCCTTTTAGAAACTGAGCAGAGCCGAGATTAGAGGAACAGGTTGCGTACGAGATACTGATGAAGTCCACAGCAGACAAGTAGACACTTGCGAAGCGGAGGTTGTAGCTCTGGCTCTCGCACAGGACGCCGAACGCTTGGCAGATGATACCCGCGACGGAGACCAAGGGGCGGACAATTACATACTGCATGACAGACCACTATGCTCAGTCAGCGAAAGCGGCGGATCGAGGAAATCTCCCGGACGCACTTTTACAGTATACATGAAGTAAGCCTTCCAAGTTCGGGTTAATCGAATCGGATTCGCCGCGCGCCAAAATCGCGCACCTTCGTGGGTCTATATCTCCAGCAGCAGAATGGCATAGGAAGCGGTCGCTTGTCCTTGCGAGCCATGGCGCTCTCAGCGTTGTGATTCACAGCGGTGTTCGCCACATATTCTATGATGAGCAGTCTGCCGAAAGTCAGCCGAGGGTCCCGATGTCAAAGCGATGACCGCACAAGAAAGCACTGATGGTCACTGCTTCGTAGGCTAGAAACACATGTGAGTGAGGAGCCAGGGCAGCGGTAAAAGACAACGGACCGACGTATATGAGAGAGTAATAGGTGTAGCTGCGAAAGTACCGATATGAAAAGAATGAGATGACCGCATATACTGGCGGCATGTATAATATCCGGAGGCTAAGGGCAATGGGAATCCTTCAAGAAGTGGCAAGATAAGAAGCCATACATCTGACGCTGCTCCCGAGGCACATGGTAGTTTCTAGTAACCTTGAGTGGAAGGACACGACTGGACGCGAGACGCACCTGGAGTGCTGCAATACGGAAATGAAGGAGATGATAACGGTCTGCGGATATCAGATGAGGAAGCACGCATGCGAATGCGGGGTGGGTCGTACGAGCAACGAGCAACCCCCTGCTATGGCCCAACCAATTCTAAAGTACCGTTAGGCAGCTGAAAACCTGGAAAGCCGCGACAGGACAGACCTGTGTTTATCCCAATTTAGCCCAGTCTTCGGGTTCCAGAAATCGGATTGGTCAATGACAGAGAGATTGTCGCTCGGGCAGCTCATGAAGGAGAGAAAGCGGAAGGGAAGGTAAGGCTACAGAAATTGCCGCGGCTGACGCGATCGCGGCTGACATGCACTGACAGTTGACAGCCCGATTGGCCGATCCCACTGACAGCCAGTGAGGGCCTGAGGCTGTTCATTCCTTGGCAACGGAACTCAGGTTGCAACAACTTGCAACGCCACTCCGACTCCGCTCTTGTGACTTGTCGGATCTTCCGGCTGCAGTGTCATGATTGTTTGGAGCATTATTGCTCCAGTCGTTTATTATTGTTCCTCGGACCATGAGCTTCGATACAGCCGTCGTCCCATGTCCACGAGCAACTAGATAGAGGAGTATCTGTCACTCCACAGCTCCTCCATGGAGCCTCACGCTACCGTCCACCACGCGCCAAGCTGACGACAATTGACCCTGATTCCCGGACTCCATTTCACTTCATCACTATGTTGAAGTCCCCGGAGCCTTGTCCTGGGCTTCCAGTAGGATGCTTAGGCGAAGGCGGGGTCGTACCAACGACCGGAGTCACGGCATTATCAGCATGCTATTCCTCCGAGCAGGGCACATTGGCCTTGTGAGACCTCTCCAGCGCTCTCTGCTTTCCTACTTAGATGGTTGCACGAGACGTATGGAACGTGCCCCCATCCAAGCTGTTGTTCAACGATCGTAATTACTTACTCACTATTGGCGGTGCTTAGGCTCGCATCGAACACGCGTAATGGACATGGCGGAAACGTTTTGCAGGAATGGGCGACGGAGAACTCGGAACTGTTATCTCAAACGCTCGGGTGATCCTAGGTCCAAAGACTCCAGTCGGGTAAAAATAGCTATATTGGGGCTTGACTATCAGGTAGAGGGGAATACATGGTATTCTGTAGTCGATTCTGTTCTTCGCTCAAGGTCTAATCCTTTAATTCTTGTGACTGCTTGCCAGTTGCAAGTGTTCAGGTTGGGCAGGATCAATTGGACCGCCGGTCCAGGCTCACCGGCGCCTCGTGGTGGTACCTCGTACTTACAAACAGATACAATTGCAAAACATCTAAATCGGGAAGCGGCCGAGCACATTCCTGTCCGTCATGGGCACCCTCGACGGCGACCCATTCAAGGACCACCTTCTGGCGGTCCTCAGCCTACACGACGCTCCCGACGCTGCCCCAATACCACGCTATCATGGGCCGAGCGACTGGCAGACTGACGCCATCCTGCGAAAGATAGAGGCGCTTATGATGAAGAAACCACGAATTCCTCCCACTCAGAACGGAGACGCCGCTCACCGCAGCAACGGAAGCGGCAACGGAGGCGTACGAATGCGACAGGGAGCTACCCCCACCCCCACTCTTAAAGAACTGCCGCCTACTGAAACCGACTTTTCCGCGAATCGTGCTCGGCCCGGTTCACCAGATTCGATATCCTCATACAACACTGCGTCGGAGGACGTGGAACCCCTAGCGGACGTATATCACAACGACTTCCGCGACTTCGGGTCCATTGCGGGTCCGCTCACTTGTCCCGCTTGCGGGCACCGACCGCTCCACCGGGTCTGGGATCAAGGCGAAAGTCCCGGGGTCGTAGCAAATGGTAGCGCGCTCGCAAATTTGGTCAAGCAGGGTGGGATGGACGCTCTTGAGGAACTCAGGCTGCTCAAAGACCAAGTGCGAGGTCTGCATTCCTACATCTTGGCCCTGCTTACTGATCATAAACTAGGTACGCGATGTATCCCGCGTTTGTAATGCTGTCGCCACCGGCGACTTGACCCAGAAGATAATTGTCCCCGTCCAAGGCGATCTAATGGTCCAATTGAAGAAGGTGGGCCGCCTTACGTGTTTAACGTTCTGGGGTTCCAATTCTAACGCTTTGTTACGCAGGTGATCAACAACATGGTGGACAACTTGGGCCACTTTGCAACCGAAGTTACGCGTGTCAGTCGGGATGTCGGAACGGAAGGGAAGCTAGGTGCCCAGGCGCACGTCGAGAATGTTGAGGGAACATGGCGAGAACTCACGGATGAAGTCAACACGCTCGCCGCGAATCTGACGACACAAGTACGAAGCATCGCAGCAGTGACGGTCGCTGTTGCAAAGGGTGATTTGAGCAAACAGATCGAAGTGCGTCTCAATTTCCTCCCCTGACCCATGGATTCACATCGGACAGGTCGATGCGAGCGGCGAGATCTTGTATCTCAAGAATACGGTCAACGACATGGTGCTAAGACTACGGACTCTGGCTGTCGAAGTTACAAGAGTCACTCTCGAGGTCGGAAATCAAGGCAAACTCGGTGGGGAGGCAAATGTTCCGGACGTCGAGGGTGTTTGGTCAGAGCTTGTCACCAATGTCAACAAGATGTGCGGGTCCCTCACGCAGCAAGTGCGGAGTATCGCCAAAGTGACCACGGCAGTCGCTCAGGGAGACTTGTCGCAAGAGGTGGGATAGTGGATCCGTTCTATCGAATTGACATATCGATCCATTCATAGGTCACCATTGACGCAGAAGGCGAAATCAGCACACTCAAGGATACTGTCAATCAGATGGTGCAACAGCTCCGAGGATTTGCATCCGAGGTCACCCGTGTCGCACTCGAGGTCGGAACGTACGGGCAACTTGGTGGTCAAGCTGAAGTCGAAGGCGTGCGGGGAACGTGGGCAGATCTCACCGAGAACGTCAACGTGCGTTTCCACCTTCAACTGGCCGCTCTAGCTCATATCTTGTATCAGAAAATGGCCTCGAATCTTACCAACCAGGTCCGGTCCATTTCAGAAGTGACGAAGGCTGTAGCGAATGGCGATCTGACCAAGACGATGGAGGTTGATGTGAGCGGAGAGATGCTCGATCTTAAGATGACGATCAATGAGATGGTGGAGCGTCTTGGCAAGTTTTCGAGCGAGGTGACGCGGGTTGCGTTGGATGTCGGAACTCATGGCAAGCTTGGTGGCCAAGCTGAAGTGGAGGGTGTTCAAGGAACCTGGCGAGATCTGACTGGCAATGTGAACGTGAGAGTTCTCGTTCGCGCCGCGAGTCTTCTATGGCTAATGAAATCTCAGCGAATGGCCTCCAATCTCACTGACCAGGTCCGAAGCATCTCTTTGGTGACGAAAGCAGTCGCTACTGGCGATCTCACGAAGGCCATCGACGTGAACGCCAGCGGTGAGATGCTGGACCTCAAGAACACCATCAACGACATGGTATCACAACTGGCGAACTTTTCCAGTGAAGTCACTCGAGTGGCCCTCGAGGTCGGGACTCACGGTGTCCTTGGTGGCCAAGCAGAAGTCGAAGGTGTGCAAGGAACTTGGCGAGATCTCACAGACAACGTCAACGTCAGTGTTCTCATGACCGTATCTGAACTCGGACTCGGACTTTGGCTCATTCTCATCTTAGCGTATGGCCTCCAATCTGACCGATCAAGTTCGAAGCATCTCGCTAGTGACCAAGGCTGTCGCATACGGTGATTTGGCGAAGACTATCGATGTGAATGCCAGTGGGGAGATGCTGGACCTCAAGAATACCATCAACGATATGGTTGCTCAGCTAAAGAACTTCTCGAGCGAGGTGACACGTGTTGCATTGGATGTCGGGACACACGGCATTCTGGGTGGTCAAGCTGAAGTCGAAGGCGTGCAGGGTACCTGGCGAGATTTGACGGACAACGTCAATGTGGGTGTTCTTGCTATTCTGCTCCGTTGTCCACGCTGAAAGATGCTTCAGCGGATGGCCAATAACCTGACAGATCAAGTCCGAAGCATCTCCTTAGTCACGAAAGCTGTAGCGTATGGCGACCTCAGCAAGACCATCGAGGTTAATGCCAGCGGAGAGATGCTCGATCTCAAGGTCACAATCAACGACATGGTGGCTCAGCTGAAGAACTTCTCGAGCGAGGTGACACGCGTGGCACTGGATGTCGGGACACATGGCATACTTGGTGGTCAGGCCGAGGTCGAGGGCGTCCAGGGAACATGGCGAGATCTCACAGATAACGTCAACGTAAGCGGATCTTTCCTATTGACTGATGTCATTCTGATTGATTCTGTAGAGGATGGCGAGCAATCTCACTGACCAAGTGCGAAGTATCTCGTTGGTGACCAAAGCGGTCGCCTACGGTGATCTCACGAAAACCACTGACGTGAACGCAAGTGGAGAGATGCTCGATCTGAAAGTCACCATCAACGACATGGTCGCCCAGTTGAAGAACTTCTCAAGTGAGGTTACTCGTGTTGCTGTCGACGTCGGCACAGAAGGCAAATTGGGTGGTCAAGCCAAGGTGGAAGGTGTCCAGGGCACCTGGAAGGATCTCACCGACAATGTCAATGTGAGAAGAAACATATCATCTTTGTCATATGTTCTGACACGGATTAGAAAATGGCATCCAATCTTACCACACAAGTGCGGTCCATTTCCCAAGTGACTAAGGCTGTGGCGCACGGCGACCTGAGCAAGACGACCGACGTGGATGTACGCGGCGAGATGCTTGATCTCAAGAACACCATCAACGAGATGGTTGCGCAATTGGGCAATTTCTCTCGCGAGGTCACACGAGTGGCATTGGAAGTCGGCACGGAAGGAAAGCTTGGTGGCCAGGCGGAAGTGGCCGGTGTGCAGGGAACGTGGAAGGATCTCACGGACAATGTCAACGTGCGTCGCCGGCTTTTGTCGTTGATGGTATTGACCCGAGACAGCGTATGGCAAACAACCTCACCGGCCAAGTACGCTCCATCTCGGACGTCACGAAAGCCGTCGCGTATGGAGACCTAAGCAAGACCATCGAGGTGGAGGCCAGCGGAGAGATGTTGGATCTGAAGATGACGATCAATGACATGGTGTCCCAGCTGAAGAACTTCTCGAGTGAAGTGACGAGAGTGGCCCTCGATGTCGGCACCCGGGGCAAGTTGGGTGGGCAGGCCGAAGTTGAAGGGGTACAAGGCACATGGAGAGATCTGACTGATAATGTGAATGTACGTTGGGTCGCCTTCCACCTCTTATTCATTCCATCCCGCTGACTCGCTCGCTACACGACAGCGCATGGCATCCAATCTGACTGACCAGGTCCGAAGTATCTCACTGGTGACCAAAGCTGTCGCGTACGGTGATCTGGCAAAGACCATCGACGTCAATGCTAGTGGAGAGATGTTGGACTTGAAGAATACCATCAACGATATGGTTGCCCAGCTGAAGAACTTCTCTAGCGAAGTGACGCGAGTCGCTCTTGATGTCGGCACACACGGTATTCTCGGCGGTCAAGCTGAGGTTGAAGGTGTGCAGGGCACCTGGCGAGATCTCACCGATAATGTCAATGTGAGGGATTCTATTTGCTGCTCGGGTCTTGGTGTAACCGTGTTGAACAGCGCATGGCCAACAATCTCACTGATCAAGTCCGTTCGATCTCGCTAGTCACCAAAGCCGTAGCGTACGGTGACTTGACCAAGACCATTGGCGTCAACGCGTCTGGCGAGATGTTGGACTTGAAGGTCACGATCAACGAGATGGTGGAACGACTCGGAAACTTCTCCAGCGAAGTGACACGTGTCGCACTTGAAGTCGGCACTCAAGGTCGGCTTGGTGGACAAGCAGAGGTGCCCGGTGTCCAGGGTACTTGGAAAGATTTGACGGAGAATGTCAATGTATGTTTTATGATCCTCGTTCGTTCGTTTGAACATATCTGATTGTGTTACGTACAGCGCATGGCATCCAATCTCACCGACCAAGTCCGGAGCATCTCCCTTGTCACCAAAGCTGTCGCGTATGGCGACTTGACCAAGACCATTGATGTCAACGCCTCTGGCGAAATGCTGGACTTGAAAGTCACAATCAACGAGATGGTGGAGCGTCTAGGCAATTTCTCGAGCGAGGTGACTCGTGTTGCACTAGAGGTCGGGACTCAGGGTCGGCTTGGAGGGCAGGCAGAAGTGCCCGGTGTCCAGGGCACTTGGAAGGATCTGACGGAGAATGTGAACGTGAGTGATACTGTTCATATCGGGCCGTTCACACGCTCACGAAATCCAGCGCATGGCAAACAATCTCACAGATCAAGTGCGCTCGATTTCGGAAGTGACCAAGGCGGTTGCGAACGGCGATTTGTCCAAGAAAATCGACGTCGAAGCCAGCGGAGAGATGCTGGATCTCAAGATGACCATCAATGACATGGTGGAGCAGTTGCTGAACTTCTCGGGTGAAGTGACCAGAATGGCGCAAGAGGTCGGCACGCACGGAAAGCTTGGCGGACAGGCCAAAGTCGAGGGAGCACAGGGTACCTGGGCTGATCTGACCGACAACGTCAACGTATGTGTCGTCTTTTGTCTCTGGTCCATTGATTGACCTATCTGCGTAGAAAATGGCCTCGAACTTGACCAATCAAGTGCGGTCCATCTCTGAGGTGACCAAGGCCGTGGCATACGGCGATCTGACCAAGAAAATCGGTGTCGATGCATCTGGAGAAATGCTGGACCTGAAGCAGACGATCAACGAGATGGTGGAGCGTTTGGGTAACTTCTCGAGCGAGGTCACGCGTGTTGCACTTGAGGTCGGAACCCAGGGCAAGCTGGGTGGCCAGGCCGAGGTCGAAGGTGTGCAAGGCACCTGGAAGGATCTGACGACGAACGTCAACGTAGGTGCTCGACAGCACTTGCCTGTTCCATTCGCTGACCATCGACCCCCAGAAAATGGCGTCGAACCTGACGGGACAAGTACGCTCCATCTCGCTGGTGACTAAGGCCGTGGCTTTGGGCGACTTGACGCGCACCATTGAAGTCGATGTTTCCGGAGAGATGCTTGATCTGAAAAACACGATCAACGACATGGTGTCGCAGCTGAACATCTTCGCTAGCGAGGTCACGCGTGTCGCGCAGGAGGTCGGAACGGAAGGCAAGTTGGGTGGGCAAGCGCTGGTCAAAGGAGTGCAAGGGACATGGAAGGACTTAACAGAAAATGTCAATGTGAGTGCTTGTTTGTTTCGTTTGCTTCCTTCTCGGCTTTTTGTGCTACTTGTGGAGAGCGAAGCGAAAGCTTATTCGACTGACACATACATGCATATGCTAACATCGTGCTACCAGAAAATGGCCCTCAATATCACAAATCAAGTGCGCTCTATTTCGGACGTCACGACCGCTGTTGCTCGCGGAGACTTGACCAAGAAAGTCGAGATCGATGTCAAGGGAGAAATGCTCGACCTCAAGTCGACGATCAACAACATGGTCTCGCAGTTGAGCACCTTTGCGTCTGAAGTCACCCGGGTCGCGCTCGAGGTCGGCACGGAGGGCAAGTTGGGCGGACAGGCGGAAGTGGAGGGTGTTGAGGGCACATGGAAAGATCTGACGGACAACGTGAACGTATGTGCTCTTGTCTTGCCTTGCCGCTTGTATACTGAACTCGCCCGCGCAGAAAATGGCCATGAACTTGACTTCCCAAGTGCGATCCATCTCCGAAGTCACCAAAGCCGTCGCGCTGGGGAATCTCACGAAGCAAGTCGAGATCACAGCCCGCGGAGAGATGCTGGACCTGAAGAACACGATCAACGGAATGGTCACGCAACTCTACACACTGGCGAGCGAGATCACGCGTGTCAGTATCGAGGTCGGGACCGAAGGCAAGCTTGGTGGACAGGCTATGGTAGAGGGGACCACTGGCATGTGGAAGGTATGTGTCTGCGTCACTAGGTGTTCGCATACACTCATCCCCCACTACAGACTGTCACCGACAACGTGAACCTGATGGCCCAGAATCTCACTGATCAAGTCCGGTCGATCGCGGAGGTCACGAAGGCTGTCGCGCGGGGTGACCTGACCAAACAGGTCAAAATCACTGCGCGGGGCGAGATTCTCGATCTCAAAGACACCGTCAATGCGATGACAGCCTCTTTGAGTCAATTCTCGGCCGAGGTCACACGAGTCGCCCGAGAAGTCGGGACTGAGGGCAAGCTGGGTGGGCAGGCTGAAGTCGAGGGCGTCGAAGGCACGTGGAAGGATCTGACAGATAACGTGAACGTCATGGCGAACAATGTGAGTTTGTCTTGCCTTGTCTGACTTCCGGGGATGTAGCCGCTGACTTGGCATGCAGCTGACGCTGCAAGTGCGGACGATTTCAGACGCAACGAAAGCTGTCGCTCGCGGCGATTTGACGCACAAGATCCACGACCTCGACGTGTCAGGAGAGATTCTCAGTCTTGTCATCACCATCAACGACATGATTGACCAGCTTGCGATCTTCGCGAGTGAAGTCAAGAAGGTCGCGCTTGAGGTCGGGACCAAGGGCAACATGGGTGTCCAGGCCGAGGTCGGTGCCGTCCAGGGCATCTGGTTCGACATCACGTCCGTTGTCTCCGGTGTCGTCTTTTCTCTAACAACTGACATTACTCGGGCAGTGTGTCGGTTAACACGATGGCTTCCTCGCTCACGACGCAAGTGCGCGGGTTTGCGCAGATCTCCAAAGCCGCTTCGGACGGCGACTTCACGAGTTTCATCACCGTCGAGGCGAGCGGCGAGATGGACGAGTTGAAGAGCCGGATCAACCAGATGTTGTACGATCTCCGTGACAGTATCCAGAAAAACACGGCCGCGAGGGAGGCGGCTGAGTCTGCGAACAAGAGCAAGAGTGAGTTCTTGGCCAACATGAGTCACGAGATCCGGTAAGCTGCTGCGATTTTGTCTGCGATTCGCGGAGGAAAAGCTGACTGGATTATCAGGACGCCCATGAACGGTATCATCGGCATGACTGAGCTGACGCTGGATAGCGACCTCAACCGCAGCCAGCGGGAGAGTTTGCTGCTGGTGCATAGTCTGGCGCGCAGTCTACTGCTGATCATCGATGATATCTTGGATATCTCCAAGAGTGCGTTGGTTTTTGACTTGCCGGTATCATGGCGCTGACGATTCTTGTAGTCGAAGCCGGCCGCATGACGATCGAAGCGGTGGCCTTCTCGGTCCGACAAACGATTTTCGACATTCTGAAGACTCTGGTCGGGCGTGCGACGCAAAAAGGACTGGACCTCATTCTGGACATTGCCCCTGAAATTCCGGACGCGTTGATAGGCGACTCTCTGCGACTGCGACAAGTGATTACGAATCTTGTGGGCAACGCGATCAAGTTCACGCGGGTCGGCTATGTTGCGCTGAGCATCCACTTTGTGTCGATGGACGAGGACAGCGTGACGCTGCAGTTCTGTGTGCTGGACACGGGGATCGGCATCGCGCAGGACAAGCTGAATCTGATCTTCGATACGTTCTGCCAAGCGGATGGCAGCACCACCAGGGCAAGTGATCATTTTGTGTGCTCTGCGCGTGTTCTGAACTGGAATGCAGGAATACGGAGGCACTGGACTGGGACTGTCCATTTCGAAGCGGCTGACGTCTCTGATGCAAGGCGACATCTGGGTCGAGTCGGAGCTGGGCAAGGGCAGCAAGTTCTATTTCACGATCACAGTGGAGACGAATCAGCAGCAGACGATTGACTCGATGCTGCTTAAGCTGAATCCGTTCTCGAAGCGCACCATTCTGTTTGTCGATACACGCGGGGACCAGAGTGGTGTCGAGGAGCGGGTGAGCGAGTTGGGCCTGCTCCCGGTCAGGGTGCAGGACGTTTCCCAGGTGGCGGACAAGGAGCGGTGTCCACACATCGACACCATCATCGTTGATTCATTGACTGCGGTACGTGGCGTTTTTGCTGCTGCTCACTTGGCATATCTGATGACGTACAATAGACTGAGAGCATTCGCGAGCACGAGCATCTGCGATATATTCCGATCGCACTGCTCGCGCCGTCTCTGCCGCGCCTGAACATGAAGTGGTGCCTCGAGAACGGGATCAGCGCGCACAACACGACTCCGATCAGCACCTTCGACCTGTCGTCGGTGCTGCTGTCTGCGCTGGAGAACAACCCGGTGAACCCAGCGTCGGTCGCGGCCGACGTGTCGTACGACATCCTGCTCGCGGAGGACAACATGGTCAACCAGCGGCTGGCGCTCAAGATCCTAGAGAAGTACGGGCACAGCATCGAGTTGGCGGAGAACGGCAGTCTTGCGCTGAACGCGTTTGTGGACCGGGCGCTGGCGAACAAGCCGTTCGATGTGATCCTGATGGATGTGTCGATGCCGGTCATGGGCGGCATGGAGGCGACCCAGAGGATCAGGGCGTACGAGACACAGTACGGCCTGAACAGGACGCCGATCATCGCCTTGACTGCGCATGCCAGTGAGTGTTTTATTTTCCCAGCAGGTAAAGTGGTTGTTGACCATGATGCCCAGTGATCGGCGACAGGGAACGCTGCCTGCAAGCCGGGATGGACGACCACATCACCAAGCCGCTGCGCCGGGTCGATTTGTTGAATGCCATCAGCCGGCTGACAACGGAGGCCGGTGTTTCGCGTCCGCTGCTGAAGAAGACGGCTGCGACTGCGTACAGCGACTACGTGAACAACGGCAGGTTCGAGGAGGTCGGTATCGACGACGGGATGGACATGATGGTCGTCCCGATGAGGAATCTGGACCACGACTTGCCCTAGACTTCTGCCCTCCCCCTGTTACCCCGTCGCGTGATACCTGCCTTGTCTGATCTGCTCCTGCCCCCCGCTGCTCTCCGCCCTGCCCTGCCATTTTGTACCACCAGCCATCCATCCATCTATCCATCTAGTTCATTTTCTGTATCTACTCTCTCATTTGTACCACGTATACGCGCATGTTTCATTAATAATAATTATCCTCTTTTCTTTCTTGAAATTGCGGGCGTGTTTTTATTTTCAGAATGCTAGCGAATGTATATCCAATGTGCGGTATGCGATGCCAAGTGAGTACAATGCTGCAGATAATCTAGATATCGTAAACCCCATTACAAAACATTAAAAGACGTCACCAATCGTGATCGTGATCATAAGACACTCGGGAGCTCGCCCGAGTGCAGCACGTCGTCCTGCTCGTCCGGCGAGCGAGACCATTTGTCTGGGGCCGCGAAAAAGTATCCTTCGAGCGCGGACACGAACCGGTCCTGGTACTCTGCGGGCGGGACGACCGTGACCTCCTTCCTGCTCGCTCCGGGGCGGCTGGTGCTGCCCTTGAGCTCGAGGTCGAGCAGGCCCTGCTTCGCCTTGTACTCTAGCGTCTTGGCGAAGGTGTAGCTCCCGATCGTGTCGACGAGGCCCACCGCGAGCTGCTTCGCGGCCAGATCGACGCCGACGAGCAGGCTGTAGTCCATGATGTTGTTCCGCGCCAGAAACTCCGTGTCCGCGCGGAGCGCCTCGCGCAGGGTGTGCTGCGCGTGCGGGGGGATGAGCGTCGGCGCCGTCGTGTGCCGCTGCGCGGCGATCCAGTCGCCGTCGAAGAGCGTCTTGGTCCCGCTGCCCGGCTTCGCTTTGCGGCCCTGGATGCCCTTGAGGTCGAACACCCGGTCGACCCGGGCCAGCCCGCTGAAGAGGTTTTCCATCACCAGCAGATCGGCTCTCCTCGTTTCGCCGCTGTCCAGTGCCCGGATCTCGATCGTGTAGAACCCGAGCAGCTTGGCAAGCACCGTCGGCTTGTTGGCTGAGGCATCCATGTATCGGAAATACGACGGTCCGAGGTCGATGAGAACTTGCCTATGATGCATGTCGTGAGATTCATCAACAGCGAGTGAGGAGAATGTAAACGCACAAGTCTGCGACGTTCCACGCATTGACCAACGTCTTGATCATAAACCGCCCGTCCTCAGTCTTCCAAAAATCCGACTTGCTCTTCCCTCCATCGGCCGCCCAGTCGGCGCTGCGGGACAAACTCTTGACGAACGCATCCGCCTCGATCCCACACCGCTTGCGGAGATTGTCGAATTGCTTAGCGTAGTACACCGTGCAGCTAAACTGTACGCGTTTGCCCACCGTCCAGTCGTATTTGATGTGCGGCCGGTCGTCGATGGCCGGTGAGAGCAGACCGTGGTGTGTCTTGGACGACAGCGGCGACGGCCGGGGAGCATCGCCGCCACTCCGGAATATGGAGCGCATGGCGGACGAGAACGAGAAGCTCGTCGGCGGTGTTGCATCCGGCACAACCGGAGACTCCGGTTCTGACTTGGGCTCGTCCTCCACGAATTCCTCCTCGTCATTCACGGAAACAAAAGATTCAGCAGAGATGGCCCGGCTACTGCGGCTGCCAGAGGTGGCTAACGCCGGCCGCGGCTCGCCCAAGCTGCTATTTGCCTCCTTCAGGATCTTGCCGACGACGCCAGACTCGAGTTTACTCCCGCTCGTCACCTGCCCACCAGCAGCATGTTTGGTGATCTGCACGTCCGCTTTCTTCGACCAGGCGGACGGCGGTAACAGCGTCGGCGCGCTTTTGCTGACAGCCGAGATGCTCCCAAACCGAGATGCCGCGCTGGGAACGCTGTCCGATGTCTTTTTGAGACGCAGAGACAGCAGTGAGGTTGCATCGCGCGGATTCTCCTTGCGCGCTATGACAGACGCGTGCTCCTCGATTTCGTACCACACACCGCCTTCGGCATCTGGGTCCGGATTCGCTGAGGCTGAAGACCCGAATAGTTTGTGGCCGGAGAAGAACGACGACTGCATTGACGAGCCTGTGGAAAGCGCCGGCGAGGGCGAGAGCATCGCCGTCGACGGACGAGCCAAGTACATCGACGTCAATTCCCGACTGTAGTCAACCGTGCTGTAAAAAAATATCCCACTGTGAGATCGTACTGGGTGGTGAGAATATATTCCACACACCTCATAGTATGAGCCATGATGCTGCCCCAATCATCCTCGCGCACGACGACACTGCCGCCAGGGGCGACGTGCCATCCTCGACTCCACCACTCCGGCTCCGACCCAACCTCGGGCGGCGCATTCCGCGGCAGATGCTTGCCTTGCCAGGCTACCAGGCGCCGCTCCGCTCCCCGGCCGGTCGAGAGAAACGCGCGACGTACATCATTGAGCGAGGAAACGGGTGTCGCAGTCAGCTGGGCGTACAGATCTTGCTCCAACCGGTGGAAAGTCTGTCGCATGGCCCCGAGAGGGCGGATGGATTCGGCAGAATCTTCCATCGACGCTGGGACAAAGGGCTCTTGAGTCGCCTGCGTTATGTCTGGTGTCGAGGTTCCACTGGGAGGAAGACCAGAGATGAGACTCTCTTCATTGACCAGCTCAGGTGTGGATCCAGAGTGGCTTCCAGGGAGATGACTTTCCTGTCGATCTAATCAGCCGCGCAGCCAAAGGAGTTCTCCGCAAGTCAACCCACCAACAAATCCATCTGATCCGCAATGTGGGTCCACCACTCGTTGATCTCCTTCCTCAAGACCTCCTTCTCGCTCGCCTTGTCCTCAACCTTGCCGACGGCGTCTTTCTCGCGTGTGATTTGCAGCTGAGGCACCCGCAAATCGAACGTTTCATCCACGACGGAGAGCGAGAAGGACACGACGTGCGTCTTGTACCGGAAATGCCGGACGATGCACAATCGCGAAGCAGGAAGCGATGATGATGATGCCGATGTACCCCTTGATTCAGGCGTGGTGTGCGGGCAGAGTGCTGGAGTGATGGTGCAGATCGCAGGAGAATAGACGAGGACCTCGATAAACTTGCCAAAGGAGTAGAGGCTGGATTGCGTCAGCGCAAGGCATGCGAGAAAGAGTCAACAGATACTCACTAAGCCCCGTCGCTCATACGTGTCTTGGCCGAGCATTTGCCACAAACAGAGCAACTGAGCCACATGTCGATGGCCTCGTCGTCGCCACGGTCGTCTTCGGTATGTTCCTCGCCAACCCTGACGTTCAGACGAATCCCCCCATGCACCATGCGTATCAGATGATCGCCTTGCATCCACGGACACCTCGGCCGAGCACACGGCTCCGCAGCCTCCGCGACCAGCGACACGAGAAACTGGCCGACGCCCTGATCCGAATCCGACGCGTAGTAGCGGTACGTGTCCCAGCGCGGGCGGCCGCACATCCCGAATCCGTTCTCGCCCTGCTCCTCCTCGCTCGGCGCGCAGCGCAGCACAAGTACACTCAGCTCCTGCATGCTCGCGAAGCCGCGCGCGCCGCACAGCGCCTTCCCCCGCGCCTCGCGGTCCTTCGCGCGGGGATCCCAGCCGAGGATGCTGCCCAGGCCAGCCTTCTCGTCCCCCCGCAGTCGCCGCCCTGGAGACTCACGTTCCTTCGCGGCCAGCTCGGATATCAGCCGCGGCGGGGGGATGCGCACGCCGGCGGAGGAGGAGAGGTAGGTCGCGGCGTCCGCCAGCCGCGACATGATGGAGGTGAAAGGTGTTGGGGATTTGGCGGAGGTGGGAGATGGACGCAGGAAAGCTGGTCGGGGATCGCCGATGAACGAAAAGTGTCGCAGGCGACCGCCTCGTTGCTCAGTCGGGGGAGTAGCAGCCGAAGGACTCTGGGCGTAGAGTTGGTGAGGGCTTCCGAAGATTAATGAGAGGATGGCGAATAAAATCCCTCCGCTGTGCCGATATCGCGCGGCGGGTTTGGGAATCACAGGTGCCTCTTCCTCAGGTATGCTGAAGAGCGGCATGGCTGGCCTTGATACCGGGAAGCTGATCTTCACTCTAGAATCGGACAGGAAGTGCTGCTCGAGCAAGAGCGAAAGGTGCATGTATATCGACAACCTGAGAGTCTTGCACAGCGCGTAGTATTGTTTCGGAGAGACGACCCCTTTGAACGCAAAAGTGCCACCGACGAGTCTCAAGTTGAAATCTGGGGGTGCTGGGGTGTTTCGGGAGTCAGATTCTGTCAATGGAACGTTGGATGAGCAGCACAAACCTTGAGAGTCCCATTCCGCCAGTCCATACAGAATCCCCGATGCCCCGTCATCGCCACCATCCGCAGCTTCCTCAGAGACAGTGAACACAGCATCAGTGAAGACGCATGCGACGTTCGCAGGGATGAGCTCGAAACCACTGTCCTCGCTGGGAAGCGCGACATCGCTGCCCAGGGGTGCCACGCACAACAGGAGATGCATCGGGTGCGACGACAGTGTGGAGTCGCACGAGTCCGAAACAGACGATTCCGAGCCAGTCAGAGTTCCAGACGCGTGTGCATTAGCGAGATCCCGGAGCTGGTGCAACGACTGATCGGTAGTGTCGACGGGGAACGCCACACTCGCACCCAAGTCCGACAAGAGGCTGCCCAGCGACCCAGACAAAGGGGTGGAGGGAGTCGGAGTCTGCGTCATGACACTGCCGATACTCGACATCGTGTCCGAGCGCACAGGCCTCGGTGGCTCGCGGCGCTCCCCCTCCGATGGCTGCCGCCGGCCCGTACCCCGCAGCCGTTTCAGCCGCACACCCGTCAGCCAGCCCCCGCGGTCAACCGCCTCCCCAAGTGCATCCAACACGTGTTCCAGCGCCACAGCCCACTCCTCCTTGGTCGCTGCGTCGGTGCCCGGCCCCAAATCGCATTCCGAGTCCGCGTCGGAGAGGATGTGCCGCACGAAGCGGCCGCGGTGCGCGCGCGCGTCGACGGATAGCGTGTTCGTCACGTTCGGGGGAGCCAGGGGGTGTTTCGCAGGGCGGAACCGGGGCACGCTCTCTCGACCCGACTTGGACTGCGTGCCGCGGCCGCGGCCGCGTTCGGGGGCCAGGGACGTCGAGTACGCGAGCTGGAGGATGCGGTACGCGCATATGAAGGGCAGGAGGAATACATATAATAATGTTATGCCTCTGAGCTCGAAATCGACCGGCATGGCATTGGGAAGATGCTGGAGCAGTGCTGAGCCTGGTGCGGGGCACGTGTTTTGTCTGATATCGGGTCACGTGGACATTGCCTTTTCTGGGCTGCGCTCTTGGATTTTCTTTCTCAGGTTCAAGTCTCGAAAACAATGGTCTATTCGGAAATCGCGTGGAGAGAGGCTACTATCCCTGGGAAAGTCTACGAATTGCCGTGCCTCTTTCGATAATCTGAAATAATCCTCTGCTTCAATCCACCCTTACTGGCAGGCTTCAACGGCTTGCAGTTTCTCTGCAAGTGCTTCACGATGACGTACGAGCGGTTATGCTTGAACACCGCGCCGCATCCCGGAGTCGGGCACCTTGTCGACTGCGCCTCGAGGTGCGCCCAGCGAAAATGGCGCGACACGCCGTTAGTCGTGGCGCTCCTGTGGCCGCATCCGGCGAACGGGCAGGCGTATTTGTTGTGCTCGTCGGATTGGGGGCCAGTGGAGAGCGTCCAGGTGCTGCAGGGGGCGTGGCGCGTCGCCACTTGTGCTTTGCGCAGGGGTCTACTGCACTCGCTGTAATCCGAGTCGTTCGAGTCCAAATCTTCTGGCGCATCGCTCGCATCCAGATCTTCGTTCATCGGCACGTCCGCTAAAACAGTGTCGTCTGGGGCGGGAGCGGGAGTTTCAAGTCGGCTTTCGCGTGTGTCTTCTTCCTCTGGTGTGAAAAGAGCCCAAGGGTGGGCCACTTGGAAGTCCAAAGCGGTCATCAGCAGGGACGGATCGATGGTTTGCTGCTCTGGAGGCGGGGAAAAGGAACTTCTGGAGGCAGCAAGAGGCTGCCAGATGTCGTCCTCATCATCGTCAAAGGGCATTGCTTGCTGAGCGCCTGTTTGGTCTAGGAGTGCACTTGCGAGATGGCTGGGGTCCGTCTGAAGAAAAGACGCATGAGGAAGAGCCCATGCTAGGTGAAGTTTCACTTACGAAATAGCTGGCGAATTCCATTTGTCGGGTCTGTCCTGCTGGCCGCGCACATGCTGCTGCATTTAAACAGTGTAGGTAGCCAAAGCACCGTTAAAGCGCTGTGATCAGTTACAAAGCTCGCCTGATGAAGCCTCAGAATTTCGGGTCAAAGTGATTTCCCTTTGTTTCAACACATTGTCTGTGTTTCGCTTTGTACATTTCTGGCATGGGTTCAAGTCCAATGTCCATCGCGCCAAAGACATCCGGAGCCACAGAATTGGCAATGAACTCGGTGCTGTGGCATGTGGAAATACGCAAAGAGAGAAAAATCAGGCTCAGTGTAGTTCAAATGTCTCTCTTCATCTAAGTATCAACTCCCCGAGGCAAGTCGTCGCGGGTTGCGAGCGACGCGTCTAGCACGTGATGTTGCTCACCAAATCACGGGACCGCGAAGCGTCGCAGTGGTGGCCCACTTGCCTTATAGGCGCTAGTGTGTAGTGCTACGTAAAACCTGAGCAATCGCGCGATGGTCAGCAAACCCATGCGCGCACCACACTCCGTCCCACATGCTCGGTATCCGAATCCCATGATGCTCGCGTTCCTGGCTTCGCTATCTTCCATTCGACGACTTCGCGAGCCCCAAGAGAAGGCGGCTCCCATTTATTCGCAGCTAAGAATACCTGGGCCTGTCAGGTGGCCCCGGGCAAAGCACCTTTCTGCAGGTCATGGGACGGCTCTGGGAGGGTGCGCTCGAGCCCAGGCGAGTGCGGTGTAGGCTTGCCGCGACCAGCGCATAGTAAGGCCAGAGCGATGGTCTTGATCTTGATTCTGGGGCGGGCCGCCGTCGGGCCCGGCGGGGGTGCTCTCGTTTGGTGGGTGGTTGAGATACGGCGCACGCTGTGGTGGACGGACGGACGAACGCATCACCGCGCGATGCTCCGCCGCACTAATCACGCTCGGGCTCGGCAACCTGCCGGGCGAATAAGGTTCAGCTGAGTGGCTGCGGTCGTTCGCACAGTGTCATTCTTCGCTCGACCAACCGAGTTCTCGCCATTGCCCCTGCTAAGTGCACTTGCTCCCTCGAACTGCACGAGAAGAACCTCACTTCTTTCTTCTGGGACTGCTGACCCAACCTGTACCGAATACCCGCTGCGATTCGTCGAAACGACGATATTTTTGACGGAGGCAGGCTGCATGACCCAGTGGGCTGTTCTATCCCCATCTCTCCCACAATGCCACGAACGGGACGTTTACCGATTCAATGCAGGTCACTTGTTCATCCTGTTTTCCCATCCTCCTAGTGGCGAGCGTATATATAACACACCCACCGGGGGCCTACTAGTGCACTCCCACCACTCTCACCGCCGCAATCAGACCAATGGTGCAACCACAGGAAGTTGATGTTATCGTCGCGGGGGGCGGGCCTGCGGGCTGTGTCGTCGCGGGCCGTCTCGCGTTTGCTGATCCCTCGCTCAAAGTCATGCTCATCGAAGGTACCTGCCTCGACTCGTCCCGTCGTGCGCCAGCCAGTCTCTGATGCACACACTCACAGGGGGTGCTAACAACAGAGACGATCCCTGGGTAAGCTCGAGTGGCCGATCTGCGGCGCAGGATTCTAATTATCTTGTGTTCAGGTCTACCGGTCCGTCGTTCATGACCCACGCTGCGTCGTTCCCTCGCACTCACCGCGGATCCGGATCGCAGACCGGGCATCTACGTCCGCAACATGCAGCGCAACGGCATGTAAGTGATCGTGACCGCGTCACCCGGGCCTTCCGTGTGCTGACTGGGCCACAGAAACGACAAGGCCACGTTCTACACCGACACGAAGGCCTCGTCGTATCTCCGCGGACGACAGAGCATCGTCCCGTGCGTGCCCCAGTTCTTTTTTTTCGCTCGGTGATGTGAGTGACCGGATTTTGTTCGATCCAGATGCGCGAACATCCTCGGTGTGTGGACCACCGCCTCGTCGAATATCCATCTCACAGTTCCGTGCGACCAGGCGGAGGGAGCAGGTGAGAATGCCATTCTTCGATGCGTCCCGCAGAGATAACCCGAACCCCCGCAGTATTAATTTCCAGGTCAGTCAGTCGGCGAATTCGGGTAATACAGTCATTTTCACATGACTTGATGTTTCTAGATGTACACAAGGGTGAGTTCATTTCTGTTTTTGTTTCGCTCTGGTTATTTTGAGTCTCATGGCTCAACTCAGGCATCCGCTTCCGACTGGGGTGATTTCTGCTCGTTTACCTCAGCGTGCTTCGAAGCTGACGGGTGTCAGATGACTTTAAATCCGAGGGATGGACTGCGAAAGGTGCGGTGAAGCGGTCCACTTTGAACTTTGCTGAATAAGCAACCCTCACCAGATCTACTGCCTTTGATGAAACGGGTATCTGCATGGTCGATGTGACAATGTAAACATCTAATGCTTCGATTCTGCAGCTCGAGAACTACCAGAAGCCGTGCAACAACGACACACACGGCTACGACGGCCCCATCGCCATCTCGAACGGCGGCAGCATCACTCCCCTTGGTGCGCTATCACATGACACGCGCGGGTTCGAATCTGTCACCTGATGGGACTCCACAGCGCAAGACTTTTTGCGAGCGTCGGATGCGATTGGCGTGCCCTATAGCGGTAGGATATGTACTCCCAGCAGCCTGGATATATTCTGATCTGTTCGCAGATGATATCCAAGGCAAATCGAGATTGAACCGGTCAGAGAGTTGTCCTAATTGAGCATGATCCCACAGATCTGGAAACCGCGCACGCCTCTGAGATCTGGGCCAAGTACATCAACCGACACACCGGCCGCAGAAGCGACGCCGCGACAGGTCTGTCTCTCCATCATCATCATCGTCGTCGTGGCCGCTCGCTGGTGCTGACTTGCTGGCCCCCCAGCGTACGTGCACAGCGTGATGGACGTGCAGGACAATCTGTATCTGCGCACCAACTCGCGCGTGTCGCGCGTGATCTTCGAGGGCAACAAGGCCGTCGGCGTCGCATACGTGCCGGCCCGCAACCGCGCGCACCAGGGCCAGGTCGTCGAGACCATCGTCCGCGCACGCAAGTACGTCGTGCTGAGCAGCGGGACATTGGGGACGCCGCAGATTCTGGAACGTTCGGGGGTCGGCAATGCCGAGCTGTTGAAGAAGATGGATCTGAAGGTCGTCAGTGATCTTCCCGGGGTTGGGTGCGTGTTTGTGTCATTTGATTTGTGAGCCAGTGCTAAAATCTGGGTCTAATCTAGCGAGCAATATCAAGAGTGCGATCGTCTCGATTTTCTTCGTATGCTCTGTGGCTGACTTTTTCTCTTCCAGTCATTACACCACGCTCTCTCGTAAGTGAAACATGCACCGAGTCTTGGACGATGACGTTGAACAATGTCCAAGTGTACCGCGTCTCCAACGAAAGCTTCACCCTGGACAACTTCCTCCGCGGCGACAAGGACGTCCAGCGCGAGCTGTTCCAGGAGTGGGAAGTCTCACCAGAGGTCAGTGATATCAACTTATATCTCGTAATCTCACACTCAACGACCGGGATGATTCTAGAAAGCGCGCCTGTCGTCCAATGCGATCGACGCTGGATTCAAGGTCAGTGCATCTGAGCTCCCTCGGCAACGAGTATCCCGCTGATTCGGAGCAGATCCGTCCTACTGAGGCCGAGTTGAAGGAGATGGGACCCGAGTTCAATGAACTGTGGGACAAGTACTTCAAGGACAAGGTGATCCGATCCATCCGAGGTCGACCCAATCGATTAACAAAGAAATCAGCCTGACAAGCCTGTGATGTTTGGATCGATCGTTTCTGGAGGTAAGCACTCGATGCACGGCTGATTTAATGCTGACCCGCCGTGCAGCCTACGCGGACCACTCGCTCCTCCCACCTGGCAATTACATCACCATGTATGTAGCTGTTGATTCCGTGTTCGATTGATCGGTTCTCACCGTTCACAGGTTCCAGTACCTCGAATACCCGGCCTCGCGCGGAAACATCCACATCAAGAGCCCGAACCCGTACGTCGAGCCGTCATTCGACAGCGGCTTCATGAACAACAAGGCGGACTTTGCGCCGATCCGGTGGAGCTACAAGAAGACGCGCGAAGTCGCGCGCCGGATGGACGGTCTGTGGCGTGTCTGCCCCCAATAATAAACCCAGCCTCATGATATAAACCCAGCGTTCCGCGGTGAGCTGACGTCGCACCACCCGCGATTCCACCCCGCGTCCCCCGCGGCGACGAGGGACATTGATATCGAGACGGCCAAGGGCCTGCTGCCCAACGCGCTGACCGTCGGGATCCACATGGTGCGTCCCTGCGCGTCTTTTTCTGGGTGTGCCCGACCCACCCACCCCTGATCTGACACGCGCATCCACAGGGAACATGGCATGCGTGAGTGTGCGCCTTGCTCGTGACGCAGCCGGCGGCTGACTTGCGCGCGCAGGCCCGGGGACAAGTACGACGCCAGCAAGGTGCACGAGGACATCAAGTACACGGAGGAGGACGACAAGGCGATCGACGACTGGATCGCGGACCACGTCGAGACGACGTGGCACAGCCTCGGCACGTGCGGTGCGGGATCTCTGTCTCTGCGTGTTGGATTCCGCGTGGGACTCACGGCTTGCAGCGATGAAGCCGCGCGAGGAGGGCGGTGTCGTCGACAGCCGCTTGAACGTGTTCGGGACGGAGAACCTCAAGTGCATCGATCTCAGTATCTGCCCCGTGCGTGATTCCCTTGTAGGATGTGCTGCTGTATGCCAAAACGGTGTGGAACAGGACAATCTCGGCACGAACACCTACTCTTCTGCGCTCCTCGTGGGCGAGAAGGGCGCGGATATCCTCGCTCAGGATCTCGGTAATCCACCGTCTTCTTTTCCAGCCGCCGTCGTTACTGACGCTGAGGATCCAGGCCTCAAGATCAGAGTCCCGCACGCCCCGGTCCCGCACGCGCCAGTCCCGACCGGAAAGCCGGCGTCTCAACTCGTCCGCTAAGTGTCAGGGAGAAATTTGTAACTTTTTTGTATCAGTATGTCACGTGTCAGGAGAACCTGGAATTGTATAAGCTTCAATCGGCGACTGCGCATGACTCTGAGTCAGTTCAACAACAAATCACGTGCCTATTCGGCAACGCTCGCGCACGGACCACCGCAGGCGTCGTATAAATCCCAGCGTTGAGCATTGTAAATCTTTACCACTCTGGCCTTTTGGCTTAGATCAAGTGTAGTATCTGTTCTTAATAGTTTAACCACTATTAGAGGGACACAGTCCCTTCTATTTGGTTATCTAATTTTTGCCGCCCTTGTCCTTCTGCTCTGCTTGCAACAGAAGGACGCGATGACCTTGCCGCTGCACTACTGGCTTGTGTCGTCGGGGGTCCGTTTTTTTTTGTACTCTCCGGTCTTCTGACCCTAACCCTAGCTTTTAGCTTGGTGTTACATCTCATCTACAGTACCGTATACATAGGCGAAACGAAGCCAGAGACATGTGTTTGTGTTCTGCCATATTCCGTCGTGTAGGTTTTTTGTTTTCCAGACCGCAATAAATTAAGATTCAGATATCGATCCATGTAATTGGGATCCCCGACATTGCCTTGTCGGTCTGCAGCGTGCGTGATCTGGATGTTCGGTAAAGTGAGTCAACAGGACTTGTTGGTAGCTCGAATGCTTTAGTTTTCACGCCACTGGTGGGCACACTTTGTGCAACTGAAAAGACACCGATGTTCAGTACCTCACACCCATTGGGCAACAGAACGAACCGATAGACTGCGCAAGGTAAATCAAACAGAAGTAACGGAAAACGCGAAAGCAAAGCGCACAAGTAGTCATCGGCTCATCTGCCGAACGGATCTGGAGTTGATAGAAATACGCTTTGTCGTTGTTACATGTTGGGCACGAGGCTGGAGAACGCGTGAGATCGACTGTTCCAAAACACACCTAGCAAGGACTGGCCCATCGTAGCGTCGGCATGTTTCCAAGCCTCTTCACCACCGAGAACATCGTCGACGGCTTTTCTGACCAGTTTAGTCCTCGAGGTCATCTAAAAAGCGGAGGATGAGCATCGGGCAACGCTGGTCACGGCGGTCGTCAATCGCACCTGCTTGGTGATCGGAAATTCATAGGGACAGGTGTTGCAGGACCATTTGTTGTAGCCCGTTTCTCCAGACACCACAAGCAGGTTCGAGCACGTAGGACAAAAGAGCATCTATTCCGCAGAGCAAAGGGCCGCCCACCGGTCCGATCGAGATGCTCGTGATGGATTTTGACAAGAGTGTTTGGTGCTGTTGTGTCTGAGCGCGCTTCTTACACCTTGAGGTCGTCGTGCTGAGTGGCGAACGCGTTTGAGTTGGATTTTTAAGGCGTCGTTAGTCCGTAGATCACATCGGGCCATGTCTTCGGATGCAGCAGAGTTGAAAAAACTCGTGAAACAGTTGCAAAGCTCGAGCTCAAGTGAGGTATGCATCATTTTTCTGTCACCATTTAACTTGTTCCTGCGCGCTCACAGTCGATCCTAGGATATCGTGTCGACGCTCCGTTCACTTAGAAAAGATTTCAAAGTAAATGAAGCCATCCTTAGGGTCGGTGTTGCTCGTCCCTGTTTGCTCCGCCATCGTGGGTCACTCATGTCGCGTGCAGGAAAGCAAGGCGGGGTTAGCGGTGGGGAAGTTGCGCACGCATGCCTCAAAAGCCGTCGCGGATCTCGCGAAGGACGTGGTCAGGCAGTGGAAGGTGGAGGTCGAGCAAGCAAAGGCGGGTGCAGCCGCAAGCAAGCCGACGTTGGGTGTGAATACCTCCGGTGCGTCGTCGCGTGTATCTCCCACATCGGCGCAACCACCCTGACCGACTGCAGTCGCAAAGAAACCGACGCCCACGACCGCCCGACCTGCTGCTGCTGCCACCACCCCGAAAACACCCGTCGATTCGAAAACGCGCACGCTCAAGTTGGATGGCGTCACCGCTAATTTCACAGGCGATAAGACGCGCGACAAGTGTATCGAGCTTGTGTATGATGCCCTTGCCGTGGACTCTGGTGCCCGTTCGTGCTTTGTCGACTTCTTTGAGCTTGGAAGTCGTCTGATTCGTTGCTCACAGCTGTCGATCTTCTGCTACAGAGGTCCAAGGCGATCGAGGCCGCGGTCCACAGCGAGCCCGGCATAAGCACGCAGGCCTACACCACCAAGATGCGCTCTCTCTTCGTGAATCTCAAGGACAAGAACAACCCCAGTCTGCGCGAAGCCGTAGCCAGCGGCGATATCCCTGTCGCCAAGTTCGTCAAGATGTCCAGCCAGGAGATGGCATCCGAGGAGCGAAGGAAGGCGGATCAGCAAATTGAGCAGCAAAATCTGTTTGACGCGCTCGGTGCTGTCGAGCAGGAGGCCGAGACCAGTGCGTTCCAGTGCTCCAAGTGCAAGCAGGTGCGCCGCCTCCTCCCATTCAAGATTTTGTCCGGCTGCTGACGCCTGGAATGCAGAGGAAGTGCCGCTACCGCCAGGCCCAGACCCGCTCTGCCGACGAGCCTATGACTACTTTCGTCACGTTCGTTCTCTGTCTGTCTCGTTTGCCGCCCGCCATTGACCCGATTCGCAGATGTGTGAACTGCAACAACAGGTGGAAGTTCTCCTGAATCATAACGATGCGCTTGGACCCTCTTCTTTTTCGATGTATTTTTGCACGCTCGTGCCGATATCTGTTTGCGCTCCTTGTTATCTATTCCAGTACCTGTATTTTTTTTGTCGATACACCCGCGCGCTTTGTTCCGTATCGCCTTGACTTGGCTTCAGATCAGGACTCGTGGGCTGCTTGTTTACGCGTGTTGATCGTTCCAAACCTCTCCTCTGAACGCGTCTTACGACGCGCACCTTCCGGCTTTCTCTCTCATACGGGGATACCTTTCCATCTATACTGAAACATGAGCACGGCCGCCCTCCCCTCTCTTGACGCTTTGCATCGGCAAAGTGCGAAAAGGACACGATCCATATTCGAATCATGTCCGGACGAAGGTTTGAAGGATGAGGAAAAGAGGCATGGCTACGCCGCGGACCGCATTGCTCCTCCCTAACGTCCTGCAGCGCCCGGATACGGCTGTCGACGAAAATCTACGACGAATATCGCGATTTCAAAGAACTGCCTCCAGCGCTCTTGTCCCAGCAGGCGGGCGTAGGACCCGCACGGCCGAAGGAGTTGAGGAAAATGATAACAGCGGGGCGTACGTCTTTCTTTGCTCTCTTCTGGCTGTGGTATTGAGTCGCTGCTGCCGTATAACAGCCTCCGCACCCGCCGATGCCGCGACGGCCCTAATGATCTCCTCCATCGACCGCACCCCCACCACAACACCGTCCACCTTCACATCCTCGAGCAAGCTTTCCCAGGCGCTCTCCCTGCACAAGACGACGCGGACAATCAAGCCGACGTATCATCCGCCGTGGAAGCTTGTGCGTGTCATTTCGGGCCATCTGGGATGGGTGCGCAGTGTCGCAGTGGAGCCGGGGAATCAATGGTTCGCGACGGGTGCTGGGGACCGGGTTATCAAGATATGGGACTTGGCGTCGGGGGAGCTGAAGCTGTCGCTGACGGGCCACATCTCGACTGTGCGCGGGCTGGCTGTGTCACCTCGTCACCCTTACCTGTTTTCGTGTGGTGAAGACAAGGTGCGTAGCCTTGGGTGTTTTTGGATATCTTTTCTGACGGCGCTTTTCGTTTCGTGCTAGATGGTGCGCTGTTGGGATCTGGAAGCTAATAAGATCATCCGGCATTACCACGGTCATCTCTCTGGTGTATATACCCTTGCGCTGCACCCCACACTTGACGTGCTGGTCACCGCCGGTCGCGATGCTTCCGCTCGTGTATGGGACATGAGGACCAAGGCGCAGATACACGTCTTGTCGGGCCACACAGGCACTGTCGCCGATGTAAAATGCCAGGACTCCGAGCCCCAGGTTATCACAGGTAGCATGGACTCCACTGTCCGGTGCGTTTTCGCCTCCGCTGTGCTGGGTTGTCCATCTTGGCTGAGATCTCGGTCATGTAGGCTGTGGGACTTGGCTGCCGGCAAAGCCCGTGTAACGTTGACGCACCACAAGAAATCGGTCCGAGCGCTGGCCATCCACCCGACCGAGTACTCGTTTGCATCGGGATCAGCCGGCGGGAATAATATCAAGAAATGGAAGTGCCCTGACGGCAATTTCGTGTTCAACTTCAGCGGACACAATGCCATCATCAATACGCTCTCCGTGAATGCGGAGGGTGTCTTCTTCTCTGGCGGTGAGTGCATTCGGGTGACATGGCAACGATTTGCCGGGCTGAGCTCCGCACAGCGGATAATGGTAGCCTGTCGTTCTGGGACTACAATACGGGAACGCCCTTCCAGACGATGGAGGATCTTCCCCAGCCTGGCTCGCTGGAAGCTGAGGCGGGCGTTTTCTGCTCGACGTTCGACATGACCGGGACGCGCCTGATTACGGGTGGGGCCGACAAGACAATTAAGGTATGTGCTTATGTCCTTGACATGTCGAACAGTCTCCGGAAACTGATGCGTTGCAGATCTATGCTGAGCAGACCGGGACGTCTTGATGTTGTAATTCGCTGTTTGTATCCATCGTTGGCAAGAGAAAAGATTATATTTGATACATGGCGAACCGCTGGGAAGGACTGAAAAGCAACAATACAGCCAAAGAAGACATGATTAAATGACAAAGATGATATTTGGATTGATTGCACGATCGACCGACATGGGAATCACTCAACCGGCCCACCCGCTGAGCGACGACAGGCCGGCATGCGGAGGAGTGTCAAGGTGAAATGCTGCAGTGTTTACGGCAGGCTCGATCCTCTGCCGGGGGCACAGTCCATGCGAGGCGGAGATCGACGTCGGCGGGCACCCAGCGAGTCTAGGCACCGGAGAGACGGCATTTGCGGGGCGGTGGGCCTGGATCAGCGGCGAATACGCCATCTGCTGCGTGTCGTAGTGCAGCTGGTGGTGCAGATCCGCCGCGTCCATGTCTCCTGCCGCCGTGATGCCGTATAGGCCGGACCGCGGCGGGTCGATGGGCGATATGGGGAACGGCGGTGAGGACGTGCCGGACACGGGAGAGAGCGTCTCGTTTGGGCTGGGGAGATCGTCGAAGTAGGGATATGACTGGAGCTGCATGTTGGCCGCATCGAGGGGGAGAAACATGTCCGACGGCGGTGATAGCCAGTCGACGGCCGATGGGAGCATGTTGCTCACGGGGTCGTCCTGCCAGAGACCCATCTGACAGGATGATGTGGTATTGGCGATCGCCGATTGCCAGGTGGACGCGGGTTTTCCGGGTGGGACGACAGACGGTCCGGGCTTGGTGCGGCGCGTCAGCAGCGGCGCGGGGCTCGTTTCGGGGGGCAGATCGATAGGGCGCAAGGTCAGTGAGCGTCTCGTCGGGCGGTGGTCGTCTTTGATGAACGGCGGCTGCACGGGCTTCGCGCCGTACACCTTCTTCTTCGTCAGGCCGTGGACCTGCTGCAGCTTTGCGACGATGCTGGGTGGATCGGCGCACGGATCAGTCAGTGCCTTGGTGGTGTACATGTCCGACGGAAGGTGCTGCGACGTCTCAGAGGTCTGTGCCGTGCGGTCTTAGCCAAGCAGATTTCATCAGCCCACGTAACACACCTTGGATGCCGAGGAAAGATGCACTGCGCGGGTGTCAGCGAGGAGACTCATCACAACCCGGCACGGGGAACTCACCTGCGGGCTCCAGTGGAACACAGACCCGGAATAAAAAGTCTGTCGAGTACGTCTGCAGCCACAGCGGCTCTTCCGTGTGCTGTTCCTGTTTCTGCCCCCGCCAAGAAAGATGAGACGGCGCTGGAGGTTTGAGATGGACGGGAGGATACGCACCGCTTGCTCGAACAGTCCTATGAACGGGCTTGTACGCAGATGTGATGTAAGCGCAAGGTGGATGTGCACTCGTTCCTGAATACACACACATACAGTCAACCCGAGACGCCAAGAAACCAGCCAACCCAGGCGCACCTTTCGCAGCGATCGCGCAAGCTGCTGCCACGGGTCCGGCCCTTCGCCGCCGTAGTCGAGCGGACACGTCGCCGCCACGATAATGAGGTGGCGCACGGCACGCGCAGATTGGCATGCGAGGAACTGTGCAGGGATTCGGCACGCAGGACGATAGTGGGAGACACAGATCGGCATACCTGGGCTGCGTAGCGGATGTGGGCGATGGCCAGGGCGTTGTCGGAGTCGTAGTTGAACTGCAGCTCGGTCAGGTCCGCCTCGAGGTTGCTCGACTGGCGCGGATTGGGGGCGAGGTCGAACGGTGATGGCCGGCTCGCAGCGACGAATATCTTTTCCTGGACGACGCGTGAGTTCTGCCTGCGCGGTCGTGTGAGAGAGACGGCAGGTACTGGACAAGATGGGTGGGCTCCGCGCAGTTGCTGGATGAAGTTGGGGAGATATTGAGTTCGCAGCGGCCTCCAGTAGCCGGCAAGCAGAGATGAGTTCTCGATGAGAAGCAGAAATTGTTGGCCTGAGGAGCCTGTCATGGAGCGAGAGCGGTTTGGAAGGGTTGGAGTAGCTATCACACAGAGGACGCTTTCAGTTTCAATGCAACGGTTCGTTGCAGCCGGGGGAATAGAGCGAGTGACTCGAGTCAAGGCGAGTCAAGGAAGGTGGTGGTGGTGGTGGTGGTGCAGAGCAGAGTCGTCTGATACGTAAGCCGAGAGTGCTCAAGTAGGACAAGGAAATGACTTACGGGAAGACGTCGCTCTTCAGCGTGGAACGCACCGATATAGCAGATCGTCGTTCTGCGCTTGCTGGGAAATGAAGCCCAAATTGACACACGTCGCACGTCTCGAGTGCGAGAATATATGACACCGAGTCCTCCCAAGGTCACTCAAGTCGCCCGACCCTTGCATGCAAACGAACAAATCCGGAAACACCCCGGAAGAAGGAAGGGCCCATCCACGTGGAAGGGGAAGGAACAACGCTCTGGCCGGGCTGCTGTTCGCTCCTCCGGCCGAATTCCCCCAAGAAATCGAGAAGGTGGAAGAGAGGCAAAAAAAACTCGGCGTGGTGATCACAAAGCGGCGCAAATGGAATGCGATGGCACACCAGCCCCCCGGTGATCTTGGGAACCCCCGGTAGTAGTAGTACAGTACTGTGCCATCAAATCTTGAGCCAAAGCGGTCAATGCAGTGAGTGGAAGGTGTCCTGAAACAGTATGTATGTATGTATGGGTACGTCGGTCGCGCACCTGGGGCTCCGTGCATTCGCATCCGCTAGGCGGCTGTTGCGCGCGACATACAGCAAAGAAGATCGCGCCCGGGTTCTTTGACACTGGAAATCTGGAAAGACGCTCATAGAGACTTGGACATGACACTGACAGAACCGGAAGAAGCTCCGGCCGGCGTTTACAGGGCTATACGACTTTTTCTTTTCTCAAGAGGCGACATGGCGTGGGACTGAATGAGGCATGGATGCATGGTGAAGATCGTTTGCAGAAGGCAGACGGAGGAAAAGGAAAAGCCAAAGAGTGATCGGTGATCATCAATCGCTGATGTATAATCAATTAATTAATGGCTGATGGATGATTCTCGAGAAATGGTTGTTTCGAAGCTCTCAATTTCGTATTCCGGGACACCACCACCAAGCCTCCGACATGATATGTGCACTGGAGTAACTGCAGCCGGCCGACTCTCTGCGCAAGCCCATTCGGTGACGACCCTGATCGATGGTATCCATGCGAAAGCCGTGTCCTGCAATTACTCAACCCTGACAATTTATTCGAAGTATGACTTGGGTCTGACATCCATTCGCCGACGCGCACCTCGCGGATCGCGACGCCGCTGCAGGCATCTACGTAGACGACTTGGAATCCATTTACCCGGTTGCACTGCAGTGACTGTACTCACTTACTCGTCTCTTGTAAGCAAGACGTCAGATCGTATCCTGGAAGTCTATCGGACTTCCGAATCAGCGCGTTGCATGAGGGGACACGGCGCCACTTGAGACTGGCCGCCCGAAGGACATGTCCGGAAAAGGCGATTGTTTACAGCTGGGCGGCGGGCTGGTCACGCCACCGAGTGTGCCCCCCAGTGATCGGAGTGGCGTATCACCTCACCCCCGCCTCCTGCAACCATATTCTCAATTGCCAGCACACGGTCTCGGCGTGGGGCAGCAGAAGCATGCTTACACCCCGTCTTTCTTTTCGAGCCCAAGCGCCGCCGACCTCGCATCCCTTTGAGACGCCTGCGATCAACATTGCACATTCTGACGGGTGGCGGCCATCAAAACTCTCGTTACGGCAACGCTTCTTGGATTGACGGCGATCCCGATAAGATTAGATCTTCTTGTCTCGAGATCTCAGAAAGACGTCATACTCACACGGTGATGTCATACCTATCCACGAGGATACATGGGTTGGGACCCGGCCGGGGCTGGATGGAGTGTCTGCACGATGATGAAATGGCTGCGTCATGGCTGGGACGAGTGAGAATCTGTATATAAGACAATCTTGCGCCGTATATCTTTCCTTACCTAACGACTCACGACTTCACTTTAACAACCACTTGACTTCTCACGAACAAACCATCATCATGGTGCGTCCACTCCAAAGCTGCAGAACCGAACTAGACAGTGATGGCTGACCCGCGACGCGTCTCAGGGCTCTGTATTTTCTGCTATCGGCCGTGGAATCAATGCCATCATCAGCGCCATTGCCGCCGTCCTCGAGACGATCGTCGGCGCGATCACCACGGTCATCGTCACCATTTTCGATGTTATCACGGATATCAGTACGTCTTCTTCTGCGTTATCAGCTGCCTTCGACTGATTCGGACCTTTTTCACTCTTCTCTTTAGTATGCTGCCGATGCTGTGGATCTCGTCGCAGCGGAAGGCGATACGGTCGGAGAAGGCGAGGAGCTGCCACCTACTAAGCTCCCGGAATCTGGCCAGAATTGACTTGTCCCTAATGTATCCACCGTTGTTGTAATACCCTATTGTGCACTTTCTCTCTGCAATCGCATTCCGTCGAGTTTATCAGTGACTGACTGACTACTACTGTACAACTGGTGTCTGGTTCCAGTACGCGAAATCGGCAGGAGAGAGGCATGGTTTTCCGTTTCCCGTGTTGTAGATGCCAAATGCGGCGCCCTTGAAGAAGAATCCTCCCGCCGGTGGCACAGTGAGCAGCTCCGAGTCGATGGTCAGAGGGAAAACAAACTCTCCTTGCGCATCTTCTGAGTAGCCCAGAGCGTAGCCCGTCGAGTTTGCGACGATTTTGAAACGGACGGGACCACTCTTGGTCGTGAGCGGATGATAGTTGACCTACGAGGCAGGTCGGATCATCGACGAGATAACAACCATGAGTCGCAACGCACCGTGGTGATCGTCGCATTGGTGTAAACAAGGCCCCACGGACCCACCTGCGATGCCTGCGCGTTCATCCTCGTGACCACGCTCCGCCCGCCGGCCCCATCGCCGACGATCCCGATATCGTCGTGCAGCTGGTCGCTGTAGAAGATGGTCACGCCTGCCTCCGTCAGATTCGTCGCCGGGCTGAACTCCATCTCGGTCTCGAACACCTCCGTGTAGCTCGTCTGCTTGCGCAGCAGCAGCGCCGGCGTGTCGCGGTCCCCGAGCGCATAAGAGTTGCCGTTGAGCCGCAGGAACCCGCGGCGGGCCGTCAGCGAGTGGAATTTCTTGTACGGCGTCCGGAGAAAGTAGAACGAGAGATCGAGCGCCCCCGCGGTGAAGTCGTTGAAGTATCCCGTCAGCGGCGATTTGTCGTGCAGCACACCGGGCATGTGCTCGCTGATGGGCTGTCCGTCGTATACAACCGGCCACCCATCCTTCCACGTGATCGGGAAAAGGAACGTTTCGCGGCCTGGGGCAGTCAATGAATTGGGAGGGCCGGAATATGCGACGCGAGAGATACTTACCGAGCTGGGCACGGGCGAAATTGCCGCCTTGCGGGCGGATCCCGAGGGCCACACCCCACCAAGACCCATCCGGCGCCTGAACGAAATCAGAATGGCCCGTTTGTTGCACGGGGAGCGATAGATTGGCGCCGTTGAACAGGATCGGGTTCGCGGGATTGTTCTCCCACGGCCCCGACGGAGAGGGTCCGCGCTGGATGGTGGACTGATGTGCGGGTCCCGAGCCGCCCTCTGCGATGAGCAGGTAGTACGTCGAGTTGATGTGGAAGACGTGCGGTCCCTCCGGCCGGGCAGACGAATTGTGCGGCAGCGTTCCAGTGAAGATGATCTCAGCCGGCGTTAGCGAGTTGCCGGTTTCAATGTCGATTTTGTTCTGGTAGATGCCTATGCATGCAAGTCAGCTATCCCTGGCGGGGCTCGTCTCAACGGGATTGAATTGAAGTACTGTAGATTTTGTGGACCGCATCATTGATGCCTGACCATGTCGCGTAGACATCGCCGTTCGTGTCCCAGAAGAGGTCTGTGTCATACCCAAGGGCGTCTGCAACCCATAATTACACATCAGCCTGAATGTCCCTGAGCGCGCGATCCATCGACGCACCAAAATAGACGGGATCGCTCCAGCTGTCCGCGAAGATGTCCTGCGTATGCACGTAAAACGAGCGAGGGAACAGTCGGTACTCGGCTGGAATCGCCGTCAGGCCGCCGCCGGCGCGTTCGTGTCCGGACGGACCAACGGAGGAGACGCACCGGTGTAGGCATATCGGGCAGTCGAAACAAGGTAGAAGGTTTTTGTGCGCTCGTGGTATCGAAGGGCAGGACCCCAGATCCCTGCGTACGAAACGTGAGCGGTCGAGTGGGCGATGTGGGTGGGGCCCGGGAGGCTCAGGGCTCGCACGCGGAACGCACCTGCGTCCGTCGGAGTCCCAAATAAACTCAGTTGTGAGGCCCGATTGAGTCCGTGCCCGATGAGCTTCCAGGACACGAGATCTAGCGGAAGGAAGCACGAGCGAGCGAGCGAGCGAATCAGCCGTCCCGTGTCGCGTCCCGAAATAGCTGGCCCGCACCGGTGCTGTGGTAGATGGGGTGCCCCGGGAAGTATTCGAACGTCGAGGTGACGACAAAGTAGTCTTTTCCCACTCGCACGATGCTGGGGTCGGGATTCCAGCCGGGTAGGATCGGGTTCAGAAGCGCATACACTTGAAGATTAGCTGCGAGCGATAGCACTTTGCATGGAGTAAGCAAGCAATCAACGCGTAGGAGGAGGAGAGTGGTAGTCAGCGGCGCACCGCACGAGAGCGCCGGCGGCCGCTGACTGGGCCCAGTGGCACTTGCCTACAGACAACACGAGCGCGATGCTCCAGAATCCTCCCATCTCGAGACGCGTGCGGGGAAACGAGAGGCACTGCTGCTGGCCGCTGGCACCTTTATAGACAGTCGGTCACCTGCTGCTGCAGCGCGCATCTGATGGACACTGCTGATCCTCGCGGGGGCTGAGAGCGCGCACGTCAGCTGCGCAGACCAGGTGACCCTCCCAAGCGGACCCTCTGAGAAACAATCGGTCCGCCGAGCCGCCGGTGCTCGGGGAATGATGAGAAGCATAAGAGTGTTTGTCAATTGAGCATCAGCGACAGCATGTACATAACGATCGGCCCGAAAATAGATCACTGGCAGATAACGTCATGGTAGTTGGAATAGGGTTAGGGTCAGAAGACCGGAGGATGCAAAAAAGAACGGACCCCCGACGACACAAGCCAGTAGTGCAGCGGCAAGGTCATCGCGTCCTTCTGTTGCAAGCAGAGCAGAAGGACAAGGGCGGCAAAAATTAGATAACCAAATAGAAGGGACTGTGTCCCTCTAATAGTGGTTAAACTATTAAGAACAGATACTACACTTGATCTAAGCCAAAAGGCCAGAGTGGTAAAGATTCACCGTGTTCGACGCTGAGCTTTATACGATTCTAACGGTGGTCCGTGCGTTGGCGTTGCCGAGAACGACACGTGACGGGTTGATCGTTGCAGCGCATGGTTCAATTCGGCTTTCAAGCGTATCAGTCTATTGATTCTGGTTCTCTGAACTCGTAAATGTCAAAATTCAATTGGATATATTAGATACAGCACAGCAATTCGACGAGTTGAAGAACGTAAAAACAATTTGATTAGATGTAAAACATAGACTGAGCAAGATCTGCATGGATCTGGTATCGCACGTATCAGCCAACACAAAACCATTTTCAGCAGTTCGTTTGGACAACTCACCCCGGTTCCCCAGGATTTTCTAGCCTCTTCAAAGACCCGGTTTCGTTCCTCGTCGCGATCTCTCCCCTTACCAGCGCTCGACGCCCCGTCGTCCGGAGCGAAGAAGCTGTTTAGGTAAAAGCGGGCGCGCTCGCATGCCAGGTCTGCGTAGTAGGCCGCCGGGATCAGACTGACTGCCCGCGTAGCCCGCGCGTAGAGATAAGAGAAGTCGTTCGATCCCTGTACTCGATCAGAAACGACGGAGAAGATGAAGATGGGAGCCGACTGGCCTTCTGCAGCTCATCGGCGGTAAGTTTGAGTTCGTCGTAGACCACGGTGTAGTGCGTCGCTTTGACCTAAACACAAGGCGTCATGTTTGACAGACGAGCAGGCGCAGCAAGTACGGACAGTTCCTTGAAGACCCGCGTGGGCTTGCAGATAAAAGTCGAAATCGAATCTGAGGTGAAGGTATCAAACAAAAGGTAGCTGCAAAAACGAACATGACAACGCACACCGCAGTAACCCCTTTATCAACGACCGTTCCCGGACGCGTGTTGCCTTTCTGGTCCGCCGAGTTGGCATCAGTAGCGAAGAATCTGTAATAACATAAAATGAGTGGACCTATACAGAACTGGGGACTGGTGAAACGTACTTGGCGTGGTGCCGCTTCCCGCAAATGATGATGGCGATGGCAGGGCGGTACGGCTTCGCGCCGCGCTCCTTCGTGCTCAGCTTCTTGAACGCCTCCAGCGCTTGTGCGAGCTCTTCCCGGACTACGATGTCGAATTGGCCCTCTACGGTAATGCGTGCTCAGCGTTTGGCCGTTGTATGACCTATAGATGCAAAGCACGCGCACCAGAAACCCCGTCGCGGAATATGATGATGCGCTGGGGAAGAACCCGATTCTTCTTCTCATAGTACTGCAGGCGCTCAACGAGCATGTCGCGTAGCTCAGATAACATCTAGAAAGAGGATGAGAACTGGACGTCCTGCGATCTCAAAGTGGAAAAAATGCACCTCTTTCGACTCTCGGTTTGGGTCTGGCCGCTGGATCCGCAGGCTGCAGGGAAACTTGTTACGAAATCACTTAGCACGCTGAGTTCAGAGCTAGAAAACACTCTACGCACTTGCACAAAGTCGTCATCGACGCTCGCCACGACGGCTGCGATGGAAGGCGAGCCCTCTCTGCTCCCCGGACTCGGATGTGTCACGTCGATTCCCACCATCATCGTTTTCTGCTTCGTGAGCCATCGCATGGCCTGGGGATCGAGGAGATGGTTCATGCCGCCGAGCTTCGAGTTCACTTTGAGGGCGACGTTGGACAGGTACTGGTCTTGATTTCTGCCGTCCTTGAGCGCCTTCTCCAGCTGCATGTGCACCGTGTGGATTCCCATGTCAACGTCTCCCATTCGCTGGAGGGAGTTCAGTTCAGATCGGGCTAAGTTAACCATCCCCACACACCTTGATCCCAGGGTAGATGTAGTTGTCACGCGTCGACAGCAGAACAAGGATAAAGCTAGGCTTCCTGCCTCCCTCCTGCGCCAGGTTGTCCACAACATGCTGCCGAATGATCTTGAGGGCATCCTCGCGGCCGGGGCCCTGCAGGTTCTGCAGCGGCGCAGTCGCAATCAAACGCGGCAGGTCCGGCGGAATCTGCATCCCACTCCGCGCGAGCTTGTTGCGGAAACCCTCAAGCAGCGACCGCAGCCGCGGGTCGTCGGGGCCATTCAGCAGCGCGCGCGGGCCGTCACGCACGACCATCACCCACCAGCGGCCGACGGCCGCGCCGCGGTGGAACTTGACGTCCATGATGTTCCACGCGCCGTTCCGCACGGACGCGTTGCCCTTCGAGTACGACAGGCGCGGGGGGTCGAGCTCGCGCGCGGGGACGACGGCCATCTGCGGGTCGACCGACACGTCGAAGCCGCTGCTGTCCGCCGGAGACTGCATCGGCTCGAGCCCGAGAGCGGGGAACCCTTTTCGCGTGATTTCGAGGGCGTTGAATCCGGGTGGGTTGCAGGCGATCTTGATCATCGCCTGTGTCTCTTGCGCGCCCAGCCGCCCGCGGAACACTTGGCCAGCCTCGATTTCGCACAGCTCTGCAGGAACGAACACCGGTTTCTTGGCGTTTCCGATATTGATCACGGGCAGATTTGCAGGCTCCTTTAGCTTGATGTTGTATGCTGGCAGGGAAAATCGAACCAAAGTCACGTGAGGAGTTTTGACGACGACTCACTTTTCAAGAAGTACGTCTCGACGGAAACCATCCCACCGAGTTGCTGGCAGTTGAATTTAGTGTTTCTGGCTGAGGTTGATCCAATCGACCAGATCTTCGACCGTTTGTTGTACCCGAGGTAAGATGTGGTGACTTTGATGCTTTTGACCATCGCCTGGAGGATCCAACATTTCAACGCCGGTATTCAAATAAAGTGGTTGAGCGGCAATAACTCACCTGAGGCAGTGTAGGCATCGTTCCATGGCTGTTGCGATTGAAAGCCTGGAGAGCTTGGCCCAAATTGCCCGGTTGGATGAAAGCCGTCATGCAATTATTCCTATTCCAGCAAACATCGATGAGTTCAGCTGCTCTGAACGAGCGCCACGACTCACACGTTGACCATCAGCTGCTTGTACGTCGGGCGCACAGAGGTGTAGAATCCCTGGAACGCGACGAGACCCATGCCCAGAGGGAACGATTGCGACGACGTTGGGAAGAAGAACTTGTTCTGGCCAACGCGCACCCCGCTCCGCGTTGGATGTTGATTCAGCACGAGATTGAGTGCCGAAAGAATGGGCCCCAGCGTATAGTCACGCGACCCCGGCTCTCCGTTCAGATGTCTGCGGTGATCAGTCAGTTAATCTCATTGTAAGCGCAATACGACTCGTTGCGCACTTGGTCAGATCAGCCGGATCCAGTTGTTTGTCGAACTTGATATTGACGGTGTACACAACCGCGTTGGATCCTGGCCCAGGCTGGCCGTCCTCATAGAACGGGACAGAAATGCTGAGCGGCTGCGGAAGCTTGTGCGCAGAGACCAAGCGCGCCCCGCCATCATGCGCCACCGACTTGCGCATCGGCTCAAACTGCGCGCTCAGCTCCACGAGCGCGAAGATCCGCGCCTGCAGCCGCCGGATGTCCGTCTTCGGCACGATCTCAACGCTGTAGTCGAATATCGGCCGCGCGGGGATGCGGATCGGGAAGAAATTCGCGCGCAGGGTGATCGCGCGGCCGCTCGTCCCGAAGCCCGGCCGCACCGGCCGACTGGGGTCAGCCCGAATCTTGGAGAGGGACTTGATCAGCTGCGCGTGGCTGTCGTCGGACAGGCGTGGGGCCAGTGGCGCAGGGGCACCCTGCATGAAGATGAGTGGCGCGTCTTGCCCGCGCGGGGGGCCTCCGCCGCGGTAATTGCCTCCACTGGGCGGCCCACCCCGGCCTCGAGGCGGCGCTCCGCCGCCGGAAAATCCGCCCTGGGGAGGGCCGCCACCGCGTCCTCTGGGGGGACCTCCACGTCCTTGCCCGCGATCATTGTATCCACCGCGTCCTCTCTGTTGCATGATGGTTCAGAACAGGTGCGCGTGCGTGTGAACTTGATGAGCGAAAGTACCATACGTCTTGGCCACGAGGCCTATCGATGCATCAGTAGCCCACCCTATCGTCACGATCCAGCCCCTACGGCGATTGGAAGGATATGACTCCTCGGGCGCCTAGACTAAGTATGTACATTTCCATTTCCATTTTGTTACATCACAGAAGACGACATGGGCAGCAGCAATTATAATATCAGTACAAGCCGACCACCGTCCAGGCAAAGGAAAGGAATGAACTACGGAGAGTCGTACGCTAAGGTAAGATGGTGGGACGAGCTACTTATGCAACTACGAAAACATGTATCATAACTTGAGCTCAGTCAAAACCCGCCGAGCAAGCATCTGGTATTGCCAGCCATCTCCTCCCGCTCTGCGGAATTGGATACCATACAGCGAAAGCCAGGGAACTTTGACGAGGTTGATCTCGAACCGGACACTCAACACATTGTTGCCCATGCTCTCAAATACCTGCCGGTCGACTTCCCCCGTTGGCAGCGGTGCCGGCGACAACGGCGACGGAGACCCAGCGAAATCTCGCGGTATTGGGGGAAGCCCCTTGGACGCAGGGGATGCCGTCCGTGACGGCGGTGTCACATCAACATCGAGCGATAGCGAGCCAGGCTTGGGCTGCGGAGACGCGACCGAGTTGGCGAGAAAGAAGGTGGAGGAGCCGCTACTGGCACTGGTCTGTAATGTCGCTGACGGTCGTCCCTCGCGCTCCTTGTCCATCGATCGATCTCGCCGTTTGCCGAACGACAGCTTCGACGCCTTCTTGACCACGGGACGGGGTGTGCTGCTTTCAGGAATGGCTTGAGGAGGTTGGCCATCTATGGATGAAATGTCGATCGAAGGAAGGTGGATACACTCGAAGCCGGTCTGGGTTTCTCGGTATTGCACTTGCATCCGGTCCAGCACGCGCCGGATGTCGGTTTTAATCGCAGCAGGCGACTTCGAGGATGTCGTCGCCACACTTGGCGCACATTCAGTCCT